ATCTTTGCCATGAACTGTATTGCCGTGATCCCCCTCGCCGGCCTTCTCAGCTTCGCGACCGAGTCCGTGGCCCTTAAGATGGGCGACGCTCTTGGCGCCTTGCTTAATGTGACGTTTGGCAACGCCGTGGAATTAATCATCTTCATCATTGCCCTGGTCAAGAACGAAATCCGTATTGTCCAAGCGTCCCTCCTGGGTTCCATCCTGGCCAACCTGCTGCTCATTTTGGGCATGGGTTTCTTCCTTGGTGGACTACGCTTCCGAGAACAGGTTTACAACAGCACTGTTACTCAGATGAGTGCCTGTCTTCTCAGTTTGAGCGTCATCAGTCTGGTCTTGCCTGTACGTTCCCTTTTTCGCACAAAATACTAGTGTTTTCTCTCTTTGAGCTCTTGCTAACTTGCTCTTAGACGGCTTTCCACGCCTCCTTTTCTGATCCAGACCTGGCCGACCGCCAATCGCTCAAGATTAGCCGCGGCACCAGCGTTGTAAGTTGGATTCCCTAATTCACACACTGCTTCCGTCAGTCTCTAACAAACGCCAGATTCTGTTACTAGTCTACATCATCTATCTCCTATTCCAGCTGAAATCGCACGCATATCTATATGAGTCGACTCCTCAGAATATCGTCGATGCCGAGTCCGTTCCGGGCCCCGCTGCAGCTTGGCTGGATTCTTCAAGCTCAGACTCCAGCTCGTCTGATAGCTCGGATTCGGACGACTCCAGTCACTCTCGGGATACAGTTCGCCGTGCCATGAGGAAGGTTCTTCGCCATGGACGCAGAAGAAAGTCGTCTGTTGCCTCTGTGGAAACTAGCGATTTGCAGCCCACTAGGACTTCATCTTTTGGCACCGCAACTACTAGTCCCCAAGAAGAGTCTTCAGAAACTTCTTCTTCCCGTCCACAGTTCCCCAGACTTGGATCCAACGAGACAAACGAGGAGGCTGTTGAGGACGAAGAGAGGTCTCACAAGCACAGACGGCCTAGTGTTCGACACATGCGCAAGAAGTACAAGAAGCACCGTCGTCACCACCGCCATCGTGATGCGGAGGGCGATGCTCAGCAGGCAATCACGGAACAACCGGAACAGAATCTGCAGAATCCGCGCGGAGAAGGAGAACCTCGCCGTGTCGACTTTGCTATCCCCAACGATCCAGTTGCGGACAGTGGCAACGAGGCGTCTAAGCGGCCATTCCCCGCTCTACGTGTCATGTCTGTCAAGAACCTGGCACCCGCCGTCTTTGTCCAGAAACCCGAGGATGATGTCCTGGCCGTCGGGGGCCCTGTTCCCCGCGTTCGTTACGGCATTCGACGCACCAACTCCCTTCCCGATAGGCTCAACCATCAAATTCGACCTCCCGGCGCCATGTTGCCAGCCCAAGTGCCCTTGACCGCCTTGACAGCAGACGGCGCCGAAGGGGAAGAAGGCGAAGAACACCTCACCCAGACGGCTGCCATCATTCTTCTACTTGTCACCACCGGTCTTGTCGCGGCATGCGCTGAGTTTCTCATTAGTTCCATCGAAGACGTCGTCGCCACGTCGAGCGTCGGCGAAATCTTTATTGGTCTCATCGTCCTGCCCATTGTGGGCAATGCGGCGGAGCACGTTACTGCGGTGACTGTGGCGATGAAGAACAAGATGGATCTGGCTATCGGTGTTGCTATTGGCAGCTCCATTCAGATTGCCATCTTTGTCACGCCCTTGGTCGTCATCTTGGGCTGGATCATGGACAAGGAAATGACATTGTACTTTACCCTCTTTGAGACGGTGTGTCTCTTTGTGTCGACCTTTATGGTCAACTTTCTTGTTTTGGACGGTCGAAGCAACTACCTCGAAGGAGCCCTGCTTTGTGCAGTCTACTGCATTATTGGCGTTGTCGCCTTTTTCTACCCATCCGAGGCCGATGCAAACTCGTGGGGCAGCTAGTCGCTGCGCCGATGACGATGGCTATCGGCGATATCCTCTCCTTCACGATACCCCTCTTGTGTGCTTGACCTTGGAGAGGTGAAGCAAGCCATTGGTGAGATGGCTTTGAGAATAGGGTGGGAAGAGTTTGGCAAGAAATATAGTAGCCTTGATATCTTAACTTAGTACAGCCCTGTGGCACATCCAAACGCACGCCTTGGAAATAGATGGCGTATTTTGCGCAATTTGTTCAAGTTTACCACCGTGAAGCGTATTCATTGATGACGCGTAAAGCGTAAAATGAGTTCACCCACCGACTGGGCTGTGCAAGTGAAGTATTCCAAATGCCGTTTGAGGCAACCCGTGATACAGAATAATTCGATTCGTTGCCAGCTGTTTTCCGTGTAAATTCGAACCCACTATTTAAGCAGCAGAACTAGCGCCTCCCCGGGGTTTGCCAGAATTGGGCTAAAGGCAGGGACCAGCAGCAGCACAGCCACATGCGAAGAGACGTCACGGACGACTTTAATTGCCCTCCGCTCTCGCCTTTTGTTTAGCCGTCCAGTCCGTCCCTTTTCCTCTTTGCATTCAAGTCTGGGAGTGACATTTTAGCCCTTCCATCTTCACTTTTCTTTGTGAGACAAGACGACTATAAAGCTGTGAGAGAAGGCAGCTCGACTTACTTGCTTCTTTCTCCTTTCTCGCACTTCTAGCGAAGCACCCACACCCACACCCACACCCACACCCACAGATACAGATACAAACGAAACCGTCAGCAATGTGTTTTGGCGGTCAGAATGAAAGGTCCAATGATCCGCCGCCCAGGCCGGTGCAGAATCTCGAGGGGAGGCCGGATGTGAAGACGAGTCGGTATGGCGCGCCGCAGGATGGAGCGGGAGGCCCGTCGGGATACCAGAGCCAGGGCCGGCCGCAGTATCAGCAGCAGCAGCCGCAGCCATCATATCAGCAGCCGTATCAGCAACAGCAGCACGAAGATTTCGCTCCTCCGCCGGGACCGCCTCCTGGGAAACGGCAACAGGAAGACTATGCGCCGCCGGCTGGGCCGCCTCCAGGGCGTCAGCAGCAGCACGGTGATTATGCTCCTCCGCCAGGGCCGCCGCCTTCGCATCAGCACAATGACTACGCTCCTCCTGTTGGACCGCCTCCATCTCACCAGCATAACGATTATGCCCCTCCTCCAGGACCACCTCCTTCTCATCAGCAGGGAGACTATGCCCCGCCTCCAGGACCGCCACCATCTGCTGCCAAGGGCGACTGGATTGCGCCTCCATCGGATCCCTATGCTGCCCAATCTAGCGCGGCACACGACTGGCAGACTGCCGTCCCAGATACCTCCTTGTTCCCGCCGCCTCCCCCATTATTCAGTGGCCATGACGCGTCATATGCCAACAACGCGACTGAAGCGGAAGCAGAGGCTGGAGAAGAGTGGTGCCAACAGTATCCGCTCTCCACGCCGTCCCTGACGCTCGACCAGTCCGGCAAGCAGGCTTTGCAATCCAACAACATCCGACTCATGGAACCAACAGGCTTTAGTGGCACCTTGAAATGGCTTGCACCGGGTCACTGGGAGGGCAGCACGGCCAAGAACAGCCCCGACCGCTGCATCATTGGCTATCCTCCTCTCTACGTGGTCAATGAGCACGACCCCTCAATTACGAATCAGCCAAAGACTATTTACTATGAGGTAAAGATTCGGAAGAACAGCCGCACCATCAACCTGGCGTTGGGATTCACTGCCCTTCCCTACCCGTCCTTCCGTCTTCCAGGATGGCATCGCGGCAGTCTGGGTGTCCATGGAGATGACGGTCACAAGTACATCAACGACCGCTGGGGAGGCAAAGACTTTACGAACGAGTACCGCGTGGGCGAGACCTATGGCATTGGTATGACGTTCACACCGACGGGTACCCACCATCCCCGCGTCGACATCTTCTTTACAAGGAACGGCCAGCGATCTGACGGGTGGGATCTCCATGAGGAGACGGACGCGGAGCAGGATTTGCCGGTGACGGGTCTGGAGGGCTTCCACGACGTGAGCTGCGCGATTGGGGCGTTTGATGCGACGAGCTTTGAGGTTGTGTTTGATCCGGCTAAGTGGCTATACAGGGAGGCTAAATTCGATCTCTGAGGCTGTCGTTTGATGACGATTGAGGATGGGTAGTCGAGTCGGTCGAGATAGATACATTACGAGACTCGTAATAGCGGGACTGTGGTAATGAATGTTCGGGGGATGTTATAGGGATAGATGGATTTGCGATGATGGCTGAGTATTCGATCAGCTCTTGATATAGCTCTTAATAGACGCGGGGGACTCTACGAATCACTATTTTGATAAGCTTCTGGCCTTTCTGTGCATGTCTTGGTGAAGGGTTGAGTCTACGTACGGTTCCGCTTCAATACTGAATTTGATGAAGGGGATCTGCCCAATTAAGGTACTACTATAGTCTAATCTAATATCCCAAGTCAAAGCCCGAAGCAACCACGTCAACGGCCACTGCAGCGACAGACGACCAATCTTGCATGCTAAGTAGAAGAAGAAGCTTCTACTCTGATATCTCTCCGCTATAAGGCTTTGTTTTAAAAGGTGGTATATAGATAGGTAGCTATAGTAGCAGATATTGGAGAAATGTAGCTGTAGTACCTGCGAGATATTTAAAAGATAGCCATGTACCTACTATCGCGCGCCGAAGCGTTTTCCGGTCATTGTTGATTTCTCTTGTCATAGGCCCCATAAGCCTTTTGCTTGCTTTATTACGATTATAGAGGCCAGAAATGATTTATAGCGCCTTATAATACGAAAAAAAAAAAATCCATGTTACAAGTGCCAAGCAATGACCAGAAACCCCCGTGGCGCGCGTAGGTAGGTAGATTAAGGATACTGTATACGGGATTGGGCGTGCATTCATTTGCTGCTCCCATCAGGCTGTAGGATCAGAGCCTGATATCGGACCTATTCGGCGTATGGCAGCCGCGCCCATGCATTTCCCCTCTTGAAGATGCATACCTACCTACTCACCTGCTTACACTGAGCCTCTGACATCGATGTTATACTCAAACCAGGTGTCTTTTCAACATGACAACGGTGGAAGGCTTCGCGACAACGGTGGAAGACTTCCTTGGGCCACCTCTCGGACCCCTGGAACTTGGCCATGTTGTTGTGGTCAAAATGTCTGAACATGTCCAGAGAAGATACGATCCAGCCAACATTTCTGGCAAAGCACAGAAAACGCGCGATGCAGACAACAGTCGATTTGCGCCGCTCGCCGATGTGCGGGAAAAGTGGTCAGCGTTTGACGTTGAAAGGATTTCCGCGCATCCGTCCATCGCAGCCTCTCTCTCAAGACCATGCGCGGTGGAGTGGGAGCCCCAAGTTCCCAGATTTGCACGTATCGTCTATAGCGAGCGGCAACTTGAGGCTCTATTTCTACAGACGCTCATTACTCGGGTCAACATTGCCCTCGATAAGGCGATCCCGGCCAATGAGGAGCGAATCGCGATCCTCGTTGGCCCTGGAGCCTTTGAGAGCGTCTCTGCCGAGGCCAGCGTGCAGAGGCTCATACCAGACTGGATAGTGGTCCAAGGCGATTTCGACGTCGGCATGAAGGCTGATTCGCTCCCCGTTCTCAAAGATGTTGCGACACAAGGCAGGATACTTGCAGTGGGGGATACCAAGCTGGTCCGAAAAGGGGGCGGCATCGGCAACGGCAACGTCCCTTATACCAAGGCGTGCCACCATGATTTCTTGCGCCAGCTGCAAGAATACTGTCTCAACTTGTACACGCGCTTCGGTTTCATTCTCTCCAACGAGGAGCTGGTGGTATTGCAAGTCATGGCCGCACAGGAGGCAAGCCCACGTAAGGCTGAGCAGAGGGGGCTCCGTTCAAACGGGGAGCATCAACCTGAATCCAGCTTAGATTCGCGAGGGACGGATTCGTTCGATTCGATGGATCAGGACGGTGATGATTCACCAATGTCGGGGCTCAACGGCCGTAATGAAGACCCATATGAGTATGGCCTGCCCCCTTTACTCTCGCCTTCAGACAAGCGGCCACATCCGTCGACTAGCCCCGAAACCAGCCCTATTGTTGCTTCCTCGAGAAGATTTCAGAACGCGAGCGGCAGCTTGTCGGGCAGCGATTCAAGCTCCCATCAGATGAATTCTCATCCGATAGGTTCTTATCAGGTAACCTCTCATCAGGTAACCTCTCATCAGGTAACCTCTCATCGGATCCCTAGCTCCCCCGTCATTGAAGCGTCTCAGGCGTCGTCGTCATCCCAAAGTTATAGCAGATACACCCCATCAGTCAGAGACGTTGAAGTGGGTGCTATACAAATACAGAGCTTTGACATGAAAGGTTGGGGAGAAGAGGGTAAGGAGGGGGATAGCCCTTATAGGGCATTGTTTATGTTTGTGATGATGATTCGTGCGTTGAAGCTTCAACAGCTGCCTATTCATATTTCGCTGCAGGAGCAAAGCTAGTGTAAGGGTTCAATGTATTTGTTTCAATGCCATTTGTTACACTTTGGCAGGTGGATAGTACCTATAGTAACTTGGTTTGGGATGCTTCTCGGGTTATATTATCATTGTATAAACGCATTCATTTGCATTCCATCTTTTTGTTTATATTCGATTGCATGTTATTGGAATGAAATAGGTGCTGCGCAGCGCATATACTACTTGGGTAGTAATTGCCGGACATTCGATTCGCGGGTTGTTAGGCGGTAAGGCGAGGCGGTCGGGCGCAGCAGTATTCATAAAACGGCTGACAGACAGAGGTCGATCTGGAGGTCACTTGACCCATTCCAGCATCATCCGCCACCAGGCTTCGCTGGGTTCCCGTATTACCCTATTACCTCGCAGAATTCGTACATGGGTCTCTCCAGCTTTTGGGCCACTGTTTTCCTAGGGTAGTAATCAGCTAACTGTGTTTATATAATTAAGCGAAAAAAACCTACAGACCCATTTACGAATTCTGCGAGGTAATAGGGTAATACGGGAACTTGGGCAACATCATATCCCTGCATCGAATCCGGAACTCACCAATCGGCAGCCGCATCAGCTGTCGTCAGGAGTCTTGGCATCGGTCCAGAGAGGGTGCATTAGTAGGAGCTAGGCTATATTGGGCAACTTTGGTTTTCTTGGACGTATAGCCATTGAGCGTGCACAGGACACTCTCTCCCGTCTTCTCATGACGGCAGTGTGGTTTCTTGAAACTTACCTACAAAGCGTCCATGGCCCGTCGTCCTGTAATTTCGATTTTTCTTTCAAATCCTTTTCTTTTGTGGCAACGTATGGTTTTTCTTGAGGATGTATTATGCTCTTTTATTAGGTAGATAGGGTTTGGTCTGGAAATGCGGCGCACACTCTGTTTTTTTTTTTGGCCGTTTGGACGCCTCGGTAGAGTAGTACCTCTAGCACCCGTGGACCTCTAATGGATGTTTCCGCAGGCGGCGGCCGCCCCCCCGATCTCCTGTTTGCAATTGCAGAGAATCGGTCCACGAAATGGCAGTCAAGTTCTACCCATGACATACCACTCTCCTCCCTCCAAACAAAGGGACAAACAGCCAACCCCAAGCCGGATCATCGCAACCAGACATCATTCAACCGCATTCTGATTACTTTGCATATGCGCTTCCTGTCCGAAATCATTTCCTGCCTCGTCTAATGCCATGGCTAGCCATCAGCCGACGCCTTCAGCGACCGAGGCCGGTGAGAGCGACCATCCCTCTGCGCCGTTGTCAGCCGTGCCTCGTCGCGTACAAGAGCTCAAAACCAACTCTCACAAAAGACTCAAGGCTCGCTCCAAGGGAGCTGCGCCCAAAGACGTCCATCGAAGCCTGAATCGGCGCTGGCGCGAACAAGTCATCTCCAACCTCGATGCCGGCGAATCCTTCAGCAACCACGTCGCCATCCTCAAGATTCTTCGCCGCATACCCGAGCTCAGGGACCACGTACCTCATCTTGTCAGCAACGATCCCGTTACTCAAACCTACGTCGTCCGATACCCGTGCCGCGACTTGATCCCCTTCGAGAGGGAAGTACGCCTCTTGGGACTCTCCTACAGGAAAATACAAAACATCAAAAGCCAGCTCTACCGATCTGTCATGGCAATGTACACCAACGGGGTGAGATACAACATCTACCCCCAACACCTTTATTTGTACGGTCCCGCCTCTTGGGACCTCACTCGTTTGCTATTTCTTGGATCAGTGACGAGTTCCGATCTTCTCGACGTGGGGGGGCTGGATTGGAACAAGGAGAGAGATCGCGTGTGCGATCAAATCGACCGTACTTTCGCGCCCCTCGAGATCTGGACCTTTCAAGAAGAAGCTGCCGACTTGGCCAAACATGCTAGAACAGAGATGGATCAGGCAATGTCTGTTATCAACGAGAAAAACGCCGTCATCGACTCAGCGAAAGCAGACTTGACAGAAGCACAGGCTATCATGGCGGAAGCATATCAAATGATTAAGGATGCTCGTGCTACATTGGATGGGGTCAAGGCCGTCTCCAAAAATATATATACGTCCGTTACAAGGCCTCAAAGTCTCTGGGATGACGCCCATATAGCAAAGGAATATGCGGAAACCAGCCGGAGAAAGATGGCTGTTCTCAACGACAGAGCAAACGCCCTCATCCAAAAGTATGGTAATCCAAAGCTGCCTAATGAAGTTGGTGCAGAGGATGCCGTTTCGCATTCTGATATCAAGACAGAGGAAAATGCGAAGGTGAAGAACCGCATACCAACTATTGATGGTATCAGAGCGATGGAGGAACCCACTATACAACGTAGATCTGCGGCTATTGAAGCTAACCTCAGAGAAGACGGCAGTATTGGGACGTGAAATTACAGGCCGACATTGTTGTTGATTCCACAATCAAGGACAAATACTCAAGAGGCCTTGATTGATGAAACTCGGTTCTTAACCAAGCGTTACAAGCGCAACGATCCGCGGCACCCAGACTCGCGAGCGGATATACCCTTGGCCTCAGTACCACTATGAAACCGCCACTTGCATATCACAAGGCGAGAACTAAAGTGGAATACTATGGATTTAAAGACCCGAAAACAGAGAAACATGTCGACGAAATCCCTGGATTTGAGCCGGGTAGAAGTGGCGCCACTGGTGAGATTAGAAAGCCAGTGACTTTCGGAGATGCGACTTGAACACACATGTACGTGAATGTTCCTTGGCTATATGCATGCTTGTCGTGTCCGGTATTTGATATCGGGGGATATCACTTACCTGCCGACTCTGGGCTGTGTGGTGTGAATGATATAAATGCGACGATCTGGGTTCATCGCCCCTAGCAAGGACAGGAATGTGTTAGCCATATGACTGGGGGGGGAATAGTCACTTTGCAATTAGTAGCATTAGCATTGAATGAAATATGACTCTGTATTCTAAGCAGAAGCATCTCTTGAGAATTTGCATCACGTCTAGAGTGAAGTTGCCACCTAAATGCCTGCAGCGGTGGTCACCATCAAAGCCCAGTCCCAGCAGTCTGGTACCCTTGTAGGGATCATGGCCGAGGCTCGCTTTAAGGCATAACCCCCACTAAAGATCACACTCGGTACGTACTCCCGACTTGCATCTAACCTTAGCTAAGTACCTAGCGGTACCGAGCCAGACGACGGCCTGCATCTGCGCCAACGCCTTTCGAAATCATCACCACCAGACCGGCATCGCGTGCCCAGAAACGCACGACTTTTGCCCATGGAAGTGGACAGCGACAGCGACTTGCTCAGCAAGACCGCCGCCGGAGAGCTTCCAGCTTCGTACGTGGCGCATCATCTCATTGCAGCCCGTTTCAGCCCGTTGTTATCGCGCTTCTGCTAACTGATTGCTTCTTCATAGAGAGGCGTGGCCGGCCTTGCGCGATGACATTCTTGTGCGGTTAGACAAGGTACGTTTGCTTACCATGCAGCAGAAGCATCAGGAAGCATAACAATGAGCCAATCGAGTGGGATTGCTGACGGGAAACCCTCAATCTACCAGATCGCACGCAATGAATTCCCCATACCCAAGCTGCCACCTCCCCTGCCGCGCTCTCGCTTCTTGGACACACGACTCCTCTCTTCATCGTCCTCATCGCCCGCCGAGCCGTTTTCCGACGACGCCAACAAGGAGAATGCGCCCCTAGACGAGCAGCCGCCATCCGCGGCCGGCGCAGAACCATCCACATCTGCTCAGCAGCAACCGTCGCAACCTTCGCAGTCGCCATCGAAGGGTCAAGAACCCGGTGTGCTGCCCAAACAGCTAGCAGACATGGTCGACGAAATCAAGAACCACATTGGCAGCTTCAAATCGTACCCGCCGCATACGATCCAGAGAATCGCCGAGCTCATTCTATACCCGCGCGCGCATTACAAGGCTCTGCCGTCCTATCTTCACGCGTTGGATAGAGTCGCGGCCGTGACTTCAGGAACGGACACATACCCGCTACCGCCCCCGATCCCAGACATGTCCTCGATTCAGCTCAACGGGGATGAACCCAACGACCCTGCCATGGCTGTCTCTTGGAGTAACCCCACAGCAGTGGCAGTTGGTTCGGATGAGGCCCTTGGAGGGGCACTGCTAACGCCTATTCCTTGGCTCATCAGAAGAAGCACACCGCCAGAGACCACCCCCAGCGAGCCGCCAGCAGCACAGATTCATAGCGAAAGTACGGAGACAATCGATGGTCCCAACGGGGTGGGCAGCATAGAGACCGTTTCTGTCAGCATCAACGGTGTGCCATCCATGGGGCACTCTAGGGGCGTCACTCAAGGCGAACTGCTTAGGCAAGAGCAGAGAGCCGGTATCGTCCCTGTCAGCCAGCTCACCAAGTCCCACGATATGCTGCTCGAGGGTGGGCGCGGAGGTTCGGCATCAGATGACCATCCCATGGATGATGAAGGAGAAGGGGGGGAGGAGGAAGCCCCGCACGCGAGAGGACCAGATGAAATCGGCGTTGGCGATACCGGTCCTCAGTCCGAGACGACAAGTGTCATGGGTGAGGATGGTGTCGAGATGCAGGGCATCGACCTCGAAGCCGCGGTTGGCCGGAAACACGTCGACGAAAAAGACGAATCTTCCGCGGCAGAGCAGCAAGACGAAACCAGCCAGTCTTGTTCAGAGCGGGCGAAGAGTCCCGGTGCCGAGAGCGTCAGCTCAAAGCGCGAAGCAGAAGACGATCTTGAGGAGGATGTCGTGGCGAAGAAGGTCAAGGAGGAGCCCAGCGGCGATGGCGACACCAGCATGACATCCGATTCTGAAGAGCAGAAGGGGGACGATGAGAGCAAGGACGACACTACGGATAAGGAGAATGCAAAGATGGAGGCATAATCATATCGCCATGGCCAAGATGTCAACAGGCTTCCATGAGGGCTGGGCATTTGGATAGACCCCATATTATTCCTGCCTCTCTCTCCCTCTCTCAATCTCGCATACGAATTCCAAGCATCTCGAGAAGGGGACATGGCAAACCGCGAAGCTCAAGTTTTATATCAAACAGAGGCACCCAAGCTACCTCTTGCTAGCACGACGGAGTTGAGGAGCCATGCCAGAATCATGTTGCATACCCCTATTGCTACGGCAAAGGGCCTCGACTATGGGAGTATACATATCGGCCCTTCGATCAAGGATCTAAAAGGGAAGAAGCTTGCTCCCTTTTTGAGAAAGAGGTATACTCACCAGAATGCTTTTGACCATGTATAATTAGAGATGGAGAATTACTCAAACATATTTATGATTATGGCCGCGGAAAATACCTGAAGGAGGTCTGTCCTACTTTATATTTTGTGTCAAGAGCTTGGATTTCTTTTTTCGATGCCCATGCGTTTTCTCTGAAATAGCCTCATCAACATAGGATAAGATTCAATGATGGACACAATGGATATAATGCATCATTTTGCTTGCCTACATCATGTTCACAAGTAAATCAATACATCAGACAGATAAGATGTAGCGGGAAGACGAGGCACCGCGGCCTCATATGAATGAATACACTACGTATATATTGAAACCCTTCCATATCCGCCCCAGATATGGCAACTTTTTCATGTAAAAAGTGGCCACCACCAAGCAACCATCCAGGGATGAATAAATCCTCGTGAATAACAAAAAAACGCCCGCCCCAAAAAACGCCCAATCCTTCCCAGAGAGCCCCAGTATTACAACGTACTAGATAGCAGCTACTCAAGAGCCTCTTTATATATATATCGCGCGCCATTCTTCCTATCGAAGAAGTCTAGATGAAGAGTGCACATTTGCATCGTGAATCGGGCAATGTCTTCGCCGCAGCCATCATCGCGCCAAACATGCTTGTCGTAGAAAAGCCCACCCTAACCCTTCCCCCAACTGTGGTCAAGCCCTTGGGGAGGAGTTGTCGTTATGTGAAATGTACGGGGTGAAATAGGACCTGTATGTTTCCAACATCAACTCCACCCGCCCTGAACCCACTGAACTCTGAGAAAGCAGTTCATAAAGGATGCCGAAAAGAAAGATGATGAAACCAAGGCCAACCAGAGAGAGAAATCCAATGGAGTAAAAAACGCCGACGCCATGCTATTCCTTAAAGTAAAAAAAAAAACGGTGTCATCAAGAAGTGAGAATCAAAGAGGCGCAGGCTACACGAATCCGGGAAATACGCTCGAAACAACACGACGCCCTTGGATACCATAGTTAGTCAGGGGTTTAATCAAGGTCTTGGGAGGAAATGGGGAAATGTTCAACTCACATTTGGGACGCTTCAGGTCAGGATCGTCAAATGGCGCGTTCTGGCTCGCAATCTCTCGCATGCGCTCGCGAGCAAACGACGATGGACTGTGGCCCCCTGCGGGATGTGTCACTACCAGCTCAACACCTTCGGTAGCCGTAGGTAGCAGCCTCAAGGCACGAGGCTGGGGCTTGCGCTTGGCGCGTGTTGTGGGCGCTGGAGTCGTCGGCGCCGGAGTCTGCGGCGCCGCGGGTATCGCCGCTGGTGTTGTCTCTCTGATGGAATCGTCTTCGGATTCGGATATGTCCATAATCGTTGTCCCAGACGGCGTTGTCGAGGGTATTTCTCTGATGGCTTCCGTATCTGTGACAGTTTGTCCGGAAGACGTCGGCGTCTTCTTGGCATTGGCATCTCTACCCTGTTTGCTGGTCTTGACGGGAGTCAAGGGAACGTCAGGGGAAGTCGCATGACTGCCCGAACTGAAGATTTTCCTTCCCCAGCCTCTGAGTTTGGTCTCGCCAGATTCTATGGACGAGTAATCCAAATCTATCCTTCCTCGTAATTTCCGCAGGGCCCGTTCACGGCGGACCATTCCGTTGGTAATGGGAGGGCAGTAGCCGGGGGGTAACATGCAATGCTTGCACATTGGACATAGTGAGCTATTTTCGAGCAGGAATTCGTCTATACAATCGGGATGGAAGATGTGACCGCAGGGCAGTTCTTTGATGATGGTGACGCGATGTTCGAAGCGGTCGAGACAAATGTGGCATTTCGGTTGGAAGTTTGTGGCGGTGGTATCGGACCCTGTTATACTTGACCTTTTACTCCGAACGCTTCGTGTGCTGCGGACGCTGTGCTCACTGGGAGATACGATGTCGCTGGGAGCATTCCGGTCGTGTCGGTGGGTTCTCCTTGAGGGGTTTCCAGAACGAGATGTACCACGCATACCCGGAGAAGAGGGAGTCGGCGGGCCACTGGGTGCGTCTGGGTCTTGGTTGTAAGTGAAAAGCGGAAACCCCTGAACAAAGGTCGTCGGGACGGTGAGCCTCTTAATACCCATGGCCTCGAGATCAACCTCGCCAGACATGACACGACGTTTCAACGATATGCGGCGACGCCTCTGTATGAGGTGCATGGTGAGTGAGATGCCACCGATGATGGCGAGCAAGGCGCCGATGACGATGAGGAAGAATATCCACAGAGCCGGGATGTTGGTGGGATTCTTCATATTCAACTCGGTCCATATCCGAACATAGTCCTTCGGGTTGGGCCCATACAGCTGCGATATCTCTGAGCCATGGGGGATCTGGTTGACGGTTCCTGAGTAGAGGCTGAGCTGAGTCATCATTTTTTGACCCTCGAGTCCCGAGACGGCAAAGACGGGATACTGGTTTTGCTTCCTCCAGGCGCCGTCATCGTCGAGGTTCCAGACGGGTGAGTAGACATCCTGGGGCTTGTTGGAGGAGTTGTTTGGCTTGTAGAAGATGAAGGCGCGGATGGGGTCGGCGCGGGCGGCGGCGAGGTAGGCCTCGGTGCAGTCTATGCTAAACCAAGGAGCAAGGGCGATGAGGTTGTAGTTGGTAGGGGGGAGGTTGGCGCGGCGAGTGACATTTCTGGGGATGAAGTCGTACTGCTGGGCATCACAAGACGGCATCCGAGCAATGTCGGGAACGTATAAAAGACCTTGGATGACTCCATTGAGGGTATCGGCATTGGTGGTGGTCAAGGTGGTGATGTTGCTGTCGATGCGCTCCTCGTATGCTATCTGACTCTACGCGGTCCGACACTGTCAGCGGTGCTTGGCCATGGCGGCAGAGAATCTGGAGGAACAGGGGAGCGGGCGCAACGCACGGAGAGCGCGGTAATGTTTCTGATGATGGTGGTGGGCACGGTGGTGGCACCACCCCAGACCGGATTACTGAAGAGAAGCCTGGCAGCAGAGAGTCAGTAGGTGATGCATACGCGGCAGCAGCAGAGGGGAGAGTAGAAGGCGAAGAAGAGAAGAGGGCGACTGGTGAGAGGGAACAGCGATGCGGCAGTGAGAGCAACAAAGCAAAGCAGTGGTGGTGACAGATGGTGGGACCGCGGGCGTATCGTATGGCTGAAGATGGCATCGGGGAAATGGAGCGGAGAACAAAGCGAAACAAGGCCAATGGCAAGCAAACAGGCGACGGCAGCAGCAACAACGACAGCGGCGACGAGGCCAGTTGAGTCGGCAGGCGACGGCGACGGCCAAAGGGGAGCAGAGAGAGGCATGAGAAAGGCATCTCGTGCCTTGGAGGACATACACGACATTTCGAACCTCGGAGAGCGCTGTGAGACGTCAGTTGCCGGCCGCCAAGACTGGGGTCACGTAGGGGTAATCTTGGCCGACAGAAGGCAGAACTCACACATTCTAACACATGTTGAGGGCGAATCGGGAGGCGGCAGTCATGGTCCACGGGCGACGGCGACGGCGGCGGGAGGGGAGACGAAGGACGGAAGGATGAAGGACGAAAGAGAGGCTCGAAGCAGCGCGGTGGGCAGCCAAAGGTCGAGCAACGACGTGGTTTGCAAGGACGCAAATTGGCCTAGGGGGGGCCACAGGTTGAGTCGAGATCAGGATTGATGAGGAAAAAAAAAAGAGAGCACCAGACAGACGGCGGTGCTAAGCAGGGATGGCGGGCGAGGTTTTTGGCTGGTGCTGGTGCTGTAATGTAGTGCTGTAGTGCTGCAGTTGCGGTGCGGTTGCGGTGGGCAAAAGCACAGGTACAGGTACAGGTACTGGTGCTGGTACGGGGTACATGGTGGATTGGATTGATGGGCGCTGGAACGGAGTACGAATGGACGCCGGTGCAGCAATTCCGGACTCCGTGCTGGCCCTTTCAGCGGAGAGAAGCCCGCTAGCAACGTGAGGCAGCCACTAAACAGCCACAGCGGTTCGCTACCAAGGCCAGCCCGCTCGTACCGCTACCTAGCAGCTCCGTCGACACGCCTGAAAAACAGGCCGGTGGAGGCCAAGGCGGGGCGGCTGGACGGTAAGTCGGAAGCCAGGACGATATGGAGGCGTGGAGCTGGTGTGAGCGTGTCTGGGCTGTGAGAGGGCCGGTGGGCGTTGGTGGTTGCCGGACAGTGCTGGATCAGGAGCTGCAACTCCAGCTGTCATTGGGGATCGCGGTACCCTCTGCCGCTGATTACACCGGGAAGGGTACATGCACCCGGGAATCAGGCACAGTGCAGTCCAAAAGAAAACCAGCGGGCGAATCAAGGCCCCGGGCTGCAGAAAAGGCGGATGGGCTGCCGCTGCCGCTTCCGAGCGAGTCAGAAGAGTCGAATCGGGCGTCTCGGGGGGCTTGACGTTGACAAGTTGCAGTGACTGGCACAGCCGCGCGAGATAAGGCACCAGAACCTTGCGTATATCGTACATGTACTGTAGCGTGTTGCCAAGGAACAGTACCTTGCTGCTGCTGCAGAAGCTAAAGAGGATCCAATGGATTGATGTCATTGAATGATTACAAACAGTACGAGTAGAGTAGAGTAGAGTAGAGTAGAGGGTTAGTGCAAGATGGATGGAATCAAGACTCCGTTGACACATGAGCAAGACACTATTTCCTCGTACTTGTGCACAACCAAGTTCTCTTCAAATGCCTCTTCCTTACTCGTACCTACATGGAGAAAACGCCAAGCGGTTTGGCGATCGGAGGCTGCAGAGGGCCATCATCCTGGCAGCCTATCCATCTATCTTGCCATCTGCCGCTACCCCAGCACACGTTGGAGTTGCTGCATTCCCCATGACTGCGTGCGTAATTAATTGGTCAAGGGTTTCCCTCGTGCTAGAGCTGATAAAGGTGTCGAGGTACGTCGACGAATTAGATCAGTGGTTTGTATCGAGGTTATCCTATCCGTAGCCGGTGATCCATCCATCCATCCATCCATACAAGCTTAACACACTCAAGCTTTGGTCACTCACCAGCATCAATACATCCATGTCTGATCAACGTAATATACATACATGCACCTGCCATAAACAAATCTATAATCGCTACTACTACTACCCAATTCTGCTTATGCCTCATCTTTTCATAGTAAGTATAGTCACATCAAAGCAAGCGACCACGCAAGGAACATTGAAAATGGCCCCTCACTCCGAACGCCGAGCTCAATCTTATACCTTCAATATGTACCCAGACCCTCGCTTATCAACCTACGGAGTACTGCCACCGCAAATCCCCAAAGTCCCAACTCCAAACCTTCCAGAAACCCCACGTAACTTGCAGTTGTCTACCTCCATAGTCTTCTGACATGTCTAATTCGGAGGCTCCCTCATTCATCCAGGCGCTAATCCTGGACGGGCGCTGGCGGCTCAATCTCAATAGACCGACAACAGCTGGTGAACGCATGGAGCGATCGAGGCTGCGGGCAATATGACACTGAGGGGGGGCCGGAGTTGAATTCTGCCAGGTATGTTAGCAGAACTTCTGCCGTCGTTACGTTTCCTCAATATCCATGACTGTAAAATAAGTACCTATGGATCTTTTGTCAGCTTGCGCGCTCCTAATAACCGCTCTGGTGGGTATATCGTCTCTTTGTTCTAGCCCCGAGCCGGCAGTTCCATCTTTTCAACATGGAAAAAGAGCAAAACGCGAGCGCAAAGCAGATCTCGAGCAAATGCCATGTATCCCGTCCCGAGGTGGGTATTGCACGTGTGCGAGTTGCGAGAGTGCCGGTAAATGGTTGTCTTTTCCCACCCTCCACCATGTCGGATCGACGGATCTCGCCTTGACATCAACCCGAGCCCTTCGGCCTGGATGCCAGCGAGCGACGAGTTCTTGTTTTTGTCACCGTCTACGCTTATCACTCTCGATAGATACAGAACGCCCGGAACGTCTCGTGTTGTGTTGTAATACGGCGCCCCGTACGACTGTCCACGTAGCGGCCAAGCACAGCAGGATAGTATACCTTTTCGCATCTACTACTAATAATATCCTGCCCTGCATACAGCTCATGCAGTGAGAAGAAGCGCCGCAGCTTCGCGCTCCCGACTTACAGTACCAGACGTCGGCGAATCGGGTGGCGAGAGGGATTGGAAGGCTTGAGCTTTGTCTGCCGAGCAGCTCTGGACACAAGCCGTGCCGTGCCATTTGGCCCCCATGCCCTTGCGCGCGTTTGTTCCCGTTGAAGTGTGTTGTTTTGATGGCATCCACAGTAACGTGGAAGATGCAGCTTTACACGGATAGGTATCGGATACTAACCTCGAGAGCAGTTGCAAACGTCCAAGCCAAGGACCTACGGCAAATCGCTGAAATAGACTGCACCCTTGTACACCATCCGAAGGTTCCTCCTGTTAACGCCGTCATTTGCCTTTTTGTCTCGTAACCGCGAAACAAATCACTTTGATGCCCCGCACCCATCATCTCCTACTACACCATCACACACGATCAATACTATCACGTAGGTCTAATGTTTTATATGCCGTCGTATCCATAGGTACATGTATGGAAAGGTACTGCCTGGTATGTACGGGTGTGCCGGCATACACCGACTTGGATGGGTCCTGCTATAGTGCTCACTGACGCTGTTCGATTCGACATGTTCTGATTACTGTCCGCATATGTACGCTCAGGTGATATATCGCAATTATTACTACAGAGTATATGTACTTGATCCTTCAGTTGGGTCGCCTCCTTTAGAGTTCCAGGTCACAGCAACTTCGCATCATCTTTCCAAATTCCCTACAAACTCGCAACTATTGATTCGACTACTGCTAGCCCCCTCCACAGCCCGGCAATGCGCTGCCGGGCTCCTCCTTAGAAAGCGCCTATAACTCGAGTCGTTTATAGGTGCGAAATATAGTATCCATGGAAAGTAGCCTAGATCTACAGTAAAAACACCAGAATACAATCATGGCTGCGGAATTTCCCGTCCGTTAACCCGTCCGTAAACGAATTCTCCCCGAGAACGAAAGCCAAGACTACGACATAGTGCATGTACAGGTATAAGTCAGGGGGGAGACACACACACACACACATGACGCCCAATACGAATAATTACCTGAAGCACGCAGAGGTGACGCCAAGTACGAGTATGCCGTTGAAGCAGGGGGCTCCGTTCTCTGAGATTTGATGCCATCTCGACTACATTTAGCTCTCCCCAATCTCTCGTCCAAGCGAAGCAACTAGAACATACGCGCATGCCTTCTAAAGGGACATGTGGAGCTAGCAAAAAAAAAGAGAGATGAAATGTCCAGCCTGTTCCTTAATCCTTCTTCAGACCTACCTACAAAGCTGAATTCTCTTGTCTTTCGCTTGTGATGAAGATGCCCGATAGTCGAGCCGGCCATTGTTGCAGATCAAGTAAGGATCAAGACACCAGAGCGGTGCGGCCAGACTCTCCACAGCAACTAACATGATACACACAACGCGCATCTCCATTGACACGTTGTTGTGTCTCGTCATACTACACACACTCTCCCAAAAAATCAGTCCACTTTCAAAACGTCTTTTATCGTGCTTGGCGCGTAGTGTTTCCAACCCACGCCAGGTACCCCCATACTAACACACACACACACACATACATACATGTACTCTCTGCACATGCAATCCTTTGCCATCACACAACTTGTCCAGGCACCGACATTCTAAAGCGGAATTGCTTCCTTCTCCCATACTCCTGTGCAACAACTCCAATTTTCGATATTGGCCCCCAATCAATGGCATTTTCCCCCTCTTCTTATTTGCCCCATGAGTTTTTAATATGGGGTATCTTGTGTTACATCGGCTTTCAGGCGTTGAGATTCCAACTCCTCCCGACACGATGGCAGTGGATAGCGATGCTGGATTGCCATGTTCAGAAATGATCCCTGCTTTGTTAACCAAGCGGTTTTACAGAGTAGATTTCGCTATTACAAGCACTGCTAGTTTCTACATGTAGTTCTCTATTACAAATCGCTAACCAGACCTGGCAATACAGGCTCTGTTACTCGCCATCATGAAGTCTTCTTCAGGCCGTAATACCGAGCTTCAACTACCAATATGCTCCATTGTCCATTACAGCTAGCCTATTGCTACAACAGTGTTGTTCTTCATTTACAAGTATTTCATTAATCACGCTCAATCGGTTAGTGTGTCCTTCTTTCAAGGAATAGGTATATAGTATCACTATCTAAGTCCCTGCTAGGACGTTGTGCTTTTGCCTACCAACACATCAACAAGTCACCTTCGTCTCCCAAAAGGCTTCAGTAACCCCACAATGACTTGATGAACCTTTTCTAAAACCTGTAGCCGCCGCTGTTGCCGCCTCGGTCGCGGGATCTGTACTCAGAATCGTCGGCCTCGTCATCGTCATCACGGTGGTGGCGTCGCCCGCCATAACCACCCTCCTCACGAGATCCATACTCGCCGCCGTAGCTATCCTCGTCCCGGCGTCCGTAACCACTGTTGCCGTAGCCGCCCTCTTCGCGGCGTTCGTAGCTAGATTCTTCACGGCGCTCATAGCTGTTGTCTTCGTCATCGTCTCGGCGGCTATATCCTCTCCCTGATTCATCGTCAGACCCACGACTATGACTATGATGATGGTGATGGTGATGGTGATGGTGATGGTGCTCGTGGCTGTGCTTCTTACGGTTATCATCAGACCCCCTGCTGTCGCTTCTTCTCTGCTCGTAACCACCGCCGTAGCTGTCCTCGGTGGAACGGTACTCATTTCGCTCGGTGCGCTGTTCATACGATTCATAGGAGCTCTCGTGAGTCTCTCGTCTCTCCTCGTAGCTGGACTCTCCATAGCCTCTGTTGCCGTATGACTCCTGCTGCTCGGAGCGTTGATACGAGGTTTCGCGTCCACCGTCGGGGCGATAAGTTTGGCTGTATTCAGCTTGGCCATATCGATCTCCCTCCTGGCCATACTCCCGTTGGCGTTGCGTATAGGAGCCGTCCTCCCCAGTCTCGTAACTAGTTTCTCTCTGGGTCGAGCCTTGCTCAAAGGCCCCTCCCAGGAGGCTACCGGCCATGCCACTGATGAGGCCACCGATGCCGCCATCGTCTCCGCCTGACTGCTGTTGCTGGGTAAAGGGAATGTCGACGCCGGTATTCTGGGAAACAAACCCAGATAGGGCACCGGTAGCGCCGGAGAAGATGGCGGTTGCGGCGGCGCCAGCAATCTGGTCCTCGACGCCCTGAGGCTCGCCAAACTCCTTGCGCATCTTCAACTTACCCGAGCAGCCGTGGCCGGTATCGTGGACACCCTCCTTGTGGTTTTCACCGTTGAGAATTCCCTGTGGAGAGAGCTTGCGACGATAGTCCTCCTGTTGGTCCTCACCCATATCACGCCACCACTCTTGGACAGAGTTAAAGATGAGCTGTCGCGCCTCGGCAACACCATCATAGCCCATATCACGCTGGGCGGGGTGGTGCATGACACCGTTTACAATGCGTTCCAGCAAGCGGTCGATATCAACTGAATCGTCATCAATGGCTTCCATGATTTGTGGCACAACCCAGTGGAGCATCCTGGCGGCAGTTCGACCGGCAATCTCGTTGAGAATCTACACCATCGTTTAGCTTAGGAAGCCGAATCTTAGTATCTTTATGCTGCACTTACGTTGGAGAAATGGTCCTTGGAGAGCATTGAATGAGTAGGATCAGAAGAGTAGTCATCGTCAAAAACGATGTGCTGCTCCTTCTTGCTGCTCTCGATGATTTCTGAGGATCCGGTTTGAAGTTCGTTCTTGATCTGGTGGATCAATGGAACAATGAAAGGTGCCATGATGGAAAAGACGAAAATGGAAAGCTGCTCCTCCAGCTGTTCAATAATCTTGGGAAGGATAGGGATGTTCTCAATCGCACCGCTGATGCTCTTCATAATGCTATCGTGGAATTCAATGACGGGCATAATCTGTCGAAAGATATTCTTGATGTAGACGGTGAATTCTTCGGGATCCTTGGGAGAGACTGGGACGGTTTCTTCCTGGGCGGCAGACGCATTGGACTGAAGCTCGTTGATCTTGTCTCCTTGGTTGCCTCCAATGATTCCAGGGGGGAGGTTGCTGAGAAGGGACTGGAGCATGCTCGTGTCGCCGGTCTTGCCTTCGTTGAGTGCTCCCTCGAGCTCGTCAATTTCATTTTGAGTCAACTTATCCGACACTACGCGCAAGCGTTAGTTTGAGGGTACTGTCCAAGATGCAAGACATAATCAGCACATACCTTCTCCGGTGACGGAGTGGAGGAAGTCGACACCTCCAAATGTGCCCGTCACGATAGGATAGACGGAGCCACGAGCGCCTTGCAGCTCAATCTGAGTATTGCGGCCAACGTGGGGGAAGATTCCACGCTCTCCCATTTCAATGAGTGCAAGCTCAATGTAGTTGCTGTGAGCGAAAAAGTCTATTCAACAAGTTGAGGTTAGAAGCTGTTTTTCGAACAAGTCAAAGGGAGCTGTCATAAGCATTCATGGTGCCACGGTCTACTAAATCAAAGCAGACGATTTGAAAGGGGATCTATAATTTACCTTCCAAACAGTGGAGACCAGTTCCCATCAATCGGAGGGCTTCGTAGAGCTCTGGCTTTTCTCCAGATTGCTTGTACTGGCGACCAAGCTCGATGCATCGACCAAAGAGATTCCGCACATGTTTAGCGGACGTCATGATACCAGCTCGCTCGTTGGCAATGTAGTTTTTCATTCCAGTTTCCGGATCGACGGCAAGCTCGACCTCCTCGTCGATGGGACCTCTCAGGCGGGGGTCATAGTCTCGGGCGTCGACACCTTCTCCATAGCCCTTGGGGTTGTCAATGTGATCTTCGGGGCGGTAGCATCCGAGACGCTCGGCCGTAACCTCAAACTCGCCAGAGCCATAGCCAAAGGACATGAAGCCAAGAACGCAGAGGAGAAGTCGAATAGCCTCGGCAGAGACCATCTTGACGGTGCCCACGTCGATGGCCTGGGAGTAGTCGCGCAGCCAGTTGCCAAAGTAAACTCGTGAAACGGTCCGCTTGTTGAACTTCCTGCCGCCCTTGATGGCATGGGCCATGGCCAGGGTTAATAACGCATCTTCGATGTCACCGTGTCGCCCTGTGGAATTGCGAGTTAGCGATATGGAGAAACAGGGTAGAGCTGAACGTACAGTTTTGGCCCTCGACCTTGGAAACAGACGCAATGTTGCCAGCTCCGAAAGCAGCTGCCGGCTGGACCAAGCAAACAAGGAGCACCAGCCCCAAAAGGAAGCCAGGCGCTCTAAAGTCGATCATGGTGGCGCGCTTTGCTGGCAATAGCTTGGATCGTCAATATTTGAGCGATGCTATAGCGAGCCCGTCGCTGTCGGGATAGGATGGGATAGGATAGGATAGATCGTGGGACTTGGCCAATACCCAAGTTCTCTTGGCAACGAACGTAGAAATAGAAGAGAAGAGGAGGAAGAGGAAGCGTAGGTAGAACCAGTGGATTGCTGAAGAGATGGCACAGGAGAAAATGGAGAGAGGAGAGGGGCATAACGGAGCATTAGGAGGGGCATTTGGACGGAGCACAAGGTCATGCTAGCATCCAGTAATCCGCCTCATCTCACACCAATCGGCAGCCGCATCAGCTGTCGTCAGGAGTCTTGGCATCGGTCCAGAGGTCCAACCAAACAGCTCCTCTTCCGCAGATTAGCTCTGGGATGGCCATGCCGGCGCCGTTTCATGCCGCGAGGGGCAACAAGGCATAAACAATGCCGGCGGGCTTGGACTGGGACGCCTTGGTGGGGGATCAAGAAATCAAGATACCTCGGGCTTGGTGGCGTCGGCGCGCAGAGGGCGGGTATACGGGCGAGACGCTTGTGGCAGACGCTATTTCGGCCAGGGTCGGTAAGGTTACTCGATACTTTGTTTTTAATGCGACAACGCGTCGCACAGGTCGCAAGTTGGTTTGGAAGAGTGCTCGTATGTCACGATTATCCAGGCAGAGCAGATCTGCAGAGGCGAAATGACGTGAATCGGGCACTTTGCGTGGCCATGTATGTACTCGTACTGTATGTACAGCAACCTGTTTCTGTGCCCAGTGTAAGAGTGATCAAGGGTTCTTGGTACATGTACTAAGTAAGGCTGACTCCGATGACCTACCGCGTGATGCCACTGCACAGCTTCATGCCCCCGCCAAAAGATTGATGAGAGCGTGCTACATATTTCTGATATCAATATTTATTCACCACCGTGAATAAAACTAGGCACAAAGGCGCCTCAAGCTGTTGAATATGGGTGTATCTATGTACCTCTAGTAGCTGGAACATTTCATTCTAAGAGCTTGTCACTTCTTTCTTCATAGGTACGTGTATTCCTTGGTGTTCATCGTACTGGGAGGTCGGTACTTGTTAGACGTGATAATTGCCGGAATACCTGCATATAGCACAGCATAGCACACTTTTCATATCGACGTACAATACTGATACTCTCCACGAATCTAAGTGGAGGCAGCGATGGTGGCATTGTCACACTCATTACAACCTCGATGAGCCGAGTTGACTAAGAGACGATGAAGCCAGATCCCAAACAGATATATCGACGTCATCGCCATTCTGATGAGAGACACAGCTGTCGCTGCTGTGCATGCATCGATGCATGCACTAGGACAGGTAGAAAGTGCGCACATCTGCTGGCACAGAGCCATTAATGCTCTGTAAGAAGAGCTGACAGCATCTGACACATGCCGTTGCTGTAGGTAGGGAGATTGCTCCAGTACCACGTAAGAGTTCAATACAATGAGTGGTATCGACCTGACTATTTCACACGCATATACATTATTTTGTCAACCATCCGGCATGGTACTGATGGGTATCTGTATCCAACTTTGGCAGTTAATGTCGTGTCAATACCTAGAAGTGCTGAGGTCTATGTCCATGTGTTACACAGGAGCACCTGTATCATTGGTATATGGTGTACGGAGTGCAAGATCAACTCCAACCTACAGCAAATCGTCCAGCTAAGCTCGACAAATGGCAGCAACGTCAACATGAGCTCCAATGCATACTAATGGATGCCCGAATTGTATGAAAGTTGGGACTTTGAAGGACGTTTCTAGCCTTTTCCTATGCTCTGTCGTCCTTGTTGATCTACCAGAAATAGTCAATCTTCACGAGCACGTGGAACTAGAGCAAGATCCAGTTTCCAAGTTGTCTAGTGCTCATTGTACGACATGATGCTTCTCGGGGCAGTTCCACGCTGAGAAGATTCGATTTCAACGGCGCCGTACTACAGGCTCCCCAGCAGCGTGGCAATGTTCTGACCTGGGATTACACCCAGCCCAGCCCACGCCCAACTACAGCGGCCATCCGCATGTTTCACTCACGCTCCAGCGCGTGCTCCATCTTTCCACAGCTCTCACGACAGTCTCGTCGCTAACCAGCCTCAACTATAATCCATCTTTTTCCAGCGCAAGATACCGCTCAGCTGGACTTGGGAACGCAGAGGAGCGAGGGAACAGCATCGAACGATGAGGTGGTGCGCGGCAGAGGCGGGGTAAGTCGTTCGACCCAAAGGCGCCCAACAAAGGCCCAAGGCGCGCTGTTTCGTCCACTGGGGGCTGGATCAGCGAAGGAGCAGCAGCGGCCATCGGTCCAGGACGCTACAGACCAGACACGTCAACAAGAATTGCTCCAAGGCTCCCATTGATCACTTGCCGCTTTTAGGCGTGCGCTGAAACTCCAGTGGTGAGGGGCGTTCATCATCGTGCTGAAATGTACGCCACGTACGCCGCGGCGCCAGCAGTCGCCGAGAGACCGCTAGCATTCCGTCTTGGGCTTCAATTGGCTGCTGTCCCAGTGTAACCAGCGGCTGGCTCGTCGGATCCCAGAACTGATCGGACGTCGCTGTCTAGGTGCTTCAGAAGGTAGCTAGCAGGTATTGCCGAACCACCAAGCCGTGGTGAAGCGGCGTTTCCAGAAGGTCGGTAACGGCGCTGTTGGCCGCGCAGAACCAGCGCAAGACACGCGCCGGGCTCAGCTAGACAGCATGAGACAGTTGAGGAGCAACAACGACAACAGCATCACCGGAGACGAGAGAAAGACAAAATGCCATGACACCAAATAAGACTAAGCGAGCACGCACAAAGTACATGCTCGGTACTTGTAAAAAATGACCCGACATGAATCAAAAATGCCCTGCGCAGGCGGGAATCCAGCTCAGAGGGAAAGAGCGTAGGTGCATGTGGAGCGAGCGACTGACCGCCCAAGCAGCTGCATCATGTAGTGGCTATGCTGGAGACTGGCAGTAGTAGTTGCATGGAAGAATTTGATCCATGGCCGCTGAGAGGATGGACGTGTGCTGTAAAGTACGGTAGGTGGACGTTGTCGCGGGAAAAGAGGCCACGGACTGACAGCTACGGTTGGCAGATTTGCACGTTACGGAGGCGACAATCATCGTTGTGTCAGGTTCTGAGCCCGAGAACTACCCAAGCCGAGGGCAGTGCACCTCAGCGAGCGTACAGTTGTGAAGACCAGCGTGCGCTGACGAGAGGCCGAGGGGGCCGCTGCAAGCGCTGTACAGTAGCACCAGACCAGAGTGTGACCGGGCAGACAGCACGATTTGCCGGATCACGGCCAGCACCAAGAAATCGAGCACCAGGGCCCTGGGGGAAACACCGAGGTCGGGCTGAGCTCTACTGCTGGAGTCCAGCAGCAGTCCCGAGCCCAGCTGGCGAGCGCAGTGCGGGGTCTCTCAGAAGGGCCCAGGGCATGGCCGCCCGTGCTTCCGGAGTCGACTCGAGCTGAGCTGAGCTGGCTGAGCAGAGCAGAGCAGAGCAGAGTCGAGCACGGCCTGGGATGGGATTTCGTAGCGTGATGTGGTATTTCCCAGCGGGCGCGCGAGACATCACTGGCTCGACTGGTTGGGCTTGGCCAGGCGCCTACGCACGCAAATTTTTCTGTCTGGTGCGTTGCATGTGTCGGGGGCAATGGATGGATGGATTTACGCGCCAGAAATGCTGTGGGTGCCTCTTAGCACGATCAATCAGCGGACCAAGCAACGGAGTGCCACGCCCTGGGAGGGGAGAGGAGGGGCGCCAGTCCAGTCCAGCCCAGCCCGCGGGAAGAGGGAAAAAAAAAGGAAGAAAAAAAAAGCTGGTCGACTGGACCGCTGCGGCTGCCGCTTTTGCGCTGATTGCGCGCTCCCCCCAAAGCCCCGGCGCAGGTACTTATTGCGCGCACCGCCCACCACAAGCCCCAACCCCCGAAATTTTGTTTTCCCCCCGTTCTTCAGCACTCATCCATCCCCCAAAAACCCAAACCCGCGGTCCCTGATCCACCACCTCAACCTTCATCCCGCTATCCATTAGATCGCTCTCAGCGGGCTTCTTCAGAACCCATCGCAGCAGCGCATCTCCCAGCTACAGCTAGGGAAAAAAACAACACCAGCGCAAAGCCAGTGCCCGCTCAGCAACGCGCCGGCTTTTTCACAACGTCGCCAGCAGCCACTTTTTGCCGCTAGAACACTTGACAGTTACCAGCATCACCCGCAATGCCTCGCCCGCCCAAGAAGTCCGTAGAGGAAAAGGCCAAGGCGCTGCCCGTGGCCGTTGTGCCTCCTCCCACCATGGTGCCCGCGCCCGTCGTCGCTGGCCTGCACCCAGCAGCAGTTCCCGGGCCTGTTCCCGGCGTGCCTCAGCGCGTGGTCGACAACGATAGCTTCTTGCGCGTCCGTGACTCGGTAAGTTTGATCGCTTCCAGAGCTTCCAATGTTCTGCTTCAACCCTCAACTCTCACTCTCCCCGTCAATGATTTGCCCGGGGCGATGCGGCCAGAGACAGACAGAGACACGCGCTGGTGTCGAGACGCATCTCCTCAACTTCTGTTGCTTTTTTTTTCTTCCTTCTCTTTGCTCGAGTGACGTTGAGTGAGCCGGCAGTTGGCTGGGCCTCTTTGTGTGGCGAGACCTCGCTTCAGGTGGCGTGAAACCGGGCAGCAAGAGTCAAAACACAGACACACACGTCCAGCCTCACTTGGTGCATCTCATATTTTCGCTTGATTTTATTCCCCATCACATCTGCCCATTGCTTCTGGCTCCGCACGACCAGCACTCACTGCAAGCCCCTCATTGTTTACATTTGAGGCTGGCCGAGCCCCGCGTCTCGCTGAGATGCCGCCTGAAGCTGTCGAGTGGTGGCAATACTACAGCAGCTTTGCCTCACTTCAAAACACTGCTCTTCGTCTTCCTTGCCTGAAAACTTCCCTCGAACAATAAGAGCAGTTTGCTAATAAACTCAATTAGGCCGTTGGCAGACTTACCACCATTCTGGAGCTCTTGAGGTCATTCACCAATGACTACATTCGCCAGACCAACCTGCTGCTTGGCGAGGGCACTGCAGAGGGTCCCCAGGGCGACCTTCTCAACACCTTTGATGCTGCTGCCCAGCTCATCATGCCCATCCCTGACATGACCCCTCTTGTTGAGGAGAAGAAGGAGCGCAAGAAGCGCACCCACGACCCCAACGCCCCCAAGCGCCCCCTGACCCCCTACTTCCTCTACATGCAGCATGCTCGTTCCATCATTGCCAACGACCTGGGAGCTGATGCCCCGAAGGGCGCCGTTCAAGAAGAGGGCCAGCGACGGTGGGCACACATGACTCCCCAGGAGAAGCAGGGCTGGAACAATGCTTACCAGTACAACCTGCGCCTGTACAATGCCCGCGTTCATTCTTACAAGAACGGAAACCCAATTGCCAAGAACATGACCGATGAGGAGGCGCTTAAGTACGCCGAGGACTTCCACATCCCCATGCCAGAGCTCAAGGAGGCCACCGCCCAGGCTGAGCCCGTCAACGACCAAGAGGCCATTGCCGAGCAGCTGCAGCAGGTTGCCGCCGCCGCCGAAGAGGGCGAGGAGGAGGAGACTCCTGCCAAGACCCCCAAGAAGCCCGCCTCCAGCCGCAAGCGCAAGACTGCCACTCCTGCTGCCGAGGTTGAGACACCAAAGGTCGCCCCGCCTGCCAGCCCGGATAAGAAGCGGAGAAGGACGTCGGCCAAGGCGGCCGAGCCCGAGAAGGAGGAGCCCAAGAAGTCAGGACGCAAGAAGACTAAGAGCACTTGAGTAATGCAACCTTGGCAACCAGCGGCAATCCGAGCTGCCCTTCCCGCATTCTTGCCCCAGGTCCATTTGGCAACAGGGGCCGCCCTGGAGTAGCGAAAAGCTTCCTTCTACGACTCATCCCCATGCCATACTATCTGCAGACAGCAAAATCTAGCAGAAGGGATTGTTGGTGTCTTCTTCTCTTTCAAAGTTGGCTCTTGGTTTTTTCTTTTTGGTTGAAAAGGGAATCATGATACCTCAGACGAGAACGGCGGCGGAGATGGGGCATTCCTCCCCCTTTTCCCCTTTGCTGGGCTTTGTTGATACAGTCCGTCTTGCGTTTGTTTTTTTGAGCATGAACCAGGGGGAAAGATCAATCTCTGATTTGATTTTTCCCTCTTATATCTCTCGCTTCATTCCGACTTTCCATCGCCCGGCATATGGCGGTTCGTATAAAATCAGGGTTTTTAGGGCGCATCGTTTCTACTTTTTCCTCCATTTACGTATGGCCCTTTTTGGTTTTTTTTTTCTAAAGGGACAAACAAGGGGGGCATCCGGATTTCGTTTTTTTTCGTTAGGTAGTTCTCTGGGACCAAACGGAGGGATGGGCGGAACTTGTTACGTCGTGTATCTAAGTCTCTCAAGTTCGTTGTTGAACGGCCGAACTTTGTATGCGATAATGAAAGCAATGATTAAGCAAAATGACTTCATATCTTGTGTCCCTATCTATGGTGAACGTGACTTTTGAAATGACATTGGCTTTGAAACACTCGACACTACAGGTATTGTATTCATTCTATTTACATCAATCAATATACGTAATAAGCCTGCGTCAGAGGCAGCGTCGTCGCCGGCTCGGCGCTGCACACCTGCCCATCTGCCTCGACAATGTAGCTCTCCGGATCGACCTTCATCTTGGGCATGGTGTCGTTGAAGCGCATGTCGCTCTTGGACACGGTGCGGCATCCCTTGACGGCCTCGACGCGCTTGCGCAGGCCGTACGACGCAACGGCGCCGGAGACGATGGACTCGTTGGAGACGAAGAGAATGCTGGTTTGGGGGACGAGAGGGGCGAACATGGGGCGGGCGATGATGGGCTGGACTGTTGGGATGGAGGCATTGGGGTCACCCTGCAAGGATTTGGATTGTTAGTTGTTGGTTCAATAAAGAGTGTGTTTTCAAAGGTGAATTAGGGGGAAGAGATGTGTGTGTGTAGACTGACCATCTGAGCCAAGGCAATGAGGCCGCTCTTGATAACGAGTGACGGCTTGGTTCCAAACCAGGCTGGATCCCAGACCACCAAGTCCGCCAGCTTGCCCACCTCGACACTGCCAATGACATGGCTGAAGCCCTGGGCCAAGGCAGGGTTGATGGTGTACTTGCTCACGTAGCGCTTCACCCTAAAGTTGTCCGCACCGGTTCCGGCGTCCTCCGGCAGAGGCCCCCTTTGCGACTTGTTCTTGTCGGCCGTGTTCCACGTCCGGAGAATGACCTCGCCGCACCTCCCCATGGCCTGCGAGTCGGAGCTCATCATGCTGATGGCGCCGAGGTCGTGAAGCACGTCCTCGGCGGCGATGGTCTTGTCGCGAATCCGGCTCTCGGCGAAGGCAACATCTTCGGGGATGTCTCTGGACAGGTGGTGGCAGACCATGAGCATGTCCAAGTGTTCGTCGAGAGTGTTTTTGGTGTATGGCCGAGTGGGGTTGGTTGACGAGGGGAGCACATAGGGGTGCTCGACCACGGAGATGATGTCTGGGGCATGGCCGCCGCCTGCACCTTCGGTGTGATATGTGTGAATGGTGCGGCCCTTGATGGCATCGATAGTGGATTCGACGAAACCAGATTCGTTGAGCGTGTCGGTGTGAATGAGACACTGGACGTCCATCTCGTCACAAACCGTCAGACACGAGTCGATGGCGGCTGGGGTGCTGCCCCAATCTTCATGCAATTTGAGGCCGCAAGCTCCGGCGGCGACTTGCTCACGCAGGGCGACGGGAGAGCTGTCATTGCCCTTGCCAGTGATGCCGACATTGACAGGTAGTTGGTCGCAAGCTTGGAGCATTTGGCGCATGTAATTCTTTCCCGGGGTGCAAGTTGTTGCGTTGGTGCCGGCACTGCAGGACTTATATCAGCCAAGATCCAGACCACATATCAAATAGGAGAAATTCGATCGCATGTATGAGTGAGAGGGCTTGTCGGAGCGATAGAGAAAACGTCATTAAGACTTGCCTAGGTCCCACGCCTCCTCCTAGCAACGTGGTGATTCCAGATGCAAGAGATTCGTCCGCCTGCTGTGGGCATATAAAGTGAATATGAGTGTCGAGGCCGCCAGCCGTGATAATCTTTCCCTCGCCAGCGATGACGTCGGTACAGCTGCCCACGACCATCCCCGGCGATACGCCGTCCATGACATCGGGGTTGCCTGCTTTGCCGATTCCTACAATGTACCCGTTCTTTACACCAATGTCGGCTTTGTAAATGCCCGTGCAGTCAACCACGAGAGCATTGGTCACCACCATGTCCAGAGAATCGGCGTCGAGTCGCCCGGTTGCTTGTCCCATGCCCTCGCGAAGCGTCTTGCCACCACCAAACTTACACTCGTCCCCGTAGACGGTAAAGTCCTTTTCGACCTTGACCCATAGACTCGTATTTCCTAGGCGGACCAAGTCGCCTGTCGTTGGGCCAAACATTGTAGCATAGGCGGCACGATCCATCTGGAACGCATCAATGTGAACAGCGTCGGTGAGGGGTTCTGGTGTGTGTGCGAAGCCAGCCTGCTGTAACTTGGCAACGATGTCGTTGATTCTCCAGAGCTCCAGGCCTCCGGTTGCCATGTGGTTACCGCCACGGATGACCTTGTTCCCCCCGATCTCCACAAGGGTCACCGTCTTGGTGTCCCCGGGCTCGAAGCGAACTGAGGTGCCTGCCGGAATGTCAAGCCGGTAGCCATATGCCCTTTCGCGATCAAAATCCAGCTGCGGGTTGGTCTCGATAAAGTGGTAATGCGAGCCGACTTGAATGGGCCGGTCTCCCTTGCTCGTCACCCTGAGCCTGATTCGCTTGCGGTCCTGATTCAACGACACCTTGCCCTTGACGGCCACGACAACGCCAGGCTGTGCGGTAGCTTCATACTCCTCAGCAGCGGCGAGAGGGAAAAACTGGTCAACATCCGGGACGGGCAGAAAGCTGCCGTACAGGGCGCGTTCCAGGTCGCCGTCGTCTGTACGGATGGGGTTGTGGACAGTGACCAGATACGTGCCCATGGGGAATGTGCCTTCAACCTGGATCTCGGTCAAGGTGGCGCAAACGGAGGGCTGGACATGACGGCGGCCAAGCATGGTAGACCCGAGGTCCATGAGATCGGCGACGCTGTGGTTGCCATCGCGGATGAGTTCTTGCAGGTTGTTTGCGATGAGAGCCTGCAAAGCAGTTGGATATAGTTAGTGTGACTTGTGTGACTTGGGTTATGCTGGATGACAACACCAGCGAAATCAATAAAGTCCGTACCGTTGCCTCGCTGTGGTTCAGCTTGACACCCCTGGCAAGGCGCCTCTGCGCCAGGAAGCCCACCTGTGAGATGACGAGCTTGTCGAGCTGCAACAAGTTCAATTGCTGGTGGTTAGCCACAGACAGATCGATCCACCAGAGCTCCAGCTGCTAGGTAGCCAAGGGCTTGGCCGGGAATAGCGTCAGACGCACCTCTTTCGGTACCAAGTGCATCGTGTCTCACTCAAACACAGAAACCTCTGTCTATCAATCAATCGAGCGGCAAGGCTTAGCTGTAAGGGAGAATGAAAAGCCACAAAGATCTGAGCCGTAGAAGAACAAGGTAATCATCGTTGCAGCCTTTCCCCGCAGGTCAACCATTGGATGCGTGTCTTTGCCTATTCTTCGTCCAGAGATAAGGATCGCTGATACGGGGGAGGCGCCTGTACTGAGTAGATGTTACCTCATCACCTTTATCTATCGAGATTGCCGCCAGTGATATGGAGCCGCGTCCGGGTCAAGCCTTAAGCCGCTGTGGCTCAGCGCGCTTGTGTCCGCTGCATGTGCTGAATCAAGCATTTGGACCCTGAACTTGAAATGAACATCATCTACAATTACTTGAGCAATGGATCGACAGACCTACTATTATGATGTTCATCTTAACAAACTCGTCATCTTACTCGTGCATTTGCTGCTGGAAATAAATCAATTCGTATAGATGTATAAGTTTCTCTCGAGGCGCTTCATACCTAAAGCCGGTTCATAACCAAACGCCAGTCCACCCTTGCAAAACGAACAATACAACCCTTCCGAAATGACCTGCCAAATACCAGAAACACCATCCCCCACGATCAATTTGGTTTATTCCTCTTCAATCTCGTCATCCCACTGGTCCTTCTCCTTCTTTATCAACTCCGCCATCTCGTCCGGCTTGAAAATAGAGCTATCTGGATCTTCAGCTCGGGGGACCTTGTTGAGATTCTCGTCTTCAAAGACAGATCCTATCGTGTCGATCCACCTCCTCCGCCGCTCCATCAGCGTCTTGGTCAGGTCACCTATTCCCGGCCGCGCCATGCCCGCCGCCGCTCCGACAAAGTGGCTGCCTCCGCCCGCACCTCCGGGTCGCTTGGACTTCTTGCTCTTGCCCATTGTCCGCGTCCGCTTGAGATAGGCTGCGTTGACTTGCGAGTCCAGATCTTCGAGAATAGTCTGGTACTCTTGGTGGGCCATGCGCTCGCGTACCAAGTCCATCAGTCGTGCCTTGCGCGCGCCGTTGACGAGCATTTGCTCTTTTAGTCTGGCTTGCAGCAGCCGTAGTCTACCCGCGACCTCGTCGTCGAAATGGCCATCATATTCGCTCTCAATGCCATCTTGCGGAAGAAACCCAATATGCCGAAGCTCCTGTTTAAGCCGCTCCTCAACCTGGGCGTACTCAAGCTTTGGATGTGTCGCCTTCTTCCACGACTCCGTTGATGACTCCACCATGAAGGTAGCAGGCGGCACTGGACTTGATTTGTCGTCAACGCCATTCGGCTCGTCGCCGTTTATGTCCCCGTTCATGCTGATGTCGCCATTTGTAACCCCGTTAGTAGTTGGCTTGTCATCGGAGGACTGTGTTCGCGACTCAGGTCGCAGTGCTTGTAGTAATCTTGTGGCGAGGGGCCCGATAGATAGCGCATCCGTTTCAGCTACGCCGTCATTCATATTATCAATGCTGCCGCGAGGCTGGTTTGGCGGCAACTTGTCGCGATTCTGCTGCGGTGTGTCAATGGACATGGCACCATCCTCTTCAGCCCAGATCTCAGTATAATGCCTCTTGCCGCGCTTAGGCATGACAAAGGGTGTCACACGATCGCTGCGCTCTCGCAAAAACGCCAAGTCCTCTTCTGAGAATGGCCGGAAGTAGGGGTCAATGTACGTGGAAAAGGTCGAAAAGTTGATTTGACTGCTCGGCTTCGTATTACTAAAGTCCTTGTCCGGGGGGTCGCCGGCGATCATATCAGCCAGATCACTCCTTGGATACACCGCAACAGAGTAAATCTTCTTTCTCTCTTCATCCGGCATGCCATCGTAGGTGGGTAAAATCTCGTAGACGGTGGGGTCCGGGTAGGTGGATGGATCTTCGCCAAACGTTTGTGCTTGGGGCAGCTCGCGTCTAGGGGGTGCGCCCTCGTCTTCCGAGCTCTCTTCCTCCTCTTCGATTTCTTCCTTTTTGGGTTTCTCGTCGGTCTCCATGGCGTTTGGTGATGCTCCGCCGGCGATGGGAGAGAGCGACGAGCTGGCGTCGTCGTTGTCGCGCACGTGTTTCCGCTTCGAATCCCTCAGCGGAGAAGACTGCTCTATTGTGACTGGTTAGCAAAAGATCTCTCAACGCTCTCAACATCCAATAGCCTAGCTTCGTTGGATGCGACAACGAAGTGGCATGAGCTTGGACATACCATGGCTACCATCGCCCGGCGCAAGGTTATCGGAGCCCTTCTTGCGCTTGTGCTTGGACTTTTTCGTCTCGGTTTCTCCTCCATCCACACGCATGTCGTCGGGGCGCTTTTTCCGTTCGTCGGCCAGGTATCTCATTCCGCGGTCGTAAAACGTGGAGCGCTTCTCCATGATATTGATGAGCGTCTTAAGCTTATCAAGCATGGCGTCGATGCTCCGCGAGTCGGGGACGGCAGCGCTAGAGGCGCCCTGATCCACCAGGTTGTCAAAGGCGAGATTCGAAAACAATATGACTCTAGTATTGAGGTAGTCCGGATCGTAAAACTCCTGTGGTGGGAGTGCAGACGCCGGGGCCGGCACCGGCGTCGAATTCCGGCTCTGTTTCTGCATGGCGGCCGAGTTCTTCTTGCCTGTGCCTTTTTGTCCAGATCCGGGAGGCATGATGGAGGATGTGAGTCGCAGACGCTACCTAGCAGCTCACAGATGGAGTCGCAGATGAACAAAATGCCTGCGATGACTGTTTGATGGAAGCCCGGCGCTGTAGTTGCCGGCAGTAGACCATGGGTCCATTGTCGCGTCTACGCCTCATGTAAGCGCATGAAGCAGCGTATCGAATGGGGGGCTGTCGCGGTCGAGGGATTGATGACGTCGGAAGAGGTATTTTTCCGAGCGCAGACTTGCATAATCACCATGAGCTCAACCGAAAAGGGTTAGCGTAAAGGTGGTGTGGCATTTTGCTACCAAAGCAACAATATGCTCTTATTGAAACTTATACTTGTGTGGTGACACAATACACGTATATTTGGAAAAAGAGAGGGGAAAGTGAAAAGGGCCATAGAACTCAATTGAATCTGAAACTACCTATTGGAAATTTGCTGTTCCAACTTTAGCGTTATAGGCTGTGAATCACATAGCCTTGCATTCGGACGCAAGCTCTCAGTGTTTTCCCTGGCAGCCTCTCTGGGCAGCAACAGAAGAGCCTACCCTATTACGACCACATCAACTTGAATAGTACATTTTCTACTCACCTACTAGGTGGATTAGTACCTCAGTAGGTACCTAGGTAGTAGCTGAGGCATATGCTCCATAATGGATTGGTGTACCATGTCCAATCAGTTTTGAATTCCTTCCGTCAGATTTCGCTACCGCGACTCCGCGCAGGTGCAATTGAGCAATAACTATTCTTATAGTATTCTGAGCCGAAATGGGGAGCGTTGCTTTTCAAGGGAATATGTTTCGCCTTCCCAGAACTCTACCAGGCTGTCCAACGATGGACGATCGTTTGGATCGACCTTCATGCAATTTTCCACGATTTCGACCCAATGGGATGGAGGATCGTTTTCCCCTGCCCAGGTGACCTGAACATCATCGGGGTGCTCAACCTCGTCAAAGTCGGTGGCTGTCTGGCTCAGAAGCATCCACATGGTCCTCCCTAACGCAAACACCTCGGCCAACTCAACAGCTTTAGGGCAACTCGCTTGCCACTCTGGGAAGACATTCCAAACATTGAAGCTCTCCCGTCCACTGCCTTCCGGCATATTCCGACGCTCTGGGCCCGTATATTTGGTGTAGACCAGCTTCGTCGATCCGTTCTCCTTCGTATCTTGTTCTTCCACGTCCCAGGTTCCGTCGGCCTCGGGGGCGAGTGTGGTTGCTGGTGCACCGTGTTGCTCCCAGTCAATGAGGATCAGGTTCTCTTGGTCGTCAATAATAAAATTTCCGGGCTTTATATCCATGTGGAACGTATGCGTGACCCGGTGGGTGTGCCTTATTGCCAGGCACATTTGATGACACCATTTAGCTTTTTGCTGCAAGGGGATTTGCGATTTTCTTGCATTGACTGCGTAAATTGCGTTACCGAGGTCGCCTCTAGCGAAATAGGTTGATAGATGACCAACAAGCACAGCGTTCTGGTTGGAGTCGCGCACCGATACTAGGTACCGCGGTGGCGATTGGATGTTTGGATGGCGTGGCATGTTGGCGATTAATTTGCTAGAACGTCTCCAAACATCGACCGTGGTGCGGGCAAATTCGTCGTCGTCATCGTGAAGCTGCAGGTATGTTTGAAAATCAACTCCTTTGAAGACAAGCGTTGATGGCTTCCCTGAATCTTGAACCTGCACCCGCTTAGAGCAGCCTCTACCGCCCAATACCTCGAGTAGGGTAACCTCGGAGATGTCAAGCGTACGAGGAGAGTGGCCCTCAGAAACCAGGTCGCTTGACTGGATATCGCGGAGGAGGGCGAGATACTGATCAAAGAGTGGTTCCTGGTAAACCCTCCAGACAATCTCCTGGATCTCTCCAGGAAGGATATCAACCACAACTCCAGGGTCGGTAATCGCAAGATCCATGATGCAATGAGGCCAAACCGTGGCTATGGCAGACCATAAGGCGCTTCGCATTGAGCTGCGATCCTGGAAAGTGAATGCCCCATCTGGCACCTCGAGGTCGTGATAGCAGCAGACAATCCGGCTTGGCAATGACTGGGGCGAGCTGTCATGGCTCCGCTGGAAACGGAAAATGATTGCCTTTCCTTGTCCAAGCACTTGGGCATAGACAATGGTTTCGTCTTCATCGCCCCAGATGCTGTCGGGGGCAACGCCAAGCGCTTCGAGGGCTTGTACTTCTCTCATGATGATTCCGATGTTGAAAATTGATGAACGGTTGGTTTTGACGGATGAGAGTCAATATAGATTGGTCGAGCAAACGGCGAAGGAAAACCTGGTGGGGTAGGTTGCTGGCCGAAGGAGGTGTGGCCAGTCTGGGCACAAGGGAGATTGTACGGAAACCAGCAGCTCCATAAGGCAGTCGTTGTTGGTGAGACGGGGGCATCCATTCATGTCGCAGTGCACGAAGAGGCGCATACATACAGGTACCTTAGACACCACAGAGTGCTGGGGCACAGGCCAGGTAATTCTTAGTACTAGAGTATGGGCTCCTTCCAGGCAAAAGTCTCATCAACCTATAAGGTACCTACAGGTACTAAGGTAGGTAGGCACGTACGGAGTAAGGTAGCTGCGGACAGTATGTGATTATCGCCAACCTGCAATCAGCGTCAATACCTGTAGTATACTAGCTGGTCTACAGATGCGCATACACTGATACACAACAGTTCAAAAAATGCCACACAGGACTAGCCATATCATTTTAGGCGAGCCACATAATTCACCAAACAATGAAAGATAAACACGTCTTTCGTGGACGGCACCCCTTATCAACGACACGAATCACAGGCTTGTGCAACCCCAAGGCAATAAAGCTCCCTCGTATTTTTGGGCAGGTCAGGACGACAATTCTCGTGGAACCTGGTTGAACCGCAAGTATATGAACCGCTTCTCCGGAGAGCCCAGACCGTATCAACAAGCACTTCCTCGGTAACTCCCCATCCACACATCTCGTTCTCAATTGCATTGAAATGGCGACTTTGACCGCATTACCTTACTCTTATAAGCACTATGACAGCCTCCCAGATATCATGGATGCTGCCAATGCACTTGCATCTACAGGAATCATCCATACGCTTGCTTCTTCCATTGGCGAAATCTTCATCAAATATGGGGTTGAGAACACGTTCGGGCTGACTCTCTTACATCGACACTTCGATATGGAGGCACATGAGATATTGGTCGGATTTGGCAACGTCTCCGTACCATGGGATGTTACAAGCAATAAGGCGGAGATGCATCGCATCACGCCAATATCTTGGCGTTATACTGCTGATGGCATTGTGCCGTATGAATTCAGTGGTGATGAGACCATGTCGCTGCCCAGCGATAAGAGCTATGATGCTTTTGTGGAGGAACTGGGCAATTCCCTTCGAAACCTGCAAGTCGACCAGCTTTTCGGCCTCTGCCATGTAGGAAACTCCAATATCCAAAGTGCTGGAACAATGGAGTTCACCTCTGGTCGGGCTAATGTCACTGTACCCAATTTGATGTGGAATCTTCAAACGGACAGCGCAGCAGTTGAAGCGGCTTGGCAGTTCGGAAAACAAGGTGAAGCTACTTAGTATATATACCTCTCCAGCGTACAAAATACTTACTTCAAATAGACACGGCCGAACATCTGGAGCCAGTTGTGTTCAAGAAATGCAAAAACAAATGCGAATTCAAGTCAAATACTGGAACACATGGTCGGAGACACTTGACAACGAAGTGGTAAGAGGAACGGCTTTAACCAGGAGCCGAGTTGGATGAAGTATGGTTGAGAGAATCTGAAGCTCCAGAAGCTGATGAAGACTCAGCCATGGTCCTTGCTGAGGTCGTCGTTGACGAAGCATGTTTGATGGGAAAGAAAATTTGACTTGGTGTATGAGGTGATGGTGACTTGGCGATATCAATCTTAGGATATGATGTATCCTTCTGTACCTAGGTGCCTAGGTAGGTACATTCAGTACCTAGTAGTACCTGAGCAATACCAGTTACATTTTGCACCAGCCACACGAGCCACATCACTGCCCCACCGATCCTTGTCAATTAAAACCATCCAACATTGAAAATAGAGACGCCCATTTCACCTTTGCATTTGACAACGATACAGCCTGGAATGGTGTCGTGTGAAAGGCACTTCTCCCACAACCAGCTCGCCCAGCTCAGCTCAGCTCAAGACCCCTACGGAACTGGCCCTCCGCTGCATGTGCTGTGGATGCCATGCTTGATTGGCGCTCCCCAGACAATGCTGGCTCCACCGGGCTCGTACTTGTACTAACTTAGCGACTTGTTCCAACCACAAATAGCCTGATAGACGCCCTCACAAAGTGTCAACTTCAACATGGCCTTGGGGTACACGGGGGGCCTCTAGCATGGAAAACAGAGACCCTGTGGCTTGCATTCTGCCGGTGTCACCATGTTTGCACTGTGGTGTCTTGTACAGTAGCGCGCTGACCGCAATCCCGAGACATTTCCAGCCGATCCGCTGAGGCTGCCAAGCGCGAATGGGTGAGTGAATGCATGCTCCAAGCGGTGCAACGATACATGCGTTTCACATGCAAGCACTGCTCGATACGAGTTGCTACACGTACCAAGAATGACATCAACAGGGTCAAAATGCCTGGAGTTCCCCACGCCGGAGCTCAATGGCATGGCACGATACAATTGAACCCATAGGGATCCCCCACTCGCGGTGCCCCGCCAACACGGAGCTATTCGCGATGAGCCCACCTGCATTCAATTCCCCTCCCCAGGTTCAGTTGCTAGTGGAGTGCTATCCTCTGCTTGCTCTCTTGCTCACCTGCTCAATGATACAATGCAGTACCAGGGTGGACAGTGTCCAAGCAGACACAGAGACAGACACAGAGCCCCTCCAGATCCCTGAGCTACTCCGTCCCGCATGGAGCTACGACCTAAAGCCGTTACCACGGAACTGCTATGGAGCTCGCCCGTCTCCCAGATGGCAATCTCTCAACAATTTTGCACGTGTGTTGCCCAACAATATGCCCCCCTGGCACCGTTCGTTGCCCAAGCATGTGGTTCAGCCATTGGCTACCACCGAGCTCCAGAAGCTCTTTCGCGCGCTGTCCATGGATCTGAAGCAGTCACAAGCCATTGCAAAAAGACGATGATCCCTGCGCTCCATCTCGCTGACAGCAAGTCTTTGACATGTGATTCTGGGTTGTGAGGGACAGGCGTACTGTGTTCAACTCGCTAATCGAATCCATCCAACGCCCAGCACGGCCGGCAATACGCGCCTCTGGACTGTAGACTCCTGTATGGACGGACGGGCAAACTGAACGCCCAAAGATAATGCTGCCCGCCTTCAATGTGGGCTGCCAGGCCTGCTGCAACCCCAAAAGGGGGCTCGCTTGCGTCTAAATGGCCGTGGAGGTGCCAGAGTTGGAGATGATGCACGCACTTGTACACGAGTACCTTGCTGTGCCTTATTACTGATACCTCTACATGTCCATGTGCATGTCTGGGCTTGGACTGGACAGAGCCAAGTCTCCCGGTTTCCCTATTTATCCTCTTGTCTCCTCCTCTCCCCTCGACCTGTTCTCTCTCAGTTCCATCTTCCTACCGTTTTCAACCTCTGCCCGAAGCTGAGTTCAACACATCCTTAGCTTGTGATCAATCTTTTCCCTCTATTCTCTCAATTGGTAAAATGAGAGAATACCATGGCTTTTCCTGTAAGCTCTCCGATGCTCTCCAATTCCTCTTCCTTGCCATTGAGGGGTTCATGTGCTGACCAGACGCTCTCTTCTCCCCAGGGTGGTAACATAAACTTTATGCCTTTCGGCACCGAGATAAATCCTCTATATGCTGGAATAGCAGCCACTCTTCTAGGTGGCATTGCCATTTCAGGTTTGGTTGCCTCGCGAGGCACCGGACAGGACAATAATAATCCTGGAGTTCTCAGGTCCTTTTTCCTGTTCTTTTACTCTTGCTTCATCAAACCCCATCAGGGCGATTCCAAGGCTTCCCAGCAGGACGCTCTAGAAAGCTTCTACAAGAAGCAGGCCGGGGCTTATGATGCCACACGCAAGCTTCTTCTTCGCGGACGCGAAGACATGCTTGCTCTTGTTGCTGCCCAGCTTGAGGCGAAAGCCAAGATTGCTGACGACAACAAGACTAAGCGTATCTGGGTCGACGTGAGTGCCTCCATTGTCTCATCTGGGTCTATACTGCTAGACCTGGGCGATAATCAATACAGCCGAAACTGACCAGCAAATAAACAGGTTGGCGGCGGCACTGGCTGGAACATTGAAGCCATGTCCCAATTCGTTGACGTCCCCAACTTCTTCTCCAGCGTTTACCTTGTCGACTTCTCCCCGTCTCTCTGCGAGGTAGCAAAGAAGCGGTTTGAGAGGCTCGGCTGGAAAAACGTCCGCGTCGTCTGCCAAGACGCTCGCAAGTTCCGCCTCGAAGACTACGAGACTGGCATGTCTAAGCAGGTCGCTCCGAGATCTCCTTCGCTCAGCTACCTCACCCAGCAGCGCCAGGATTATGGCGGTGCTGACTTGGTTACCTTTTCATACAGCTTGTCTATGATTGTAAGTTTTGGCCGTCGAAAAGAAGCTCTATTTGACTGAAACTCCAACTGACTCCCGTGGCAGCCCGACTACTACTCTGTCGTCGACTCTGTGAACTCGCTGCTGGCTCCTCATGGCATTCTGGGCGTCGTTGATTTCTACGTCCAGAACCAGACTGACTACTCTTTCCGTAACTATACTGGTGGCCTCGTGGATCGTCACGTCAACATGCTGTCTCGAAACTTTTGGCGTGCCTGGTTCGACATTGACCGTGTTGGCCTTGAGCCTGGCCGCCGCGATTACCTCGAGTACAAGTTTGGTACCGTTCTCAACTTCAACTTCCGCAACCGCACTCTGGGCTTTATCCCTTACTATGTCTGGGTTGGATGCCATAAGAAGCCGTTTTCGCCGTCGAGTCTGCCTCATGAAATTATTGAGCGAATCGATGCGCTGGCTACCGAGTCGCCCTACCTGTACCCTGCCAACCAAGGAGATGCTCTGACCCGTGCGATTGAGAGATCCGCACCAGAGATCCGCTCCAAGGCCTTCATCACTGCGGTCCAGAACTTGTCTGCCAACCTGCCTCTCCCCTCATTCTTCTACCAGAACCACCACTGGCGTATCTACTACGATGACAGGCTCCAAAAGCACACCCAGTTCAATGACGAGTACATCTATGCTTTCACTTGGGAAGATGCACGTGTCGACGAGCGCCTGCTGAAGCTTGGCCCTGATGACAAGGTTCTCGCCATCACTTCTGCCGGAGACAACATCATTTCCTACCTTGCTCAGAGCCCTGCTCGCGTTCATGCCGTTGACCTTAACCCGACTCAAAACCACCTTTTGGAGCTCAAGGCTGCCGCGTACACCGCTCTACCGTATGAAGATTTCTGGAAGATCTTTGGTGAGGGAAAGCACCAGGAGTTTCGCAAGTTGCTCATCTCTAAGCTGTCTCCTCATCTCTCTGGCCGCGCATTCCAATACTGGCTCAAGAACACCCACGTCTTCCACAACAACAAGGGCTATGGCCTCTACGATACTGGTGGCTCTCGCCATGCTATTCGCACCTTCCGCTGGATTGCTCGCATCTTTGGTCTGCAGTCTACTGTCCAGAAGCTCCTCAGTGCTCGGACTCTGAATGAGCAGCGAGATATCTGGCGCAACAAGATCCGACCCGCTCTGCTCTCCAAGCTCATCTGCAATTTGGTGGTTGCGCAAGAGAGCTTCCTCTGGGCTGCTCTCGGAGTCCCCAAGAACCAACTGGCCATGATTGAGAATGACCACGCCAACTCGGACATTGTGAAGCAGGGCAAGGCGAAGAACACTCGCTCCCATGCCATCTGGCACTACATGGTCAACACACTGGACCCCGTTGCTGAAGAGACTCACATTGGTACTGACAACCCTTACTACTACGTCTGCCTGGATGGCAAGTTCTCCAAAAAGTGCCACCTCGAGTATCTCCGCCCTGAGGTTCACGCCAAGCTGTCTCGCCCCGGTGCTCTGGATGGTCTTCGCATTCATACCGATGAGCTTGAAGAGGTCATTGCACGCATCACTCCCGGCACCCTCACCGTTGCAGTCATCATGGACAGCATGGACTGGTTCGATACTGGCTCTCAAGCAGCTGCCGCCCAGATCAGCAAGCTCAACAGGGCTCTCCAGATGGGCGGCCGTGTGCTCCTTCGTACATCTGCTCTGAGCCCCTGGTACATCAAGGTTTTCGAGGCTCACGGCTTCACTGCCAAGTGCCACGGCTCCCGCGTCGACGGCGCCTGCATCGACCGTGTGAACATGTATGCCAGCTGCTGGATTTGCACCAAGACGGAGAACTTGCCTCCTCCTACCCCTGAGTTTGACCGCATTGGTGGAACTGACATTACCAGTCTGACTATTTAGAGTCTGGATGGGATTGCTTAGGATGGACAGTGATTGAAACATGGGGGTATCGTCCAACACTGTACCCGGGGATTCTGATGAAATGGGATAAAAGGAGTGTTGATGCGTGTAGCATGAAGATTGATACAAACAAATAAAACCTACCGTTCGATTGTATGATCTTTTTAATCAAGTGAGTGACATTGTATGTGATGAGTCCTACCTAGTAGTTGAGTGGTGTAATTGTAGGCGGCAAGATGCACCCTTTATTACTTCTGCCATTTCAATAACCATGCAATTTTCTACATTTGAAATAGAAATATGGGACAAAAAAAAGCAAGATTCCGAAATACTAGTTGAGAAGAAGAGAGAAAAAAGAAAAGAAAAACACGAGGTAAATATTTAACAGTGAAAAGTGCCAAAAAGCCCAAAAAAAATGTAACTCTTCTCCGGGGAGAATTGTTCTCCGGGGACGGAATCGAACCGCCGACTTTTCGATGAGATGATACCCATTACAGTCGAACGCCATGAACCAACTAGACCACCCAGAGGATGTAGAAGAGTTGCTGGGAGGCTTCTGTAATTGGTATGTAAGCTTTTTGCATGCGGGGTAAAAATTCATTGGCGGGCGGGCGGCTTTTAGTATGTGGGCACGAGTTGGTGGAGATTTTGAGAGGCTCTGTTTGTGTGTTTTGGATTTGTATGTATGGAGCTGCGAACTGCTCTTAATAAATGCTGAGGATTATGGGATTTGACGTAATTGACTGTTGGATTGGGAAGAGATTTTGAGCATGGCTTAAGTAGTTGTAGAAATAGCTAAAGAGAAGTATCAAGACTACGTTGGGCTTCACTTTCATCGCTAGCAGTATAAATGCTTAAAGCTAGACAGAGTTAAATAAAAGACGGGTGGGCATGAGCTATGATGGCATCATTTACAGCTACAATGCTTGTTCATGAAGCAATTGCACAGACTCCAAAGTGGTATGGTTTTGCTTCTTCTTTAATCGTACTTCTATACAGGCGCTCATGGCCCTTTCATGGCCCAATTGGCGCATAATATCAGTTACACAGCCTGCCTCCAAGCCCAACGAATTCCCTCCCCAGCAAGCAATCACAAGATATCAAGTTTTTCATTCCATCCTTCTCCTCTCCAAGCATCACCCTTTATGCCTTCCAAATCTTCTTAATAGCCTCGGTAACACCAATGTCGTTGGTCTCAAACTCGTACAATCCCACGCCGACGGTGACAGTCGCCAGGTTCAGGCCCCACCAGAAGATCTTTCGCAGGCCGGCGTAGCGGTTCTTGGGGATGTAGTCGATGATGACGGACTGGAAGCCGATGTGAGAGTGCAGCAGGACGGCGGAGCACAGGATGGCGTCGGTGGTGGGGTTGAGGGAGCCGGCGGCGAAGGGAGCAATGGAGAGGGGCACGAGGCCGGCGGCGAGGAGGCGCTCGAAGGTCCAGTGGTAGGAGCCGTGCGAGGCGTTGGGGTTGGGAATGGGGACGGGGTCGTTGACTGTTTGTAGGGCTCGTGGTTAGCTATTTGATAGGTTCGGTTCGGCATGTGAGAGGAGCGCAACACGTTTTGCGCGGCATACCTGTGCCCTCAATTCGCTCTATGGAGGCGTCATGTTAGCAAGATTCCGGGCTCCAAAAGCAATTGCGTTTATTCATCAAGCGTCTGGGGGGAAGTTCTCACGAGGTCCGGGAGGCAGAATGGCAGAGCGCTGGGTCGAGGTGTGGAAAGCCGAAGCCTTGATGGCGTTGTTCCGGAAGGCTGGCTTGGCGCAACGAGCCGCCAGCGCAGTCTGCCGCAGCAGGGAAGGTCGCACAATCGAGGCCATGGTTGACAGAGGTAGTCGGACTTTGTGATTGCAGTGGTGAGGAATTGGCACCCGGGACGCTTCGCGCTGGCAAAGAATCGACAGCTCCAGCAAGAATCGGTTTCGGGATGACGGGCGCAGATGGACGAAACTTGAACGGATGAGGTATTGCCGAGGATCTCGAATTAGGAGCTCCGTGATTGGCTGAGCCGGTTCCGAAGCGTGCCCACCGGGGCGCAACAATGTATTTCCGCGATCGAAGACGCTGGGCCGGTCTGATTGGCTGGGCGTTTTCGATATGGCATGTGAATTTTTGTTGCATGGAAAAGGCAATCCAAGGTGGGATGAAGCTTTTTGGTTGACGATTGATGAATACTTGATCTTTCGCCCGTGCGGTCACACTCAACGCCCAAGAATGTGGGCATGGTGATTGGGGGAATTCTTTGTTTTCGGGTTCAGCTCATTGACGGCCCTTTGCTGCGATTCTACCGCTTGTAATGGCTCCTCAGGCAGCGCTATCAAAGGCCCTGCTCGCATTGCGATGCGCCGGCTCACGACCTGGAATCCGACGATCCGCCTGGGCGCTGGGCCAAGCCCACAGAGCGCGCGGCATAGCGACTTCATACTTGGAAAAGGTTGCCGAGGGCGAGAAGCGGTGGGAGGAGCGGGCGGTCAAGATTGAGAACGGCGAGCAGCCGCATGTGTGGGATATTCTCGACGAGAGAGGCTACATCAAAGATGTCGCGGGGTATGTTGTCAGCTTCGGACTGCAATTGTGTACAGGGAATGAATTGTTCAATGGCTGATTGAATCGCGTAGAACTCCCGACAAGATCAAGGAACTCATGCGAGTCAAACGAATAGGCGCCTACGTCGGTGTTGATCCCACGGCAGACTCGATGCATGTCGGACACTTGCTTCCCATGATGCCCCTCTTCTGGCTGTGGTTCCACGGCCACCCAGCTGTGACTCTTCTCGGAGGCGCAACCGCTCGAATCGGTGACCCGTCAGGCCGCTTACAATCCCGCGAGATCATGTCCAATTCGGATATTTCCAAGAACGTCACCAAGATACACTACCAGCTGTCGAGGCTATGGCACAACGTGTCAGCCCTGAGAGACAAGTACGGCTACGAGAAGGATTGGGCTGCGAAACAGCGCCTGCTCAACAACAGCATGTGGCTGCAGGGCTTGACCATGTATGACTTTACCAAGAGGCTCGCGAGATATACCAGAATCGGGCCAATGTTAACGCGCGACACGTGAGTCACTCCCATTCTCTTTCATGGCATCGGTTTTGTCGATGCTAATTGTTTCATGTCAGTGTCAAGAGGAAAATGACAGAGGGAGATGGCATGTCTCTGGGCGAGTTCATGTACCCTCTCTTCCAGGGCTGGGATTTCTGGCACATGTACAACAAGCTGGGCGTGCAGATGCAGATTGGCGGCTCGGACCAGTACGGAAACATTGTCGCCGGTATCGATGCCCTGAAGATTATTCGGGAATCGGAGGAAATGCCCGAAATGAAGATTCCTTCTACTTGGACACACGAACCTGTCGGTTTCACCGTGCCACTGCTTACAGATTCTTCCGGCGTCAAGTTTGGTAAGAGCACGGGCAACGCAGTCTGGCTGGACGAATTCAAGACATCGCCGTTTGAGCTCTACGGCTACTTTATGCGACGGCCCGACGAAGATGTCGAGAGCCTTCTCAAGCTATTCACCTTTATGCCAATGGCCAAGATCCAAGAAGTAATGGTTGAGCACCAGGCTGATCCGTCAAAGCGCCTTGCCCAACACACGCTGGCGTTCGAGGTTTTGTCTCTCGTACACGGCTCTCAGAGGGCCGTGCAGGAAGCCCGGCAGCACCAGTTCCGCTTCGGCGGGCAACTTCCTTACTTCATCAGGGAACCTGCCCCCGACACGGGCATCTTGACGCCAAACACGGCACCGAGAAGTGACATTGAGCTTCCTCAATCTGTACTGAAACTGTCACCCGCAAAGATCCTGTACGCAGCTGGCCTCGTCAACAGCGCCAGCGAGGGTCAGCGCCTCGTCTCGCAACAGGGCGCCTATGTTGCTGCCAGACCTGGTCAGCAGCGGGGTCTCGTGCCGGGGAACCTCGACTGGACGCCCATGAAGATGTGGTTCCCCGAGGAAACGACCAAGTTTGTCATTGACGACAAGCTGTTGATTCTGCGAAAGGGCAAGCACAACATTCGCATCATTGAGCTCGTCAGCGACGAAGACTGGACGGCGAGTAAGAAGATTTACCCCGGCCAGCCGTATAGTGGCGTGATTCGACAGGTTAAAGAGCAACTCAGAGCAGAGGCCGAGGAGAAGGGTGAAACCTTGAGCGACAGGAAGATTGTTGTGGAGCTCAACAGGAGGAAGAGGGAAGAGTCTGTCAAGGTCGCGAATAACCCCGACATTGAGCTGCCGAAGAGGGTGCCCGCGTACCTTAAACGTGGCAAGGTAAAGAAGGATGACACGTGGAGGCGATAGATAAGATATTATGAACACTACTGTATGCGACTTGATCGCGATGTAACACTACTGGACATATAAAAAAGGCGGACGGAGAAGTAGCATGTATGATATGATGCGATGGAGACATAGAATTCATAAGCCTAGATGGTGTATATAATGATACTTGTTACTCCCACAACTCCCTTGTACGACGAATAAAACCAAATACTATCTGTAAAACACCGTAATGTCACCCCTAGGAACGGGCAACATCTTGAGCCTCTCCATAACTTGATCATTAGTCAAATTCTGCTCCGTCATGATTTGATCCATGTGATGGCACCCGTCTGTATATTTCTGCAAAGGATCACCCCCAGCGAACGGCTTGCTCTGCCCAGTGGCGAGCGAGGCCAAGTACTGCTTGGAAACGACATACTTGTGCACGCGGTAGAGGCAGCCCTTTATGATGCCAAACTGCACAAAGCGGCGTATGTCGATGTACGACATGATTTCGAACCCAGCCTCGCGGTGAATCATGATCCACTCCTTGATGCTCTTTCCCGGGGAGAACGAGGCCATGAAGCGGATGAGGAGGTAGTTGCTGACCCTGGCCCTGCCGTGGGACACGTAGCCGGCGCACTCGTCGACGATGCCGTCGACGTTGCGGATGAAGTCGTGGATGCCGGGCCGGGGCGCGTAGCACGAGCTGAAGAAGAAGATGTCGAGGAGGAGGATGGTGTCGTAGTAGAGCAGGTGGCGGATGGCGATTTTGGCGAGGTCCAGGGAGACGGAGGCCTCGTGGGCGATGCGGCGGACGTCGGAGACGCCGTCGATTTTCGCGACGACTTTTTGGAGGGTGATGTCCCATGTTGGGTCGACGATTTCGGGGAACTTTGTCCTTGCGACGGGGACGTGCCAGCCCTTGACGGCGGGGGGGTTGGCGTGGTGGGGGAAGAGCTTCATGTTGATGGTGTTTGCTTCGTCTGGGAAGTTTTTTTTTTTTTTTTTTAGTAGATGCTTAGATGAATGCATTGTGAGATTGATGAGGTGAACTGACCAACTGGAATCATGCACTCGCCGTAATTGTTCAGATCCTCCTTGACAATCTCGAGCAAACTCTCAATGGGCCTTCGTACGCCGTCGCCGCCCTCGGGGCCCTTTGCCTCGCTGAGGCTCAGATACTCGTTTTGCTTCTCCATCTCGGCAAAGGTCTCGGCCAGACACCTCACGACGCGCTCAAACGGCGTCTGGTCGCAGTCGGTCTCGACCAGCAGGCCAAAGTTGAAGATGAACTCATTGCGCATGTACTTTGTGTGCGGGATGACGACGGGAAAACCCAGGATGGTGTACTTGCCGTCGGGGGAGTTGATGGTGACATAGCGGTTGCAAAAGGCCTGGCGAGGGATGATGTATTCTTGTAAGACGTCGAAGTCGACGAGGGGAGTTTCGGTGCCGGAGGCGGTGATGCAGCCTGGGGGAGCCTGGGCAACGATTTTGGGGCCTGGGGAGAGGGTGCGAGGTTAGCTTTGATGAGGGATGATGGCTTGGGAGTGTGAGAGACCTTCTTGGGGGAAGAATCGAGCGTAGAAGATGCCTTGAATCATGGTGATGTCGGCGCGTTCATGGTGCGATGAGAGAAACGTCTTTTGCCTGTGGTTGACAAATCATGGGATGCGCTGAGGTGGTAATTCATATATTATATTTACAGCGGGATACGCAAGTGCATGTGAATGTTATCCCGCGAGTACGTTTGATGAGATGAGATGAGATGAGATGAGTTGAGTTGAAGAGATGGACGTTTGAATAAGCTTCTACAGTATGTATGTCTCGATCTGATGATTGCCCCGCTAAGCCGCTATTAGAGCTTCAATGATGTGGCTCAAGTGAGTGAGTATCACAAGCGCAGTATTTGTAGCCAGCACATCTAAAGATGAAGAATTGATGCCGGATTAAATTGAATAATCTTCAATTGAGGTGGATATATTTTCTTTCTTCAAGCTAGTAGGCATGTGAACTCGAGGCCTAATGCACATGTATACTGCCTGGTACATGTAGACAGACTGCAGCTTGTGACTGCAACTGTGATTGGGCTGGACTGGACTGCACCAAAAAGGATCAATAGCTGAAAGAAGACGGCACAGGTGCAATAGGTCCATGTTAATTAACACTATCGGATTCTCGGTATCATTGGATCCATGTCGATATCATCTGACAGCCGCCCAGGCAGGTAACCGCTGGACATACGCGTACGACTGAATGAGTTCCATGGATCGAGGCCTGTGGCCGTAGAAGCCAACCGACTGTGGTAGAAGCTCGCGGTGATTACTCAAGTCGACGGCGGACTGATGCGTGTCTTCCAGCCCCCTGAGCTTCGAGTTTCTTATTTACCTCGCGCATGGGCATATGAAAGGTCCATCCAATACTACATTGATATTGATGTCCGTTGGATTTTGTGTTTCTGTGACAACCTACATGAAGCACTGAACGCCTGGTTGCATGCAGCACTGAGTCTGGAACTGAACCCCCAAATCTACAGTACGCGACAACCGCTAGAGGCACTGGCTGGCGATTCAGTTACAGTGGAGGACAGCCTGAACACTTGCACTTGCACTAGCACCGCCCATCACTGGCCTGCACATGTACGAGTACGTACACACTCAACACAACACACTCCATTCGCTCTGCCCCACCAAACCTGCGGCCTCTCAGCCTCCTCCATCGCATTATTAACCACCGCAAATCTCGCCACAGAAACTCGTCCAGGTAGCCTGATCTGATCTCATCACCAGCCGCTGCGACATTTCCATCCCACGGTAGCACGCTCTTTTCCTCGCCGAGTCCATCCGATAGCGATAGATCTGCCGCCTCTCCCGGCACTGTCCGTTTCTCTCTCTCTCTCTCTCTCTCTCTCTCTCTTCTCTCTCTTTCTCCCCGCACAGCCTCCTCCCGGTTCGCTTGCCTCGTCATGGCCGACAACGCAGAGGCGGGCGGCGATGCCCAAATCACCTTTCGGGTCAAGACGGCGCAGGACGGCTCGCACACCATCACCATGGCCGAGTCGGCGACCGTCTTGGACCTCAAGACGAAGCTGTCCACCGCCGAGTTTGAGAATATTCCCGTCGACCGACAGCGCCTCATCTACTCGGGCCGTGTGATGAAGAACGACGACACGCTGGCCACGTACAAGATCAAGCCCAACAACACCATCCACATGGTCAAGAGCGCCGCCAGCAATGCCGCTCCGGCTGCTGCGGCCGCTGCCTCGACACCCCAGGCCGTGCCGACCAACATGGCTTCGGGCACCGCCAACAACCCGCTCGCCGGCCTCACTGGCGCCAGATACGCTGGCCACCAGATCAACCTCCCGGGGATGGACATGTTTGGCCCCGACGGTGGCGTAAGTGCTCTCCCGCTCCTCTGAATTCTGGTTCGACTTGTTCTTTGTGAGGGGGACTCGACTGACGCTCTTGGTTGTTGAAATCTAATAGATGGGTCCTCCGATGGACGAGGAGCGATTGTCGCGCATGATGGCGGATCCCAACGTGCAGCAGTCCATGAACGAGGCGCTTAACAACCCCGACTTTGTCAACATGCTCATCGAGGCGAACCCCATGCTGCGCAACATCCCCAACGCTCGCGAGATCATTACATCACCCTTTATGCGACAGATGATGAGCAACCCGCAGATGATGACACAGGCGATGCGGATGCAGCGGAGCATGGGCAGAGGCGAGTCGGCATTCCCTGCCCCCGGCGCCACAGACACGACCCCCGACGGTGCGCCTGCGGCAGATGGTGCAGCCGGCCAGGCAAACGCCCAGCAGCAGAACCCCTTTGCGAACCCGTTTATGAACCCGTTCATGGGGGGTGCTGGCGGCGCCAACAGCCTGAGCATGCTCCAGCAGCTGCTGAATATCCCTCCTCCGCCCGCACCAGCCGGCAACCCGGCCGGTACCGAGACGACGGGGACGACAGAGAACAGAGGAGCGGCGGCAGCAGGAACCGGAGGCAACGCGGGTGCGGGCCAAGCCCAGGCGCCGCCGAACCCCTTTGCGGCTTTGTTCCCGCCAAACGCAACGGGAGGAGCAGGGGCGAATCCGTTTGCCATGAACCCGGAGCAGTTCCAGCAGATGATGCAGATGTTCTCACCACAAGCAGCCGCCGCCCCACCGGACAACAGACCGCCCGAAGAGCGCTACGCAGAGCAGCTCCGACAGCTCAACGACATGGGATTCTACGATTTTGACCGAAACGTGGCCGCTTTGAGACGCAGTGGAGGAAGCGTGCAAGGTGCCGTCGAGCACCTGCTGGGCGGGAATTAGCGTCTGCTGTCCACTAGCTCTTTTTGACGACAACCCTATGTGTTCGATATTGGCAGCGTCTGGCCTCGGACGAAGCGCGCAGCGTGAATAATGGAGATGTCGACATATTCTGGCCTATGACGGCCATCGACAAGCGCGAAGCTTCGGCTTTGGGAGCGCGCCATGCTGAGCGGGGAGACTATGGACGCGGGCCTTTTCTTCTCATTCTATCTTCTATCTTCTTATTTCAAGGACTAGGCCTCGAGAGTTTGCATGGCAACTGGGCGCGATTCACTCAATGTATTTTTTTTTCTGCTTCAGTGATGGTAATGACAAATCTTTGTGTATAAATGGCGTGGCCGACGGTGAAGATTGCCTTTTTCGAAACTGTCCGGGTGAGCTGTACCGATGCCGAGCGCGCGCAGGGGCGTAAAATGGACGCGAATAATGGATGCAGAGAGCTTCATGCTACTTGAGTAGGCATGTGTACATGTATATATAAATTGTACGATGAAAAAATCAAGAGAAAATTCACGTCTCTCAAGCCAAATACACAGTTTAACCTATTATCAGGCCGATGTCATGATAAATTCAATAAAATCCGGGGATGTAACATCTCCAAATAGTAGTTGAAACTTCGGAGCTGGGCGCTTTTCGGCAAAGAGCTGCCGGACTTGGAGATGCCTCGGCTCCCCCGCCGAACCGTACGTACCCCGGCCCGGATCTAGGCATTTCTGGACCGGGGTGGTGGCTTACGGTACATTAAACGTCTCCAATTCTCGATTCGTGTCTGAGAGGCTTGGGACTTTTCTTTCATCATCAATTCTTACGGCTTACATTACTTGTATCTGCTCGCAGTATTTAGGGTTTATATTTACTTTGATACGGTTGTAATCAGCTGTTCTTTTCATCTTTCTTTCTTCACCTCTTTCATCACTTTTTGCCATCGGGTTGGACACGATGCGCGGCATTGAAATCAAGAAATATGTCAAGGTAAGGTGCCCAACCAACCAACCAAGCACACACATTCCTTTCTCTCTCTCCCCCCTTTTTTTTCTACCTTGTCGTTGGTTTCATCTCAATCTCAACTTCAAAATCTCAAATGCAAGAGAGGGAGAAAGAAAAGCTGACAATGTCTCACTCTTTGGATTGCAGAGCCCTGCGGAGCTCCAGGTGACGGAGCTGCCCGATCCCGTGCCCAAAGACGACGAGTATGTCATCGAGGTGCACGCCGCGGCAGCCAACTTTTTCGATATCCTGCAGCTTCAGGGCCGCTATCAGAGCCAGCCGCGTGAGTTTCTTTTACATTGAACCTCTCTTCAGTGATGGTGATGATGAAGAAGAAGAAGAAGAAGAAGAAGAAGCACAAAAATAGCTGACCCATCCTTTGCTTCCATCCAGCCTTCCCATGGGTCGCCGGCGCCGAGTTCGCCGGCACCGTCGTGTCCACGCCGCGCAAGAGCAAGGCCAAGCCGCGCTTCGCCGTGGGAGCGCGCGTCTTCGGTGCCGGGCAGGGCGCCTTTGCGACGAAGCTGTGCGCCAAGGAGGTCGCGCTGCTGCCCGTGCCCGAGGGCTGGTCGTTCCGGGACGCGGCGGGATTGTTTGTCACGGCGCCGACGAGCTACGGCGCGCTGGTGGTGAGGGCGGGCGTCAAGGCGGGTGATGTGGTGCTGGTGCATGCGGCGGCGGGAGGAGTCGGGCTTGCGGCTGTTCAGGGTGAGTTTTTTTATGATTCTTTATGTGACGTGATTGAGTGAGTGAGTTGAGTGAGTGAGTTTGAGTTGGGCAATGAGTGAGAGTGAGAGCGAGAGCTGCACCATGAGGCTCAACTCGTGTAAACTCACGCCACACCACACAACTCAACGTCACCAACCACCATCAACCAACAAACTAACACAAACCTCCCCCAAACAAAAGTCGCCAAAGCCTTTGGCGCAACCGTCATCGCCACCGCCTCCACCCCGCGCAAACTCGAAATCGCCAAATCCTTCGGCGCCGACCACATAATCTCCTACGCCGACGCCGACTGGCCCGCCAAAGTCAAAGCCTTGACCCCAAAGTCCCGCGGCGTCGACATCGTCTACGACCCCGTCGGCCTCGTCGACAAGTCCACAAAGTGCACCGCCTGGAACGGCCGCATCCTCGTCGTCGGCTTCGCCGCCGGCGCCATCGAAAAGGTCGCCATGAATAAGGTCCTGCTCAAGAACATTTCGCTCGTGGGCATTCACTGGGGCGCGTACTCGATCCATGAGCGCGAGACGATTCCCAAGGTGTGGGAGGGGATTATGGGGTTGGTCAAGGAGGGCAAGATTCGGGGCACCGAGTATACGGACGAGGAGTTTGTTGGGCTGGACAGGGTCAAGGATGCGCTCATGGCGCTGGGAGGAAGAGGAACTTGGGGAAAAGTCGTCATCAAGGTTCCTCAGGAGGGCAGCAGTCGGTTGTAAAATGGGAACGATTCATGGATATACAGGTAAAGAAGGGGGGACGGGAGACAGACCGGCAGACCAAATGTACCCCCTAATTCAGCATCACGTATGCTTCATGTTCGTTGTTTCAACACCCCCTTCATAGCAGCGGACAATTCTAATAATGCCTCGCTCACGCAAAATCGTGCAGGCTCGTCATCCAAGTCATATTCTCATTACAATGCCCAAGTCACGCGGCCCGCCCAAGTTGCTTCAATGCGCCCCCCTTTCCTCCATCAGCTTTCAAAAAAAGCGCCCAATTCCCTCACTGCGGACTCCCATTCATCAGCTTCTGGAAAGCGTCCATGACCTCCTTGTCCACGTTGATGGCCCACTTCTCCTGGAAAACCGCCTCCCCTCCGATTCGTGCAACGACGTCGTGCAGCCTCACCTTTACAAAATGCAGCGCCTGCACACAGTGGATCGGATCCTTGTGCAGGCTCTGCTTCTCCAGAATCGTCTTCGGGGTATCATACTCCTCAACTTCAATTTCCGGCCCCCAAACCAAACAATCACTGCCGGTGACCTCGCTACCGTCTTGAAGATCTATGATGATGTTTGTCCACAAATCCAAAAAGTCTTGTAGCTTGCCCAGGACCAGCTCCTGCACTGGCGAACCGAGTTCCAGCAGGCGCGTCAAGCCGAGGAGATAGAGCTTCTGGCGATCTATGTTATCCATCCTCGCTTGATATGTGAACCACCCCGCGGAGAGCCAGCTCCACACCTCCTCGACGTTCCCAACCGTGCCCAGCATCTGCACAAACAAGTTTGGTCCGGCCAGTATCAAGCGAGCAAGGATCGCAAAGTAGTCGCCCTGCGTGACCGTGTTGAGCTTGCTCTGTCTTCTATTAGGCCCGGTGGTCTGGCTGGCCTCCCAGGCGTCATGAAGATTGGCCATAATCTTGTTCATGAAACCGGTTTCTACCATGTCTCGAACAATCACCGAGACTCCCTCGACCCCTCCTAGTTCGGTAGCCGACCGGATGAGTAGCTCGATGCACACGGTACCCACGCGAACATGCTCTCGGCTCTTGGAGTCTAGAGTGGTGCTTAGCGCCATGAGCGTCGGCCGTCGAAGTCTATCCTCTAGCATCGCTGAGGGTGCAATCAGGATGTATGATTCAATGGCCGAGATTGCGAGGGACACAATCTCAGATTGATACTCTAGTAGTGGGAGTAGCAATTCCGCCAGGTTAATGAGCTCTGGGGCAAGAGGGGGGTTGCTTTGCGAGAGGATGGAAAGCCAGAGCTCCAGAGACTCGTCAATGAGGTTCAGGTGCAGGTCTGAGCCAGGTCTTGCCGCCTCTGCCAGCAAGGGAAGCATTGAGCCCTGATAACGCTGAGATTCGGGACCCATGCTCATCACCAGCGCCGAGAAAATAGCAATCACAGCCTGTTTGATCATGTATTCTTCTGTCCCCGAGGCTTCCCACACCGAAGGCAGAGCAACCATGAGCTGGTCTCCAAACTGTCCCACCTGTTCCTCCATTCTCGTCACCAGGATTCGGATCGACTCCAGGATGGCCAGCTTGGTTTCGTCGCTCTCCACGTGCTGAATGAGCTCCGTAAGGTTCTTGAGAACATCCGACGTGTACGGCAGAAATGCGTCGACGCTGAAGTCAATCTCGTCGGCGACCCACCTAAGCTGCCGTGCCGCCGTGATCCTCACAACGATGTCGTTCGTCTCATCGTTTGCATTGAGGAAATGCTGAAAAATCTGATACACGATAGGTCTGCTCTCTTCGCCTAGCTTCACTGGCGCCCATAGACTGATGAGGATGGCAATCCGTCGCCGAAGCACCTTGTAGAGACCGCCTTGCTGCTGGGCGTCGTTGACAATGGTCGAGGCCAATACCGCATCAAAGTCAAACGCACCAACCACGTGCGCCGCTGAGAGGCCCATGGCGGTGTACACCGCTTCCTTTGTAGCAATGTCTGCCTGAGGAGATTGTGCCGTCTGGAAATACGACAGCAGCGGTGGCACTAGCAGCTGCTTGAAGTTGGTGAGAAGGTCTAAAAAGAGCTTTTCGGCGCATGGGCGGACTTCCCATTCGTATGCGTTGCCCTCGTGTTGCTCCTGTTGCTCCCAATCCTCCGGGTCCTCCTCCCAAGATTCGAGATCCGATCTACGGAAGACGAATAGGTGTGAAATGATGGTATTGACGATCTGGATGACCAGATCGTCTTTGAAGAGCTCCGTCCTGACAATATGCTTGGCGTCTTCTTGTTCGGCCTTTGTCTCTGGCGTCCGATACTTGAATGTCTGCACTGGCTGGAAGGCAATTCTCACGCAGGCACGGAGGAGGAGCAGGCCTTTCAGGGCAAGTTTTTCCATTAATGGTCCTTCTGTCTTTGCCTTGGCTCCCGCGTCGCCGGAGCCCTGACGAATGCCGCCAGACGAGACGAAGATTTCCGCAAACTTTGAAATAAGATCCCAGTATGCATTCACTAGGGACAGTGAGTTGGGGAGGAAAGCAAAGCTGGCGGCAAAGTGCTCGGCTTGGTCGATGTGGAACTTGGCGAACTGAAGAAGATGCTTCCCTACCAAATCTTGATACGGCGGTGGCACGGCGGAGTCGTGGTTCACAAACCCCAGGAACAGGCCAAACTGGTTCTGAGACAGTGTCCAAAACGCACTCACAGAACTGTCGGCATGAGGGCGCAGGTATCCCACGGTGATGAGGCGGCGAAGCGTCTTGAGAGCGGAGAGACTGTTCATCATGGCCAGGTTGGCTTCGTCGCCGTTTCCGTGTCCGGTGTTTAAAAAGTTGATCCACGATGCCGACTTCTCAGAGTATATCTCGGACAAAATGTAGACAATCTCCGGCGTGATGGACTGCAGTGCCGTTTGCGACCTCTTTAGCCGTGCGCTTCCCATCTCCTTGACGACCCGTAGCAACACTAGCAAGGTGCCGTAGAGATGATGTTGGTTGGCGTTTCGAGTGGACCGCAGGAGGCTGATGATATCGGGAAGGGCCTGTGGCCACTCGTCTGGATAGTCGATCCGGACCACCTTTGCAATGACCAAGGCATTGTGCAGCGCAAGATGCCTCTCTTCCTCCTCGACAGATCCTTGGAGCAGTCGTGACCGTATCAAGTTCTTCTCCTCGGGGGTGATGCCCTGCTTTGAGCTCGCATACAGCCTCCAATTCTTGTCAATGCCGTTCTTGATTTGTATAATGGCCAGGAATCGTATTTCGAGGGGGAGCGACTTGTCGAGGAAGACCGACTGCAAGTTGGCACAAGATGTTAGCACGATACACGCAGCATGGACATGGACAAGCAACAGCCGCGGCCCTACCTGTAACGACGAGTAATAGCCGGCCTGTGACTCCCAGGTGGCCAGCTGCTGGCCGGCAGCCTGTCGCTGGACATGGTCAGAGGACGAGGTTGCGGCGTGCAACGTGCGGCAAAGCTCTTGCAGAGACAGCGGAGCCGCGTCTCCTGGCACTTCGATTGCGAAACTCATGGTTGCTACCAACGCCGTTCGAGACGGCTGTCAGGCTGCGGTTCGACGGCTGCAAGGCTCGGGACGTTCAGATGCAGCTATGGGAGTGTCATGAATGGTGCTGAGCTCATCAAGGCGTGCTGCCGTGAAGATGCAGGAGGTTGTAGTTTGGGTGCTTGGTGATGGTGGGGCTGAGTTTTGTTGCCCGTGGGCGCGGGAGTTGCTTGGAGTTTGGAGGGGTAGCGAAGGGATTAAGACGAGGCTGGCAACTCCCAATATTGCCTACTAATTTGCTGGTTTTCTTTTTGATCACATGAAAACAAGGGTCTCATTAGAGAAGGATAAGAACAGATAGCAAGTCTGCAGAGACTCGATCCATTAATTCATTAATTAATTAATGAAGAGTCAATGTTTAGGCCTAAAGATCGAATGACACCCCAAGCAGTAACCACTCCGGACATGCTCGGTGAATCAGCCGAGAGACATTTACAGGTACACTTACAGCGAAGACCCTTGGCCTCTTTAGCGCCCAGCCTGCCAAACTATGCCCCATAAAGCAAAAAGCTCCCGCCACGACTCGGAAGGCTCGAAATCTCAACCAGCACAGCATCGTCTCCAAGCCTCAACTCCCATTTCGCCCATCCAGGCACGCCAATTGCGCCAATGCGATGATCCGCTCGCGCACATCCAGGCTTGCCGCCGCTGCCCTCTCCAGGAGGCGGTGGACGTGCCCGGCATGCCTCTCCAAGCGCCAGTACTCCAAGCAGCCCGAGAAGCGCGAACCGCCCGATCACCGGAAGCTGGGTAACCAGCAAGAGCTCTTCATGACGTCCGTCTACAGCCCCGGCTCGCCCATTTTCCTGCCAAACGGCGCTCGCATATTCAACCGGCTGGTGGACTTTTTGCGGAAGCAGTACGTGCGCTATGGGTTTCAGGAGGTCATCACGCCGACGATATATAAGAAGTCGCTGTGGGCAAAGTCGGGGCATCTGGAGAATTATGCGGAAGACATGTATTCTGTGACGGGCAACAAGAGGGCCTCGGATTTGGGGTGTTGCGGGACGGATCACGCCAAAGACGAAGCTGCGGTGGAAGAAGGCGACGACTATGGGCTGAAACCAATGAACTGTCCGGGCCACTGCCTCATCTTTGCATCTAAGCTGCATAGTTACAGAGACCTGCCAGTCAGATACGCCGACTTCAGTCCCCTCCACCGGAATGAGATATCGGGTGCCCTGTCGGGACTGACGCGGGTGCGTCGCTTTCACCAAGATGACGGCCACATCTTCTGTAGACCGAGTCAGGTCGAGGGAGAGATTAACAAGACTCTAGATTTTGTCAAGACGGTATATAGCGTCCTGCGTCTTGGTGTCAGCTACCGCCTGGCGCTGTCCACAAGGCCAAAGGATCATTACATTGGCGCGGAAGAGGAGTGGGCGCGCGCGGAAGACAGCCTGAAACGAGCGCTGGACGCTTCAGGCATGGAATGGACAATAAACGAAGGCGATGGCGCATTTTACGGTCCCAAGATCGATATTGTGCTCAAGGACTCTGAGGGTAAAGAACACCAGACGGCCACCATTCAGCTGGACTTTCAGCTGCCTAAGCGATTCGAGTTGGAGTATCAGGCACCGGCGCCGGAGTACGAGGCCCGTGGTGAGACGACCGATGACCCGGAGCTTCTTGCCCAGTACGGCCCTGTTCGGCCGGTCATGATTCACCGTGCAGTTTTGGGATCTGTAGAGCGGCTGCTGGCGCTGCTGATTGAGAATTATGACGGGAAATGGCCGTTTTGGCTGAACCCGAGACAGGCCATCATATTGACAGTCAACACATCAGACCCTGTTGTCGAGTGGGCTGACGATGTGCGCAATATTCTCCTTGGCAACAAGAAGCTGCAGGCCGATGGGTTGCCGGCTCTCGAGAGTCTCTCGGGGCAGACGGGCCTGGCTGTAGACATGGACACGACGGCGAGACCCCTGGGGACCAAGATCCGGGAGGCACACGCGAGTGGCTATGGCCTCGTCTTGGTGGTGGGCGAGCAAGATGCCAAGAATCAACAGGTCAGCCTGGGCAAGGAAAGGTTGAGTCCGCTCGAGACGCGCGATAGAATGCTTCGCATGGTAGATACATTTGAATGAACAACTCCTCTCATCTATTATTCCCATCCAACCACGCCATAGATGAACCTGTATCCTTTTATTATTTTCTCCCCCGCCCCTTGTTGCAAATGGGTATCGTACGCCCGTACCATTTCCAATCTTGAACTAAATAATCGACTTGAAAGATGTATGTTGATACATTTATGCTTCGTCGTGACAGCACAAGCCGCATGTGCAGGCTGCAACGTGGATGATGATGCATGTAGTCTCATCATGCACCGCTTGACCTACCGCCACGACTTCTTCTTTCTGCAGCAGTCATGGGGAGATTATGCTGGCTTCGCGTTGGCTTTGCGGCCTCGTCTCGCTCGATCCTCGACTTTCACCCCAAAGCTGGGGGCAACGCAAACATCAATCAGCCGTTCACCGGCCGAGCCCTTGCCTCGGCAATGGTGAAACCCTTTTCATCGTGTCAATTTCCGCCATGGACGCTTCTCAACTTCAAACAGCACACTTACTTTTTGTACTTGGGATCAACGCTGCCGCCTGCCTGCTCGATACGCTCAATCAAGGCCTGCCTCTGCACAATCTGGTCGCGCATGTAATCCACGGTGCGCTTCAGAACCAGTCCCTCGGAGCGACCTTGTCCCTCCAAACCAGGCACGAGTTCAGTGAGCCGATCGAAGCCCTCGCGAATGGCTTGACGGCGCTTTTGTTCTATTGGGGGCGCGCGCGCGACGTTAGCACTTGGCACGTGAGAAGAAGCGCTTCTTCCTCTCTCTCTCATTTACCTGATGCAATGTGGTTCTGCTTCTTCTCTTCTTCTGTGAGCCGCGGCTTGTCGTCTGCGTTTACTGCTGCTGCTGAGGGTGTGGCCTTGCTGGCGTCGCCGGAGCCGGAGGTTTGGCTTGGTGAGGATGACATTTTGCGCGGGTCATGTGTGATGCGATGAACACATGTGAATGCCACGCATTAGCGATGCGCAACCGCAGCTTGAGAATCAATCGATGCGAATGAAGCAGTACGAAAAGCTCGACATGAAAACAAAAAAAAAAAAAAAGGAGAAGCGAAAAGAGATGTCAAATCGATTTCGCCGCTTGGGGGGACTTTATTCGATCGACGTGGTACGATTTCCTCGTCGAGCTGCGTTTTGAAATGTCATTGTTGAGATGAGGGATCACATGCGCGGCGCGTGCAAATGTAATTAAAGAAGGGAAAAAAGCCACCACGCCTGTTACAGCGCTAGGAGAGCAAGGATGTTGCCCCAGATTCTCGGGGCCGAAGTGCCGGTCCCTGCGTCTAGCTTTCCGCCCAAAAGTGCCCTCTTTTCGATTTCATTTTCGATGTTGTTTTTGCTTCTCCGTGGTGATAGATCTGAGTGGTTTCAACTCTGTACAAGCAATGGGATAATTGTTCACTTTTTTTTTTTTGTAAAAACAAATCTACTGTGACTCGGGAATTCTTTTGCTCTTCTCGTTTCATATTTGATGATGCTACCCCTCGACGAACTGCGCCCCATGCCAAGCACATGCAATTGTACGACCCTGAGACTCCCGATTCCGTACCATGACGCCAATCACATGCTAAACGCTTGCTACTGCTGCTCCGACAAGGAATACCAATGTAGACTCGAAGGCTAACTAACCCCCTCTTCTGTATCCAGTTCTCGTTGCAATTGGGACACACTGATTGAGTTGTCGTCAAATTTGAGATACATGATTATTGACCGATGCCAGTGTAGCTCTCTTAACATCCAAGGCTTACCCTCCATCAAAATGTGGCTCACCGTCACACAAAATATATGCATGCAATGCTCACATTCACCCGAGCAACGCCTGAAGCCATCTCAATCTCATATCAAGCCGCTAAACGTATCATTCTGAAGCCGAACCCTCTTCGTCAAAATCATCCCGGTCCTGCTGGAAGATGACCTTTTCCGCTAACGTCAACGTCTTCTTTACAGGCAGTCCAATTACATTGTCGACGCTCCCTTCAATCTTCTCCACCAATAACATTCCCGCAATGCCCTGGATTCCGTATCCACCAGCCTTGTCAACACCCTCCCGTGTTTTGACATAGGCCTCAATGACGTCGTCCGGCAGCCCGTTGCCCTCTTCCCAAAAGTACACCTTGGTCTCCTCGGTGTGGCTTTGGATGTCGTAGCCCGGAGCTCTGGCGTCTTCTCGGGGGGCCAGTACAGTGACCGAAGTCAACACTCTGTGCATGCGAGTGTCGCGCAGGTGCTTGAGCATTCGCACGTGCTCTGCTTCGCTCCGAGGCTTCTCCAGAATGCGCCCATCGCGAGTCACAATGATGGTGTCTGCGGCAATGACTAGAGCGGGATCAGGGATAGAAGCAAGGTGCGTCTCCAAAGTAGTGGAGTAAACGTCAAGGCACTTGTTACGAGCGGTGGTTGAGACGTATTCCCAGGGGCCGTACGCCTTCTTGTCAAGGTCCTCGGGCTTGGTTGACGGAGATATCTCCAGATTGGCGAGGCCCATCTAAATTGCTGGTGTTACTTTAAGCTTGCACTATCATGTCATTCTCGTTCTCATGGCGCCATACCTGCTGCAGAAGCTGTTTCCTCCGCGGAGAGGCAGATGCCAGAATTACTCTATTTGAATTGAGGTGCTTGATAATGGGGAGATCCAGGGGCTGCAGCGGCCTGCGCATGGATCCGGCTCTGGGACGCCCGGCCGGAGGCGCCGCTTGCCCGGAGGCGGCATCTGAGGGAGCATCGCCCGGAGCTGTAGCGGCTGACATGGCGAGAGGAATTGAGAGGTGAGAGACTGAGGAGAGGAGAGGAGAGGAGAGGAGATGAGATGAGATGAGATGGTCGGTTGTACACGGGCTGCTATTGATGGAAGATTGAGGCAGCAAGGCGGTATAGCTTTTAAGGAGCCCAAGTCGTCATTGATGGTGGGGTTCTGCAGTTTGACCCCACCGTGCACTGATTTGACTGATGTGGTGTTTTATTTGTCTGGGCTGAGATGAGATGAGATGCAAGCAAGAGGAAGAAGGGTTGAATTGAAGAGGTACAGCGTGTTGCTTGAGTGAAACCTTGATTGCATTATATAATCTGGCACAGGTAGACTTTTTTGTCTTTTGGCGTTTGTTCATGACTTGATGTTTTAGTACAAGTAGGTACCTCCTATCAACTGTGGTGAGCGGGACCTTTTTGGAGCTGTGACACGGAAACTACAGGTACTAGGTAGGTACCTAGGTTAGTACCGAGAGCCCGAAACCAGTTGATTATAGCAGCTGCTGGTTCTTTATTCAATTTATGTGCGGATTAAGCAAGTACCTTACTATTCGCATTGATGCTTCACAATAGTTTCACTCTATTCACACGGGAATAATTATTTTGTAAAGTGAACAAGACACAATACAATCGTGTAACACAATGCACAGCACAGTCCGATTCAGGCGAACTGACAGCCGCAGCTGAAAGTGAACGGCCAAATTCTTTGCCTTAGGCTGCCGCCCGCATCGGCCGAATCAGGCCTAGCCCCAGCCGCGGTACCTGGCAACCCGTGCTTTTCAAGGTACCGTTCGTCGCACTCAACTCACTCCCTGTTCTTGTTCCCGCGCCCTGAAGGGAAAAAGCCAAACCCTTCGGACTAACGACTCAACATCGCATCTGCGTCTCGTATCCGCAAGCAGCGCCAAACAAGCCTCGATAATTCATTTTTTATTCTTAGCAGCCGGCTGAGTATCTCCAGAAGCGCGACAAATATTCACTGGACACCATTAAAGCCGTCGCCGCTCCGTAGCAAAAGCAGCAGCAAGAGCGCGCCGCCGCCGCCCACTGGGGAAAAAAAAAAGCATCCATCAACACGCGTCATTCCACGCTGGCGATAGTCGTCGCCAGGCCGTGGTTTGCGACACGGGACTCGAGAAGCCATTGAGCCCTCACGACTGCGCAGGAGGTCCCTCGCGGCGGACGGGAATGCGCCTGCGGTGACGCTCACTATCCAGACCAAGATGGAGGCCAAGCGAAAGGCGAATGGAGCGACGGATGCAGAGGACCGCGCGGCCAAGCGGCGCAGAGTAGCTGTAAGTAATGGCCCAGCCTGATTCTATGCTTGAGATCTTACCCTCCATCTATTTTGCCTTGGCGGATGCTTTTCACTATTCGGCAAAGGAGCTGCATGCGCTTGCATTGCTCGATTGCGTGCATTCTCCTACACGCCCTGCTGAAGCTCTCTTACACACACTTGCATATCGCAGATCATCTCCGCGCGCTAACACCACCATCTCCGTGCAGCAAGGTTTCGATCTTTCCAAGGGCGAGTCTCGCGAATCGACCACTGCGCACGGATTAGTGTTCCTTGAGCAGATCCGTCGGACAGCTGACAAAAGGTACGCTGATGCTGCTGCATCTGATTTTTGTTTTCTCCTCGCAACGAGTCCCTGCTAACCGTATCCCCAAAGTGGTCGTCTCGTCGCAACATACTTTGAGACGCTCGTTCCACGAGAGACCAACCCCGACTACTACAAAAAGACGCGATTGCCGATTTCTCTCGAAACCATCGAACAAAAGCTCATCGATGGCGAATTCAAGAGCCTCGCCGAGCTGGAGAGCTACTTCAAAAGGATGATTGCCAACGCAAAAGACTTTTATTCCAGGGGATCGCAAGTTTTTGATGACGCTGAGCGGGTTCGCAAAGCACTGAGTAACTACATGACTAAAACAAACCCTGCCTACAGCAACCGCTCCTACCAAGCTGTGCCTACCCCGCTACCGCCGGAAAATGACGAGGAAGAAGAGGAAGGGAATGGTGAAGAGGAGGAAGAGGAAGAGGGAGAAGAAGATGCCGAGGGTGAGGATGCCGAAGCTGACGAAGATGCCGAGGGAGAAGATGAAGATGCCGAAGGCGAGGAGGAGCCTGAAGAGGATGAGCCGAGATCGAGACGAAAAGCCATCATACTCAAGCGAAGCCGTACGCGCAGGAGTTCGAATAACGAAAGCTCTCGAGCTCGGTCGCCGCCAAGCCGTCCCGATCACCAGTACGAAAATGTGCCATACAAGGGTCTCACATTTCAGCAAGCCCAGGAAAAAATTGTCGAAGAACTTTTGCGGCATCAGGAACCAGAGTGCGTCAAGCCAATCCAGCCAGTCCAATGCTGGGATTTTACTGACGCGGACCATTTCTAGATATGACGATGCCTATTTTGAGCCCTTTATCAACCTTCCTCCTCGAGCTTTAAAGGACTACTACAAGGTCATTACCGATCCTTTGTCCATCAAGAAACTGCAAAAGATGGTTAGGGGCGTACAAGGACGACATGACGCGACAGGAGTTAGCGAGTTCAAGAGCTGGAGTGCTTTCGAAGAGAAAACAAAGCTCCTCTGGTCCAATGCCTACTTTTACAACGAAGAGGGCAGTGATATCTATGTTCTGGCGCAAGAGCTCGAGGTGAGTTGTATCATTTCATAATTCAACTGCTTCACGCATCTCACAACGCGTATAGAAATTTTTCTACGGCCAGCTCAAAAAGGCACAAGCCGCCGTCTCGGAGCCATCACAGCCGAAAATTAAACTCAAGGTTGGGCAGGGATCCGAAACCCCTGGTTCGTCTAAGAAGATCACCATCCACGTTGGCGGGCGTGACAGCTCCGTAGCATCGCCAGCACCTCAGGTAGCCCAACCCTCAGAGACCAATGGCAATGTCAACGGCGCCGGGCAGCTCTCTGCCAACCTCGAAGCCCCTCGCAGTGTCTCGGCGTCTGCGCCATCGCCAACGCCCTCATCCCAAGTAGGGCTGGGGCTGAAGGTGGAAGATGGCACTCGGCCATCCCCAGCAGTTGGTAACATGCCAGTCGGTGCACCAGGACAGCCTGCCGTGCGGCCTCCTATTCCGACGATTCCATCCCAGCCATTCCAGACTAACCCGCTGGTTAATGGATATGCGGATCAGAGGAGATTCCGCCCTGCCAGCAAAGGTATGTGCAACTTGCATGATTATGTCGAGGCCGCCGTTTTGTAGGGCTTGCTAACTCTGATTCAAGGAATCGACAGTGCGCTGATTGAAAAGTTGCGGATTCAAACACACCCTAGCATGCCTAATGAGCGCCCTACGCTGCTCACCATCTTGCCCAACGCAAAGGAGATGCAACAGTCGGCGACCATAAACCTGCCGCCAACGCAGACTCGCATCTGGATCGTCGCGACGCTGCCGACCTTTTTGCAAGACCGTCAGTATAGCCTCTGGACTCTGGTGGACAGGCAGCCCTGGAAACAGTTGATGCAGCCCATCCCCAACCAGACGCATCACGAGCGGGCCTTTGATGTTATGCTGCACCCCGGGCTCAATGTCATTGAAGCTCATCTCATTGCCGCCATCCCCCGACACGAGCGAGAAGCAGGCGGACCAGAGGTGGAGTTGGAAGTCTTTACGGTGCTTATCAACGTATCACACCCATACTAGACGCAGTAAATCTTTGGTCAGCGGGCATCGTTCTTGAAAAGGCATGGTTGTCCGCTTCTGCTTCAACTTGTTTGGGGAACTGTTCGGCCGAACTCGACACCCCCCCTTGCAACCAGGAAGAACCGAAATTGAGGGAGGTAGATGCGGGATTCCGCAAGTCCCGCAAGTCCCGCAAGACTACCTAGTAGTTAGGGATCGGAAGAGTTGGTTTGCAGTAGGAGTTATCAGGTAGCGACTCGACAAAAATCGGGACTTTGGGTGGAGCCCCTGACTGGGTCTGAATCTATTTTCTTTTACTAGTATTTCTTTTTTTTTTCCCTCCTCGTTTTTTTCGATTTATCTATTTTTTAATCATCTCGGCCGAGCGCAGACAAGGACCGGGATGGGGGACCGTATTGCCGCTTGCCGCGTCTTGAGCTCTCGGGCAAGGCGTGAGATTGAACCGTCCACTTGGAACATCCAATGCGGAATGCTGACCTCGCATATATCCTGATTTGGTTGGTGTTGGTTTGGGTAGCACATTTGGTGGGCATGCAGGCCGTTGTGTTAGTATCCTGGCATTTCCGGCAGCGAGAGCCGGAGCAGAAGAGAACAGGATGCTACCTTAGTGTTGATGCTTTCTACCTATCATGTACACAGACGCAGCGGCCGCCCGTCCGCTTCACATCTTCAAGCCCCTGCTCTTGTGTCCCCAAACTAAGACTAAGAATAATGATTATTATTAATCACCGTTGAAATATTCTTCCATCATCATCGTTGGAACGCGCTAGCAGTAGAACACAAAGCGCCTGGTCGCTTTAGGAATTTGCAAGACGGAAAAATTCGAGCCTCCATAGGTGCAAAATATGGCAGCCTAGACTAGATGCTTAGCACCTTACACTCACTCCCATGTAAGTGCCAAGTACAAGTAGCCAGGAAACTCCCCTGTTGCTAAGCCCTGCAGATAGCCGCTCGGCGCTCCTGATACGATATACGATAGGTGCTCACTGCCACTCTATGTATAGTAGCTGATGGCTCTTTTCGGCCATTCGTATCTGTTGTCGGGCATAAGGGGGATGAAGCATCGGGTATACCAGACAAAAGCACATGCAGTTAAACGCGACACGTGTAAATCAAGTGCAAGAATGGCCGTGTTTTTAATTTTATTTTAGTTTTGATTTAATCGATAAAATGGATAAAATGACATTCTCTACCTTTTTTTCTTCTAATATGTAATGATTACTTTTGTTGAAGGTAGGCTTATCCGCTCATGCGACTTCGTATTTTGCAGGTGAAACCGAGTCATGCCGGACCCCTCCAGTGTCCTATTCTTGACGTATTTTCTTTTTCTTCGCTTAAGTACTGAGTACGATTATGCTTAACGGATAGTAATCAGATTGGGCGATTGTGAGCGATAGAACGGGTAGTTGGCAAAAGTATTCGGAGACTTGAAGGAATGGGCCGGTTGTACCAATGATGATTTGATTAGTGAAGAATCTCAAGAGTATGTAATCCAACTAAACCAATTTGCATCTCCAACAACAAAAACAGCTGTATGTGTAAGTCCATATGGACGTGAAGAAGCGAGAAAACAAGATTCCGTCTGCCTTCCATCGGACCGGTGAATTACATGCGAGTTGTTTAGCGTGTGTCGGTTGTTTCGACCGGTGTTTTAAGCGACTACCGTGATGATGTGGATCCAGCCTTATGAGCCATCGTTTTCTTGTTTCTCTGTTGCTCTGATATCCGTCAGAAGATCTGTAGCCACAACGACCTTTTTCCGTATATCCTCGTGAGACGGAAATACAACAACACTTTCCCTGGAGCGGCAGGAGCGGCAGGGAGCGGAAAGTGGGCACTGGTCAATCATTCCAAGTCTTCGGATCGCGATAATGTGTGGCGACCTACTAGCGGGTGTAAATGCTTCTGCCTAATCGTTGGGGGTTGAGTGTATGTATGAGATTGCGGTGACTCGGAGACTTCGTATAAGTTGACGGGATGAGTTTTTCCGTAGATTGATGTGGTTTTCAATCTGATTGCTATTATTGACCGCCTCCCCCTTTTCTTTCATCGGATGCAGGACATGAGTGTTGGCGAAATGCAGTTTATGAGGACTTATAAGAATCTTTGGGATTCACTCAGATTATCTTCACAATTCACAATTCATAGGTAGGCGTTTGATAAAGAAAACATTCATGTGATTAAGAATATTTCATCATACTAATTCCTTCAAACATCTTATTTTCCGGAGGAGCTGGTTACATGGATCGACGATAGTGTTCGGAAGTGTGTACTAGGCTGGCCTCAAGACACGGACAAGGGGAGAAGATATGGATAAATATAGTACATATTTTTATTATTTCTCTTTTATTATTTTCCTTTTATCATTTTCTTTTTTCTTTTATTGTTTTATCTTTTAGTATTTCTTCATTACTCTATTGCATAGTTTCAGGTGGTGGATGGTGCGTCATGTAACAACAGCGTAAACGCATTCATATCATAGGTCGCTTCGTAAACAGACACATATTGGCTGTAGATCTGGACTCAAGGGCTTACTTGATAGTAGCTAAGCACTAATGTAAGCATGCTTGATCCTTCTCACCGGTTCAGTTGGTCGGCCAGTTTGACCGACCACTTTGATCAGCTAGTGATAATATCTACCGTAGACACAGCCAGAAGCGAGTTCCTCATTTAGGAAACACTATATAAGCGAGTTCATAAATCCACACTCTAAAATAGTTGTATGCAATCAGCCATGACTAACATGTAAATCTATCCTCTCTTTTTCTGTGACACGGAGCAAATAGTCCTCGTGGTTTCCCGAGATACAAGCTTCACACCAAGCTTATTCTCAACACCCGAGGCCCGAGGGAACCTGCGTCTTGAAAACTAGCAGGTTACCCATTCATAGAATAGTGGATCATATTGCCAAGAATTACTACTACCTACCAAGAACTGCAAATGGTAGTACGTAGTTCAGACTATAATCTTACTAGTTTCTAAATAGCTACTCCGACGTTGGACGAGATGGGAGATTTTGGTCATCAACCTGATAAATGAAGGCCGCTCTTCCTAAGTGGGACTGCAGTGGTGTTATTCTCAGAAGTTTCAGATGCAGGCAGATGCTTATGTTACTCAATATCAGCTGAGCCGCTTAATTCACTCCCTGTTGCTGAACTACATGTAGACTGGCTTATAACTGTTGCTTCATAATAATCCAGATCGGCAAGAATAGGAGCAATGACATAAGACGTACATTATTAATACCACTTGGTCAGACAGTTAATGCAACTTTTGTCGTAGGAAGGTAATCGTGGCCCCGCGGAGATGTCGCTGTTGAATTCGAATGAGTAGTGGACTCAAGGGTGGTACTTCATGATTACTATCCTGAGAGAATTTCAATCATACTCGATTGCAGCAAGAGTTTGGATTAGACATGCCAAGTCTAGGAGCCACACATATCAACTGGCTTAAGTCAGCCTGCAAAGACCAGGTTCATTAACATAACATGTATGTGTATTAGTTGCCTATCAGTCAACCAATACTAACAACTTGTACCGTTATAGCAGCGCATATTACATCCCAGCCTTATTGAGATAATAATCCAACAAAAAGGAAGACGAAGAACGGAAATATGCAATGAAAACAACTACCCATCTTCCCTGAAGATGGCACACAATGGCCTTAGTGGCAAAATCCTTAACCCCGAAAGAGCCGTCCACTCGGGTACATCGTAAGCACTGAACCAGTCAACATCCGTTTCCAATCTCGAATTAGCCTCCATCGCGTGTCGACACTTAGTACATTTGTTCCTTGGCGATGCCATAATTGTGCAATCACAACTTCGAGAATCAGTGGAATCGCTATAATCATCTCCTACATCTTGATCGTTCTCAGGAGAGGGCTCATCTCTTTCATACTCGAAGAGTATGGCTAGTCCGCCTAAGCTATCCGTGGTAGTAGACTTGTGGAACGGAATCTGATGTGCATCGCTGAATATGTTGAGCTTTTGTTCGAGGATGTAGATGAAATCTCTGGGGCAAGAACAGACAGCGAGGTCGATGGGCGTCCTTTCATCCTTGTTTCTGATGGATAGGTCTGCCCCTGCATTGAATATCAGCTCTATGGCCTGTACATTGGCAGTTATGGCAGCAATGTGGAGGGTCGTATTTCCATTTGTGTCTCGAATGTTGATTTGATCCGATTCCATGACTTTAAGAAGGGCGGCTATAGGATAGCCTGACCAATGTCCTAGCCTGGCAGCAATATGCAGAGGTGTCCGTGTATTGTGATCTTGAAGAGATGGATCTGCTCCATTGACTAGCAGCTGATCCATTATGTGATTCCTTTCGTTGTATATGGTTGCTGCGCAGTGTAATGCGGATAATCCCTGGCTATCCACGGCGTTCACGTTTACGGGAATATCCATAAGCACCTCGATAACCTCGTCGTCCCGGAGACAGATAGCAGCCTGTAGGAGAGTCGAGCCATCTTCCCAGTATCGATAATTATCAACGATGTTGCCAATCGCTTCCAAGGTTTCGTATTTTGAGTCTAACAGCGCGATTGATTGCGATTGCTCGACCGGACTAGAACAAGAGGCATCGTCATCTTCATCGTCATCGCTATCGTCATCTTCATCGTCATCGCTATCGTCATCGCTATCGTCAACAGGAGAGGTAAGATTGGCACGCATTCTGCCGCTTAGAAGGGTGAAAAGTGCGCTTGTAGTTCTACTGCAACGATACTGCCCTATATTGCTATACCCAAGTAGGTGAGCAACTGTCAGGGGTCCAAGGAAGGAAGAGGCATAATGAAGTCACGAAGCCGGAGAGTGCCGCCGATGCCGCTGCTAAGAGACTAGCCGCAGCCAGGGTTTTCTATATAAAGGAGCGTAAATTCCCTTTGTTCTAGAGGAGGTCAGAGATAAATACAGTCATTGTGTGCCCCCTAGCTGCTCGTTCCCTTTGTGACGACTAGAACCTCTCCTTGACTCTATCACTCTCTCATACGCCGCCATTCCTGACAGCAACACACTCCTTACAGGACGTTGATACTGACGCAAGGAAGGGCACATTGAGATAATCATCGATAGCGACATGACCTGGTCGACGAGCATTCTTTTCGCGCAATATATCGATTAGTGAATAATTGCAGACATTGGAGGTAACAAACTGCAGGGCCGAAATGTAGCTGTTTGCGGAAACGGATGAATTGGCATCTGCACCATGGTCGATTAACGTGGCCATAGCCGGCTCGTTCTCGTGATTCAGAGCATGTGCTAACGCATTTTGCCCCTTATGGTCGAACAACTCAATATTTGCATGCCCCCCGAGCAAAGTGTCCAATCTGATAGAGGGACGTGACTTCGTTGCCAGCATCAAGGGGGTTCTCCCGTTGTGGTCCGTGACATTGATGTTGAGGCCGTGATCCAGTAAGAGCCTCATCTTCTTGCTGGCGATCTCGGCATTGGGTTCTCGAAGAAGATCGAAGAAGTGCCACACTTCCTCCCAGTGACCAAGAATAATCTCCTCACTTTTGTCCAGACAAAGATACTCCGTTAATCCTCGGACACTAGCCGCTCCCAAGTCTAATAGCATTTCAAACACTTCGATATTATCGCCGGCTAAGCTCAAAGCGCTGGCAAGAAAATTATACAAGTCTTCTCGAGGGGGGTTGGTCCGCCGCTCAACCAGCATCCGACTGACATCTTCGGAGGTAACAGGACTGGATGCTATCAGCGTTCCGTTCCGGAGAACGCCTAGATTTTGAAAACTGTCACCCATAATCCCGTACAATTGATAAATAAGATGCAGCCCCGGTAGCCTAGAATGGCGAGAGAATTCGAGTAAAGCGCCGAACAGCTCCTCGAGGTCCTGCAACCCGTGCACAAATGGGTTGTCTTTCAAGACTATCTCCTGTATAGCCAAAACCAGCTGGAAATAGTGGCAAGCCTTTAAACTCGTACAACGTTTCCAGAATATTTGAAATAAATCATCACGATCCTTGGTGTAAGCAAAGGCCATGGCTTCAGCAAAGGCATGAGCTTCGAACTGTTTGTTTTCGCTCAAAATGGAGGAGACAATATCCACAGATCCAGCAACAGTTGCAGCAAGGAGAGGGCTATTCTTGGCCTGAACTTCTCCATAAGCATTGGCTCCCTGCTCAATGAGCCTCTTCGCTATGTCATGACGTTCGCACTCAATAGCAACCGATAGAGCCTCGACCATGGTACTCGGGGAGATTGTCAATTGCTCAAGGATCCAGGTCAGGACTTGGACATTCCCCCATTTGCAAGCTAATAGAATGGCTCCCTCATTTCGATAATTCAAAAGGTCCCATTCTGTCCATTTTGATGCTTGCATCATGTCAAGAAGCCAGACAAGTCCAAATGTACAAGCTAGGAACAAGGGTGATGCTGACGGGCTTGCGATACACTCGAGTCTCTCGAGCAGCCATTCCTCTACTTCAAAAGCCTGTGAAGACTGATGAAGATTCCATACATCAGACACCCAGTCTTCGAACGCATCACTATATTTCTGTAACCTTGCATTGTTCACAGATACTAAAGATTGGTCGCTTGTTACATTCTGAAAGAAGAATATCGTCAAGATTGAATGGAGAGTATTGGACTTCCAATAATCTCCGATATGGGTGCAGTGAACTGGCCAGTATAACATGGCGTAAGGTTTAATTTCGGCGTCCAAGCAATCGCGAAGTTAGTATGCCCAGTCAATTGCAGTGTTCATATAGGAATCCAAGCATCGTTGGAGAACAAAAGCATGGCACTCCGTTGTTGCATAAGAATCCAATGTCTCGAGATACTCGCGGACAGACAAATGTGCGAATCGAACATACCCTTGATCGTCGATTACCACCATATTGTAGCAAATATCGAGAATGTTCTTACTTGAAATGAAATGATGCTCGGAAGCAAATATGATTGCCGCCACGAGTTCCTCAGTTGTCATAAGCTTCTGCGCGCATAGCAGCCACTTGAAGACCCGCTCAGCCAAAACACGACTTGGTCGTGAAAGGTCTAGGATGTGACGGTAGCTTCGATCGTAAGACTCTCTGAGGGTTTGTGGGAGCTGGCCGACCTCTTCTCTCACGTCGCTTTCGATTTTGATGCGTCCACTATCACACAGGTTGTCGATCTGAAGTGTAACCCATCTGAACATGCCCTGTGCTTTGTCTTTTAGTGTAATTGACACCTCTTGAACTAAATCATTGAGCATCTTCCCGTGGAGAAGCCTCTTATTAGCTAGAGCCTGAGATAGTGTATAATCGATAAACCTCTCTATATCCAGGCGGTTGTCATCTGCTCGAATATAGATGTTTGGGGAGCTTGACAGGTGACAGCAAATGTCTCCATCATCCCTGCTGGTGACCATGATCTTGATAACACTGGGTGACTGCCTGAGTATATCACCCAATGCAGATAATAGTTTATGCCTCCGAGCCGGATCGCATTCATCGAGTGCATCTATAACGATCGTTGCTGGATCTCGTTCAAAAAGGCGTGACATCATGTCTTGAGTGTCTGATGGACTCAAGGACAATATATCCGTGTCATATAACTCTGACTCTTTGTCTCTAGCCTTGAATTCTTTCACAATGATATCCTTGATCTCTCCTTGGTCATTGATTGATAGTTGCTTCAAAATACTTCGGAAGACTTCATCAGGACTGCTACGATTAGGTTCAGCCGGATTTCTAGCACAATAGAAATAGGCGACAGGGGCAGGATTTGGCGACAGGGTGTTGTCTTGGAGCAGTTTCTGGACAATCCTATGCGCAAGCTTTGTTTTTCCACAACCAGGAATCCCATGGAGCCACAGGATAGCTGATGAACTCGTATCCTGCCAGCGAATGAACTCTGGATGCTCTAACAGCCAGTTTCCAGATCCTGGAAGGTGGTCCTTTCCTTCTAACTGATGATGATATCGCGTATTTATCTGAGACAGCCAGTTGAGTATTCTTGTCTTCTCTTGTCGGCTCAGGCTTTTGTGAAGCTCGGTAAGCTGGGCGGAAGATCTGATGATTGGTTTTCCCAAGGCGGAAAGATATTGTGTGATCTTTTCAGTTTTGGCACTTGTCGCCTCAGTCTCTTCCAGCTGAACAATGAGGAGGCAAGATTCAACATCTGACAATTTCTTACTAATTATGTCGAGATATTGCTGAACTTCTGATTCCGGAGTGCTCAAAGTTGATTTAATAACTCGCTTCACAGTATGAGTGCTGAAGTATTGCCGAGCTTTCGCGAGGTAGCGTAATATAGAAGTATAGAGCTTCACCATCGCGAGCTGCAATTGCTTCCGGGAAAGGACAATGGAACAGCAGGCTGGAAATAGACTTCTTCCAAACATGCGCACCTTGGAAGGATGCTGGATACCCTTTCCACCCCATCAACCATAGCCCCAAACGTCTGGGCGTCATTCATCGCAACCTGGAGAATAATAAGGATCCCAGCCCACGGCACAGCGGCATGTAGCGGGTCATACTGGACAACTGTCGATCCAACTTCATTGAACCTGGTAATCCATGTCGTTATCTTTTCCAGCTTGTCGCGAATAATGACGATTTCGCCTTCCTTCTTCTTGAATTTCCACCTTCTCTGGAGACAAATCTCCTTCTTTCCTTCAGCAAGGGCCAGTATCTGGTGAAGAATTTCGAGCTTGTTGCCATTTTCAACGATTATGAGCAACCTCTCACTGTCCGGGAGCTTTCGCAGCGCCGCTTCCCACAGCGACTTCTCCTGAGATTGGAATGTTGATGGCGACGAAGAGTTTGCAGTAGTACTCATCATAAGTAGTTCTGTATCTAGATTAATTCGAATATTTAAAAAAAAACTGGCATAATTCTGCAATCGTGAGGTGAAGTTTGCGTTGGGCAGCAGAGGGTGGCTGCCTGGGGTATCATTTAATGGATGGCAAAGTTAAGGCTGTGCTTTACGCAGCATAGCCTTAATTGCATGTAAATGTATGCCGTCCGACGTGCATTTCAGCCTGAAGAGTATGCCTTGCACACTGCCCACTAAACTATTCTCTTCCGCCCTTGAATGAGACAGGACATGACCAAACAACAAATTCGTCAAAGGGTGAATGTAGCTACTCAGTGGTCGCAGATGTTAAACGAAGTAGCAGTACTATCGGCGCAGGAAAAGCCTGCGTGAGAAGGATCCGGATTACTACATATCCTGACCTTTACATACCGCAATCCGGTACACAGCTCTTGAGCCATTTCTATTATACCGGTACTGGGCTATCTGTGCTCAACGGCAAATTGGAAAATAATAAAGGTACCTAGAGTAATTGATGAATTAATTTTAAGTTAAATAATACTAGAGACAAAGCCAAGAGATTTGAAGAAAGAAAAAATCAGGGCTTGGAATTAGACATCAAATGTATTAGAGTAGCTCATATTTGTTCCTATTCTTTCGATTCATAAAATGAGACGAAGATTATAGCATATAACTTCTGCTCTTAGTATGATCCTATGCGATCCAGGCAAGATGATTAAGCCTACTTGAATAGTCACAAGCTGCTGCATAGAAGCTCGGATTACACAAAGCGGGAGATGCTTTTAATAATATTCTACGTTTCTCCTTTGCCAGATACGGACCTTGCGCTCATCATTCTATGCGCTGGCGTGCCGGCAGCCGTAAAACCTCGGAATGTAACGATGTCTGCCAAAGGGGTGTCCGATTCAAATCACATGTCCTCATTTGGAAGATTAAGCCAAGGTTTACTAATCAAGAATCTTGTCCAATAGGTCATGAATATTCTCATGTGAACCAGATCACCTTATCTACTCTTTCTATCTAAATGTAGTACGAGTTGAATCATTCTGTAACCGAGATGATCAATACTGAACGAACCTCAATTTGCCACCAGGTTAGAGTAATCCATTCTACAAAGCAAAGCAAGACTCACAAAAAAAAAGTTCAACAATACCGGGATCTAGGCTACAGAGAGCTTTCTTAGAAGACAAAGATTTCGTCGCTCATCTTTGCACTTCCTCCAGGGTGCTTATACCCTAAGCTCACAAGCGACTTCTTGGCCGCAATAACCATTGCAGGCGGTCCACAGATCATAACTTTGCTTCCCTCTCCGCCCGGAGAAGGGAACATCTCAGCCATCATGTCCTTCGTTACATAGCCAGATCCAAATTTCCACTCAGAAGAATGATTCTCAAGTATATAGTAAACTTTGAAGATCTTTGGGTATCGCCTAGCAAAAGTATCCAGCTCCTCCCTGAGAAGGATATCCTGTTCTGTTCGGTTGGCGTAGATGAGACTGATCTCTGTGGTATCACGGTCGCTTTCGCAGATGGCCCGGATAATCTGGAACATAGGTGTAATTCCCGTGCCACCAGCTACCATGCCTATCTTCTTGCATAATTTCCGAGAGTATCGCATCGCTCCTTTGGGACCCCTGAAGTGAACCTCATCGCCAATGTTTAGGTTGGCTAAATAGCCATTTGTCATTTTCCCGTTGGGGTAAATCTTGATAAGGAGCTCCAGAATGCCCTTGTCGGCGTTATTCGACGTCGGAGTATAGGATCGCGTTACAGTTTCCCCGTCAATAACTGCGGTAATGGCAACATGCTGGCCCGTTGGCAAACCAAGTATGGGATGCGAAGAGGGCAAGGTGAATGTTAGACGGTATACATTTGGCGACACCAACTCTTTTTTGGCTAGAGGAATCGCAGATGCAGCTGCCTCCGAGTCTAGCCATCCCCTTTGCTGTAGAAGATTGAACTCGGGAGTCTTTGGCACCTTGAAATGGTAGGGATACTTTGGTGAGTCTAAGGAAATGACAATCTTGAGCAGCCTACGAACAATCAGAGTATGGACTGATGCTAGAACACCGGCTCCAACTAGCAATCCCATCGCAAAACTAGGTTTTGTGGAGGTGGAAGCAACAACAGTGTCAGAAGAGGCAGCCCACTTTGGCGCAAATGTGATGAGATTCTTGCCAATTGATGAGGCTTGAGACATCAGATGGCGATTCACGCCGTAGGTAGTAAGGCCATAGTATAAGGCAGCAGTGCCAAGTGAAACTATGGTGTACTTGGTGGTGCTAGACATGGCTTTCTTCGTAGTTGATGAAGTATAGCGTTTCGGAGGCGTTGATGGGTTGGCAAGTGCGATTCTCGCTTTTATTTCTTTGTATCCCTTGAGTTTGCCTATTCGTAGTGGCATCATTAAGTCGAAGGCATCGTCTGAGTGGCCGGCATTGTCGAAAGCCTCACTAGCATTGGTGCCAGCTGCCTCTATGAGCACGTCTACACCACCAGGATGGCTCTGGATATACTTTGTCACATCGTAGACTACGGCAGAAATGTTAACTTGCTCTAATAGAGACCAAGGAGCCTTTTTTTTTTTGTCTGTCTCACCTTCTCCATGAATGACCATCCACGCATCTTCTGCGCTATTGTGCAGCCAAATTTCTTTCTGGGAGTATTCTACAACCTCTGACATAATGATGAATAGAAAAAATGCACGATGAAGAGAGCTGGAAATTGATACTTTGCCAGAATGGGTGGTGGCGGCTTTTTAACCGCCAGATAGAAATGTTGAATTATATTGACCAGTACCCCTGATTACTGAAGTTTGTGGACGTATGTTACAATGAAGTTTAGTAAAGTCATCATTCTCTGACCAACATTGGCATGGCCTAGCTCATCGCCATGGGACTCCTTTTTTTTTGTTAGGAGCATTTCCGCGAAATACCACGCAAACATGGTCCGTTCGCCCTGATTTTACCAGTCCAGAGAGACCATACGCCGTAAATCTTGAAACACACCCATCTAAACATCCTTAAAGCCGACCCGACTCGCTTGAAGCCGATTCATCTACAAGTTCCTCGGAACAATTTCTCGCGTCCAACTCGAAGTGTGTGGGGGATCAGTAATCAACGCCATCGAAAGCCACTGCCGTTATATCGACCTCCTTAGCGGCGGTTCAAGCCGTTGAATATGTCCGAGATTCGATGCGAGTTTTATTTCCCAAAAGGGATATTACGAGGGTCTATAGGCTGAATACATTACACATTCTTACCTATCTGGAGGTGGCCGAAACCGAGGTCTGTAACTCAGTAATTATAAATTATGCGATTCACTATAGGGGCACAAAACCTGGCAGAAAAATCCGAGGTAAAAAGCATTTCAGGTAATTTTCTACTATGTGATCATATTCCGAGGACATGAAGCTGTAAATCAGCTGCCGACTCAGTTACCCCGACCATGATTATTTCCTTCGCCATCAGGAGTCTCCGCGGAGGAGGGTTCACAACCTGTGGTGACAGATGTATCAGCTAAAGAAGAAGAGGAAATACTTAAAAACAAAGTCTTCTCCAATCTCTAGATAACATCTAAAGAATCCCCACCAGTTGAGTTTACAGACCTTCTTTTCAAGACCTTTTGACAATTTTGGTAATTTTGAAAAGATATTGGCAGTATTGCCTACTTTCGAAATGTCTACTCTTTTTTATCTCTTGGGAGAGCAGCCGTCTTCTACGATAGAGTTCGGGGTCTCTACATCATCAGATTTTGAAGACTTGCAAGATCTGGTTGCGTCCCATTTTGCCATCGTGGAGCCTCGCGGTTAGTGCTGAATTCCGAGGGAAAAAACATATAGAATCATTTACTCATATTGCCTGTGACTTTAGGTGTTGGCTTTGTGTCTGATGATCAATACCTTACATCGGTAGCAGATGTACTTGCTGCTGAAGGGCCTATTGCAATCTCCATCGATGGCGGCGCGGTGCGCGAGATTCCTGGACCCAAAGGGCTTCCATATCTTGGCAATTTTACTCAGATATACCCTGACCATCTTGGTAATCATCAAAGGCTTTTCGAAACATATGGCAAGCTTTTCGCCGTCACCACGTTTGGCACTACGTGGAATTACACAAACGATCCCAATCTGACCAACATCTTCTTTACCGAAAGCGAATTCTTCACCAAGGGTGTCATTGATGGCCATCCTCTACACGCATTCAATTTGGGAGATGCCGGCATCTTCTTCGGTAGCACAGACACTGAGAGCTGGCGTGCAAACCACAAGTTCTTCCCCCCAGCACTGGGTCCCAAGGCTGTGAAGCATTATGCACCTAAACTCCAGGATACAATTGAGGACGCGTTTTCCGTCTTCGACCAACTAGACAAAGACGGCGAGGCTTGGAATGTATTTCCATATATGCTGAAACTAACATCTCAAGCCATTGTCAAGCTCGTCCTGGGTATGCAAGTTCGTCATTTTGCAACAGCGGATACGCCACTTGATGAGATAGTGTCCATGATCATTGAAATCTTAGTATTGGCCAGGAAAGTGAATCGCTATGGCTCTTGGTACGGCAGTCTGCCATTTGGGGACCCTCAAAAACTCCGCAATGTTACTAAGATGATTCGCGAGCGGTTGGAAAAGAAGATGGAAGAAATTGAAAATGCCAAAATGGGGGCAAAAGAACTTGAATTGCAAGAAGCTGCTTTAGAAGCAGACCACTTGATTGGTATGCAACTACTCACCATCCCTCGTAAAGAACAGTGTTAACCAAGCTTAACATCAGATTTTGCTATTCGAGCACGAGACAGTAAAGGAAATAGGTTGAGTAAAGATCACGCCTCTCTAGGTGTAACCGTCATCGCTGGCGCTGGCTTTTCAACCACAGCGGCGCTGCTCTCTTGGTTGATATATGGCCTAGTCTTTTATGAAGGGATGCAAGATCGCATCCTCCAAGAGCTTATTGACAATGATTGGAACGAAGATACGGTCGCTACACCAGAGCTAACCCATAATCTCAAGTTTTTGGAGAAGTACATCAAGGAAACACAGCGGCGACACAATGGATCGTTCCAACCGGGTCGCACAGCCAAGACTGACTTGATCTTACCTGGAGGATACAAGATGAAAAAAGACTCCCTCGTCATCTTGGCTCTACACCACCTTCACACAAACTCCAAGCAATGGGACAGCCCTCTACGGTTCGATCCCGACCGCTGGGACACTGAAGAAGTCAAAAACCGCCCAGCAGGGTCGTTTCAGCCTTTTGGCTCTGGAGCTCGCAGCTGTATAGGCTTCAACCTGGCATTGGAAGAAGTCAAGATATTTTTACCCAAATTTGTGTACCGCTACAAGTTCACGTTGGCCAAAATGGACGAAGCGGTTCAGTACGATCCAAACCAGGTAGTCATCAAGCCAGACAACTTGTACGTTCGCGCGGAGAGAAGAGTGCGATGGCCAGCGAAGTCCGAATAAGCTATACGCTTATCGCTGACGCCACCTTTTTGACGGTCAGCAAGGTGTGGGCCATATTAGTTCTTGTATCCTTTCTTTATTTCGATCAGCCTGAGAATGTCAACATGTCAATGAATGGGAATTAATAAACACAACGAAGTCTTTTGTTATCAGCCTGACGAAGACTTTCATTCGCTTGCTGTGAACTGAAACCACGTTACCTAAACGTACTGTGTCCCAACTCCGTAAATGGATCAAGGTGAAGGATTTTCATGTGGTCTCTTGCAAGGCTCGTCGCATGGCTTGCTGACGCTACTATCCCTGTTGCAGGTCACCGACCTTGCGGTCTTCCGCAAGGTATATCAGCACTAATGCGTAAACTCCTGATCCGATAGCTCGATAGCGCAGGGGGGCTTCCAATGCTATGCCGCAATCATCGTGTTCCAGAATTCGGAATTGCAAGGCGTGTTAGACCGCCGTACTTCGTATTACTTTTTTGGTCTTCCCTGCAGACACGGATGAATGTTCGGGGAGATCTCTTCCCACCCTTTCACGGAGCCGTGCTGTATTTGGCAATTCTAGCCGTAGCGCAAAGACGGCGGGGAGTTAAGCTAGGTGACTTTAACTTTTGAACTTTTCAGTAATGTCTTGACTTGCGTCACAGTGGATAAGCGCGTCGTAATCTAGGAAGACCATGTTGCTCCCCTGTAAGATAGCTACTGTTGGAAGGATTAGCTCGGCCCTCGGCAATTGTCATGCTTGTTATTCTGACTGCAGTGATATTAAGGAGACAACTACATTACCAGCGAAGACTTTCCAGGTTTCAGACATCTTATGAGTCGATGTCCGAAGAAGTCATAGTAGTTTGTTAGGCTTAATCAAAATTGAGTCTCGCAATAAAATAGTATCGCCTAAAGTAACATTAGTTGTACTTGAACTTAGAGCCATTGAAGCCACACAGGTTAGTTTCGGCACGAATGATCAACTTGTTGTACATTACTACTCTGTACGGTAGAGTAATATGAGCTATCACCTTACAAGCATGTTCCTATGCTTCCTAGACAGGACTCTTTTATCTTTTCTTACATACTTCTTTTTTTTTTCTTTTTTCTTTTTTTTTTAAAAAATAGTTTCCCGATTTTCTTGTCTTTTCCCGATTTCCTTTCTGTTTCCCGCTTTCTTTTTTTAGCCACCCTTTGGTTTCACCTACTAAGCTACTTACCAAGACTACACTCAACCACATAGGATGGATTCAACCCGACAACTTCCCGATCAAGTTACAGTGCATACAGAGCAAAACTCATTTGAACATCCGGAAACAACAAGCTTTGATACAGCGTCCGCGGACGACTCGGGCTTAAATCCGAAAGTTTTAGGTATGACTCGCCTTAACATAAGTGGCACGTACAATATAAGCCTGGTGACACATAACTCCTTGGTTAATTTGTCTGAATCGGCGGCAAAGCGGGCGGGTTTCCGCTCATATCAAGTTTAGCACTTAAAGAAGGCGCAATTAATACACCCGAGAATAGTACAACAGGCAGCGAGCTAGGTAGGTAGTGAGGTATCGGATGGCAACTTCCGCAACTCTATTTTTTTTCGTCTGACAGATAGTAACTCGGATGTTGTACTCTTTCCTTTTGTAATTAGCAGTTTTTATTATCTTAGACATTTATCTATTTGTTATGTATCATTTTGTTCGGAAGTTCCGAACCCTTGATTCCTAGCGCCCCCATAAATCACCTTGTATCTCCATTTACCCTTCCTGGGTTGATGCTTAGTATGAGCTCCCCCAACCCCCACGTATGCTTTATCATTATGTGTTATAACGTGACGCATTTTCTACACAAGTACAAGAAACATCAGATACGAGCACAGTTGGGGAGACAAGAGCCATCTAAAATTAAAACCTTGCACTAGCCATTGTCACATGGAACGTCCCATGTTGTGCGAGCACGTTCTCTCTAGCATTTGATCTAGGGGGTGGTATCGTGTTAAAAAAAAGAACCCAAAAAGGAGGCAAAAGCCTCAGCGCCAATCCATGCCATGCCATGCCATACCGTACCGTAATGCTGCTGCGTGGTCCATATTGTACATCCATATAAAGCCGCACCAAAAGAAAAAAAAAATAGACAAATGCTGCTAACTCGTATCAAGATCCATCAAATTAGCCCCCGCCAGCTGGTCTTTGCTTTAATTGTATGAGATGCTTCAAGCCGGTCTGGACGCCCATGTACTTTCGCTGTTTAGGATCATACCACCCCAGGACGTATACAGCCATGACTGCAGACTTTCCTTGCAACTCTACCAGTCCATCAACTCTGATGCAGCCCCTGCTGGGTGGCTGCTTCGCAGGCTGCCAGTTCTTGGTAAATGTAACGGTAGCATCCTGAAGAGCGGCCTGAATCCGAGGATCAACTTGGCTTACACCACTGAATGGGGTGCCGGGGATTTCGCTGATGCCGGTGTGGACCGGAAAGTTGGACTTATCCGGCTGCCCTGGAACCTTGACGGTCTGTTTGCCAGTTGACCCGAGCTCTCCTTGTTCTTTGATACGATTCAGAATGGCGGCCTGCCATGTTGCCTCGGGTGGAGGTGGCGTGTTAAATCCCAATACTTTACCAATATCTTGGGCTGTCTGCCTTGCCAATGAATTAAGAAATGCCCACGCTGACAATGCTACTGCTTTCGGGTATATGGCCGTGTTGAGGTGGTTGGCAGCCAGCGAGTCCATCGGCCGATCGCCCCAGAATATGCCGTCATCGTCGATAATGATACTACAAGAGCAAGCATTAGTAGGTACGTACGGAGTACATGCCGAAGCAAATGCTAGTGACTTCGTGTCTTACCCAGAAACATAGTGCTTAGGGGGCGGTGCGGGGGGGTAAATGATGTCCAGCCATAGCTTTTTGAGTTTGATATCCCGGCCGCCGAGCAACTGAACATAGGCAGGATTTCGTTCAACGCCTCGCCGTATTAGCTCCGCCAGGCCCACTATGAAGACAGTCAGTTAGTGACTATGCAGCTTCAAAGGCTTTCGCCCTGCGCCTACTTACTCTTGATGTCTTTCTGCAACTGCTGGTCTTTATTCACAGCTATGAATGTTGCCCACTCAGGATCGGAGCCCTTGTACGGCGGTTGCCTAACCTCCTTCGTCGTAAACGGGAACGGGAGGAACAGAATCGGCTCGTCTTCATCCGCCATATCCTCCATCTCTTTCTTTTCTCTCTCCGACAAAGCCTCCCATTCGTGATCCGCCCAGTCTAATAGCGGGTCAAAAACGACGGTCGCGAATATCTGCCAACAGGCATATACGGCTATGGTTGTAAAAACGGCTCGGCTGTGGTTGGACATTAGTCTTTGGAAAAATCGCGCCGACTCAGCCGCGGCAAACAGCTTACTTTATGCGACGCCGGAAGGAACCTGGCTTTGGTGGAACGATGGGTTTGGCGAAATAAACCGGAAGCCCCTCTGCTGCTGGTCGATTTCGCCATGGTAGAAAGGATATCTGTCGGCTAATGGAAGGGATGCGATGGGCGGGGAGATGTGGTGAGGCTTTCGATATCAGGGTTGAGTGTCGCTGTCGCGAAACGACCGCTGCGCGCCGCAGCATCCCGGCTTTTCGGTTGATTCTGCGCGGTTCCAAACGGCCAAAGATATAAAATAATGCAATCAAGGAAGAAGAGAAAGCTCGTATCAAAAGAGCAAGCGCATGGTGTATTTCAAGCTATTGCGATGGATGATGAAGTTCTACAGAGATGATAAGGCAATCGGATTACACACATTTGTCGAGGTGGTTACGCAGGGGTCTGACCGGAACATTGTACCCCCATTGCCGACGCGCCAACCACATCCAGCTAGCATGCACCTGAGGCGTCACCTACGTACTTCATATTCTCGGTGCAACTTGTTGACGCCGAGCCCTTTTTGCGCGCCTTCACCATTCACAACAGCTTCGACAGAGACGAAAATCATCATGAAGCTCTCGCTGGGGATTGCCGCAGCATTTGTGAGCTGCGCCGCAGCATCACAGCCCGCCGCCGACGTTTACATTCTGCCGAATCGCGAATCCGCATCGCCGCCGTCCATCCCCAGCAGCATTGCCCGGCTGATCTTGCTCAAGCGGGCGGATTCCAGTTCCTTTTCCTTCGTCCGCGATATACCTGACGATGTCGATGCCGAAGAGGTGGTTTCATTGATGAATCGATATGGAGGCGTCACCCCCTCGCTGTTTGATGAGCTCGCCCATGAGCCGAAGCAGTTGTTCATTACGCTCCAAGGATTGACGGAGGAGCAGATGAAGGAGACCAGAGCGAAATTACAGCTGCAGCCATCATTCACCGTCCCCGATGCGCCTCATATCGACCGTCAGGAATGGGCGACGGGCTTCGAGATGCCTCCGCACGAGCTTATATCTGGAAAGGGAACCAGCTGCTCCTATGATGAAATGACCAACCCAGTCGAGTCCCGGTGTTGGAAAGGAAAGACGTTGCTGGCCAATTTTGATATCCAAAAGGTACGCATTGAAAGTGTTGGATGTTTCGGTGTATATGGTAGATGGTGTGATAAAGAAAATAACCCGAACTAACGCCGCACTTTTCTTTATAGAAGCCGGAATACTTGGACTACGTGATCGACAGCTTCCCACGGCTGACCTCGCTTGCTGAGATTGGCGAAGTGCAGACGACTTTCCTGTTCTTCCCTGGCGCTGGCAAATTGTCGAGCCAGGCTCAAGCCCTTCACAAGCGCCAGGCGGAGCGGGTGATCTCCCACTTTCATAAGACTGCGGCCGCGGTGGAACCTACTTCGCCGGCGCAGAACACCCTCCGAGCCCCCGCAGGACCTATTCCCGCCTGCTTTGATTCCCTGGACAGCTGCGTCTCCAAGACCGGCAATTGCTCACAGCAGGGAGAGTGCTTGAACAAGTACGCATCTGCAGATGCCGGTGCCCTTGCCAGCGGCCGCGCCCCTGTCTGCTTTGCATGCCACTGCCTTAGCACTAGGACCGGAGAGAATGGACCTCTTACCCATTGGGCGGGGCCTACGTGCGCCAAGAAAGACATTAGCGTGCCGTTCTGGCTCTTTGCTGGCTTCACGTTGCTTATGCTTGGAACTATCTCCTTGTCCGTCACCATGCTCTACAACGTTGGCGACGAAAAGCTTCCCGGTGTCATTGGGGCTGGAGTTTCCAAGTCTAAGTAAGCGGCCAATGGGACATTTGGAGCGCGTCTTCTTTCTATGGCTTATTGATTTGTTTTTCCTTTGTGACCGGTGGATAAGTAATGGGATGTGGATGTCCATGAGATGATGGGTAATGGCCTAGACAAAGGCTGAGTTTGGCATGTAGGAGTCGAGGAGCACCTATCGATGAGCAGCTCTACCATGTAACAATTGGAGCCTCATGTACCATACAGATGTATTCAATAGCGTTTGTTTTGCTTTTCCGTACTGTTAGCTTCTTAGAAGAGAATGGCCCGGCCACAGGGCTGAGTCTTTGGTTCTGAAACAGGGAGCATATCCGTCTTCCGTGCCGATCTTTGTCATGGTGGTAAGAAGTTGTAACAGTAAGACGTGACGTGTTGCTGGTTGATGACGAGACAAACAAGATGCGGGACACTAACTCAGGCGTTGATACTATATACAGTTCAGTTGACACATGCTTGACTAAGCTCATCTGCTCTACATACAGCGGCTGGAAACCCGCGGGTTGAGCTCAAGCAAGCGGAATAAGCATACTCTTAGCACGCAAAGTCCGCAGTAATAAGGTTAACTGGAGACAGTTCAGAACGGAACTGGCAACTCGTGCAATAGTAATCGGCCGAGACGGATTCCCTGTTGTGGTCCCCGTTTAGGACTAGCCGGCCAAGGACGCGCCAAGCATTTCGCAAGTGGGCGATATACTGCCCGGTGAGGACTAGCCTGGCCCTCCCAGCTGAACGGTGCATCTGATTACACGTAAGTTTGATGCCCATGCGTCGAGTGGGGCGGCAGCAACTGGACAGGCATCAAAGAAGTAAGGAGCGATCCAGCAGCTTCAAGCGGCATGAGCGAGAACCTCGTCGGATACTCTGTCTCCGGACTGGGCTGGCCGCCTCAGGCTATTTGATGTCCTCCATTGCCTACTCTGGCTGCGCATCTCGCTCGCTCTCGTTTATGCTTCACGCATCGGGATTTTCCGCGTCTTGACCAGGATATTCTCCGGGAGCTGTGAGGCGTGGCAGATTGGCCAATCACCCCGCCGGAAACCCAAGCAGCGCCCCCGGTGGGGGTAGTCCGGACTTTTGCGAAAAGGCCGTTCCAAGCAGCTGTGGTTTGAGGCGTTGAGTCTTCAAGGGTCGTTTCTGAGAATGGTCTCTGGCAACCTTTAAAGTCGAAAGCCCGCCGGACTTCATTCTACTTCCGTCTCGCAAAAGACCTGGCCGACCATGTACCCTCTTTTGATTGCTTGCATAACCTAGGGCGGGCATTCGAGAGTAAACAATGGATGCTGAACCCTCGGCAACGATCACTAACAGCTCAAGGGCCGAGAGGCCAAAGCTGCCCACGGCCAAATGGGGAGCGGCATGCGCTCCTTGTGCTACCGCGAAGGCGAAGTGTATACGATCAAACGAAACTCCGGGAGCTAAATGTGACAGGTGAGCTAAAGAGGAACAAGAGCTAAAAGTCCTGAGACCTTTTTTTATTTTATTGATTTATTCGGGTTTTGTGTTTTGTCATTGGACTTGACACCGGGGGGAACGACATCGGATGGAGAGTGGGATGGGATAGTCACCAGTATCAGCCGTTCCTATCTTCTCTTTGCTTTTCTGTTTTCGTTCTTCCGTAATGAACGGCCAAATCGCGTTTTCTATTCTTCTATTGAGCGTCAACTAACAAGTCAATTGCCGTTTGTCACGACTCATAGATGTGAGAGACTCTTGAAAGAGTGTTCCAACCAGATCCATCGCCCTCGAAAGAAGAGACAAGCCAAACCTTCGTAAGTCCGAAAGTTCCGTTTCCATCTCTTTATATGCAGGCTCTAGGCTGCGACTCTGTTATATGCCGTTCCGGAGATGTGTTAGCTCAGTTCCCGGCCCCTGATGCAACAACTCCGTTTGAACGGAGAATTCAATGTTTCGATGGCGCTAGCAGCTGTAATCGTGGTGAATTCTCCAGCTCTTCGTGAATCTCCGATCTAACAAACCCTGAGTAGCCGAACGGCGCAGATCGAAGAGCGGTTGAACGGCCTTGTCAGTCTTCTCAAGGCCTCCGGAGAGCTATCTGGAGCTCAGAGTGACCCACATTCGCAAGACGACAACGAAGATCTGGGAACAGAAGGCTCTTCTGACCGCCCGTCCCCGTTCTCAAGTCCGTCCAGCGCTATTCCTAGCATATCTAACCAAGGCAATACTTGGATAATCGACCCATCGTACAACTCCTTCACGCCGAAATCATGCATTTGCCATCCGGATACCATGGAAGCACCGCCGCCTCCGGAGTCAGACGAGGTGCTTCTTGACTTTTATCGAAAGAGTCTGCAGCCCGTCCACCCCTTTGTCGTAATCCCACCAAATGTCTCGGCAGCCGTCCTGGCGGCAAGACGGCCGTTTCTAATGGCAGCCGTTCGGATGGTTAGCTCGTTTCGAAGTATCAGGTCGATGAGGGCGCAGATGTATCATTTGATGAAGCACCTTGCAGATCATATGCTCATCCGCTCGGAAAAGTCACTGGATCTGCTATTGGGAATCATAGTCATGTTGGGATATCAGCAATACCACTGTTGTCTCCACGGGCAGCTGAGCAACTTGATAACCTTGGCCGGGAGTTTGATTGGAGACATGGGCTTGGGTAAACCCCCGGGCGTACACGAACGAACGCGGTTAATGGTCGTCCGCCCACCAGAACTACATGGCCGAAGTAATGAAGAGAGACGAGCTTTTGCTGGGGCGTGGTACTGGGCATCCGTGTAAGTTATTTCTTTGCTACCTCAACCAATTGCCATGACTTGTTTGCTTACTATTCCTCCTGCAGGATATCCATGAATTTTCAAAGAGTTGAACCCATGAGATACAACGGATACCTCCAAGACTGCATGCGGCACCTCGAAGAGCACCCAGAATATGAAAGCGACATTTCTCTTGTCTATCTTGTCAAGATACAAAGGTTGACGGAACGAATATCTGAACTCAACTCTAGGGACAGAGCCTCAGAGGAAGCCTCTTCTGTCCCTTCGGCTCCTATCTCAGCCTACATCTTGGCATTTCAAAACGAGCTCAACCAAATCCGGGGCTCTATGCCTAAGCATTTGAAAGATGACAGTGAGTATTTTTGTGTGTACTTAGTATGTATTATAATTTCCATCTGACTAACGTTTGCCGTAGAAACTTTTCAGCTCTTGCTGGATAGCGCTAGGCTTCGTCTATACGAGCCTCCGGTGGTTGATAAGAACCTGATCCGCTCCCTGTCCAAATCTCTTTCTTCTGTATCCATGGCTACAGATTCACCGCTCGATAAGATATACCAGTCAAGCGCCGCTCTCACAGCGTGGTTCAATTCTTGGCTTTCCCTTCCCATCTCCACATACTACTTTCAAACCACCGCAGTGGGCTCGCACCTTGTTTACGCTCTCGTCATGCTGGCCCGATGGGCAAGGTTGGCGACTCCCAGAGCAATGTACGAGGGCAAGACCACTATGCCAGATGACCCAAGTGCGAATAATCCTAATGTTGCCCTGTATAACTCCGATATGGTAAACTCACAGTGTGACCCGAACATGACGGTAGATAAATGCGGAATGCCACGAGGACGTGTGACGGCACGCCCTGATTTGGACGATCCTGAACTCGCAGCTGCTGTGGCTATACTGCGGACACAGCTGCAGACACAACCAGGACTGATGATTAATATCCCCGAAATCCTTTCTGCGATATCCGGCCGCTTCGAGCATGCCAATGCAACTTTCCAGCTATGTTCGGCAGATCCCGAAAGGGTGAACAAGAATGTCTGGATGATGACTGCGCTAAAAGTACGAATTACGAGAGCGAAATTAGAAAAGTGGGCAGAGCTGGTATCTGAAGGGTCAGAAAACATGCATCTCGAAAATCGATCAGAACCGGACCAGAGAATGGCTGATTGGCAAGCGGCAATGCACATGCCGCAAACCGAATGCGCCGGACTGGACGATATGGGACTGTTCGCGGATGATGGCTTACAGGAGCCGCAAATGGATAACAATTGGGGGAACATGGCGCACACATCATGGACTACCGATCTATTATCTGGTTTCGACCCAAGCGGATGGTTTGATGGATACGTGGATTGGAATTCAGTCCCGATGGCTGGCGCGCACCCTATAGAGAGATGAGCTCTTCTCTCTTCGTTTCTCTGCGATGAAGGAGAGATTTAGACGGCCTCTCTTCGACCTTCTTGCTGGATTTGATACACTATGAGCGATTGTCAGACAAAACTTAACATATGATGAAGTCGCAAATGTCAGCAATAGCAAGGCTGAAATTGGTATCAGAGTTATGCCTGCAAAAATATATATACTGGGTCTTTCAACAACGCCGATCTTCTCTACACAACTGTCGCAGGAGTCTCAGATAACATGCGATTTGAGCGGAAGATGTGCGGTGGCTTTTTAATGCGACACTTACAAATGAGCGATTGTTTGGATATTTTCAAGAACTTGATTTAATGGGGAGTCTTACGGAGATGAATGGTTTCGACTATTTCGTGTCACTCACTTGGGCAGTACTTGCGTCACGCTACAGTATATTTCACGATTCTGAGGGCGTGGTCTGAAGTCGAGACTCGGCAAAGGAGTAACGTTGAATTAACTGAGCTTGGTTACGCTCTATTGCTACTTGGATATTGCTGTGGCAATGATATGGAAGGCATCATGGGAGTAACGGTGGTATAAAAAAACGGAAAAATACCCGTGTGGCAATTCAAAATATATGGGTGCTCTTCTTTTTCTGTCATGTAGATTGAATACAAAAGGTCTTTTTCTTTCTTGACTCTTCTAGGATGAAAGCTACGCTGCGAGTGAGCAACTAAGGATATACTCCGTGTAATAGTAACTACCTATCAAACGCTGAATGGGTAGTGGTATGCACTTTTACTTTGGAACCTCTACTTCCAGCGCGTAAAAAAACACACAATTGAAGAATGATCAAAACTGGGAGGCATCGTATGTCCAATTGAATGCCCTGCTTACAATAGAAATGGGACAAATCTGGCATTGGAGAATGCGGGGTCTCGTGCTCGTCCCATTACATCCCCTTGAACTCCTTCACAGTTCTCTAAAATCTGAGCTTCTCATTTATCAGCAATCAGCAACCGATTCTATCCACCCACCTGTTTATTAGATAGTTGAATCAAGAATGGCGTCTTCTGAACCACAAGGCAGCTCTATCCTTGCTTTTGAAGAAATACCACCGTCTGACGTCTCCTGTGCTGTCATTGAGCCTTCAGACGTCTATGAGTGGATTGAGCACAGCAAGGCGGCAGGAGATCACGCGCGGAGGGATTTTCTACTGGTCGATGTGCGCCGGAATGATTGGGAGGGCGGCACAATTGCCACGTCTGTGAACCTGCCGGCTCAGTCCTTCTATTTTACTCGTTCGGGGGTGTATCAGCTTTGCAAGCAGGCTGGGATAAAGAAGGTTATATTCTACTGCGGTAGGTGTCTCATCCGGTGCTGTGGCGATACGCCTTGATTACTTGTCAAGGCAAGACTAACGATGATAACGTCTAGGGAGCTGTGGAAGTCGGGGGCCAAAATGCGCAGGGTGGTTCCAGGAATATCTCAATTCGGTTGGGGAAACCGACTTGACGGCCGCCATCCTCAAAGGAGGCGTCAAGGGGTGGCAGAAAACGTACAATGGCCAGAATATGGACCACTATGATCCGAATGCCTGGGGTTCACAGAGCAAGTAGCCGCAAGGTTCCTGGTTGGGGGGTGCATTTCGTTTTTCTCTTTCTTGAGCTCGGATAAAAACCAAAAATCTAGCAACAATAGACGTTCGTATCAAGTCCCATGATCGCCTCTTCGTATCGTTTCCGTAAACGCCAAACAAGGATATTCAGGCATCCATTCGCCATCTTGTTGCCGCCCCAATTATCGGTTCTGCCTGTCGTCGCCGCCGATTCTCTCCAGAGCTTCCAGCATGACCACGGAGTTGCCACGGATGACCTGCCGCATTAAAGTAAGCGTATGTTCTGGAGGGAAAAGGTTTCTGTGTTGGGGAGGGAATCTGGTGTTACACACCACCATGCCGAGCCTAATCTTCTCGCCGCCTTCTTTCTCCTCGACCGCCTCGTCCAATACGATGTTCAAGAAGACCTGTGTCCGTTAGCTTCCCACGTCCATATTTCTCTGCTTGGTGTCGGGCCATTCTCACATCGTATCCGCGGAGTATACCGATGACCTTTCGGCTCCCGTTGAGCTGGACAAACAGCCTCTTGTCGAGATACTAGCTTCCAGTGTCAGTTGGGATGATTGATCGATTGGAGCAGCAAATGATTCGCATTGACAGGTCCATTTGATAGGAGATAGGGAAGCTGTCCAGATCATGTGATAATTATAGGTCGGACTGGGCAACTCACCTTCTTCAGCTCAGGTTGGGCGGGCGCCATCTTGAGCAATCAATTAATTAATAGAGGCTTTGGAGACGGTCGATTTGCGACGCGATCTGGAGCACTAACGCAACGCAGGTCGAGGAAGCTTTGCCCACCTTAAAATGTAGGTCACGTGCTGATAAGATAACGAATCTCGGGTTATCGACATTGAGATGCGGATGCGCTCGTGCAACTTGCACCCCAAGCTCACATACCGGACAAATTGAAAAGGATGAGCTCGTTTGGCGCGAAACGAAAGGCGCGGGTCATCAAAGTTGGTTATGACGATGGCGAGAGCAGCGGGGACGCGCCATCAGTGGCCGAAGGCGGAATCGTCAAAGATGGTACGTAACTGCAAGAAAACTGTTTGGCGATGTCTTTGCTGATGGAGGGCAAGGCTGACTTTGGCTGGAGATGTAGATGCTGTGAAGCCGGCGTTTGTGTCTAAAGTAGGCCGGAAGCCATTCCGCCAATCTGGACTACGGAATACGTTCAATCCACGAGACGAAGATGCATCAGGCGGCAAGGAGGAGACCTCACAGGGCAACGACGAAGATGACGACGGCCCGGCAGTCGTACGGCCGAATAACAATCGAGCGGGCTCATCGAAGCTGAAGAAAAAGACTCCAAAAGCAAAGATTTCGTTTGGCGACGATGCAGGGGAACAGGATGACGAGCCAGGTAGCGATTTTACTTCGGGAAAGCCGGCAATGGGGCAGGAAGTACTTGAAAAGAACACTATCAAACGAGGAATGGCTGCCCGAGGGCTACCGTTACCTGTTCGATCATACCAGGATGATGACGACCGGCCAAAATACAGCAGAGAATATCTCGATGAGCTTCAATCATCAACACCAAATACCCCGAGCGACCTCTCATCTCTCAAAGCGAACCTCGACGACGAAATGGATCTGGATCCATCCGAACTAGAAGGAGCTTTGATAGTAGACTCCCCTATACCGCCGCCCATTGGTCAGCCGCAGACCACTCAGATCCTCACCGAAGCTGAAATCCGCGAAAAGAAAGAGCGCAGAGCCCGATTAGCAAAGGAGAAAGACTACATTTCTATGGAGGATGAGGATGATGTTCTTTTAGCTCGAAAGAAAAAGGACGAAACTCGGTTGGTTGCTGAGGATGAGGACTTGGGAGAGGGTTTCGACGAGTACGTTGAAGACGGTGGACTTTCACTAGGCAAACGCGCGGAAAAGGAGCGACGAAAACAGGATCGTCAAAAGATGGCCGAGCTCATCAATGCAGCCGAAGGCCATACCTCAGATTCCTCATCAGACAGCGATGCCGAGCGACGAATCGCCTACGAAACAGCGCAGACGCGTGCAGGAATGGATGGCCTAAAGAAGCCGAAGAAGGACCCCAACGAGCAGCTGTTACAAGTTCCGCCCAAGATTACACCGTTGCCGAGTCTTGCAGAATGTATACTGCAGCTACAAGCCACACTGAAATCCATGGAGAGCAACATTAATGCAAAGGCAGCCACAGTAGAGCAGCTCACGCGCGAGAGAGACGACATAGTGAAAAGGGAAGCGGAAGTACAGGCATATTTGAACGAAACGGGCAAGCAGTATGAGGAGGCTCTGGGGCGAAAACCCAACTCTGGTGGCGGAATCGCTGGCGCTGAATTAGCCGGCGAGAGAGGTTTGGAGAGCTTGGGAGCAACGCCACTGAACGAGGTTAATATGGAGGATAGAGAATGATGCGTTCTCATTTGCTTTTCTCAGCCAGGATACGACAATTACAGTGTACGAATACTATATATAGCGGGATACTGGGCAAGCCATCGATTGAACAATAAATCTAATGATGGACCATTGGGTCAAGATTTTATGAAGATGTTTCTTCTCTTGCTTATATACGATGTTTCCGGGGTGATATCTACACAGAGATGTTGGACAAGGCTCAATTTCTCATTACACCAGCGGGACAGGCTGGAACTACTGGAAAAGCTTGCCTTGTGAGCTGGGGTATCATATCAGATGAGGATATACGGAAGAAGAAGACATTTCGAACAGCGCAACGTAGACTCGTAGCCGTGTTTCTCCTGGTTCAAAGATTACGTTTGGTAAGCGTCACCCAAAAGTCAAACGCAAAGAGAAAGATGGAGGCAGTCGTTTTGATCGGGGTTTCGGGGTTCATGACGCAAAAGTCGAAGCGCCGTACAAGCTGTCACAGAGAAAAACAGCCGTGTTAGGTTGTCTTGAAGCAGTTTGAAGCAGCGCTCAAAAAGAGCCGACCATGTCCATGTAAGTGTGTTACGTACCTCAAAAACGGCCTTGTGCAACTCCATCAGGGCAATGGGTTTTCCGAGACAAGAGTACTTGCCGTATCCGAAATGGGTGTCGACGGCGTTTGTCATGTCTTTCAGTCCGTCTCCTTGAGCGATGAGCCACCTCTCCGGCCGAAAGACGTCGGCGTCCGGACCCCAAACAGCTTTTGAGCGTCCGACTCCATGAAAGCCCTGGCCAATCTCCGTGCCGCCGGGGACGAAATAGCCGTTGAGGTAGTCACCCTCGGGGGGTACGGTCTTGAAGCCTAGGCCGCCGACTGGAGGCCACATGCGGAGGCCTTCGCGGATGACGGCTTGGAGGTAGGGCAGAGACTGGGTTTGCGCCCAGGTGATGGGGGAGCTGACGGTGGGAGAGGCGTGGCGGATTTCGTCGATGAGGGCGTTGTATGCTGGTGGGGAGGTGATGAGGGAGAGGAGAGTCATGCGGAGGGCGTGGGCGGAGGAGTTGGAGCCGGCGATGCTGCTGGTTGATTAGTGGCAGTGCTTGGGAGTTTCGGTGACAAATTGCAAGTAGTGGAGGAGATGTACATGGAGAGCAAGACTTGTTGGATGAGATCGGTTTTGGTCATGCCGTTGTCGATGTGAGCTTGCATCATGTCGTGAGCTCTTGGTGTTTTGGGGACTAATCGAGCTTCTACATAGCTTCGCGCGAAACTAATAATTCTCACTTAATATTCAATCCCTCTGATGATTTCTGTTGACTTACTTCATCAATCGACCAAAGCCAACTTGGTCTCCTTCCTTTGGCAGCAATAATCGTAGGGGCCACGTATGGACGAGGTTCGCTAGGGACGGCATCACAGAGACTACGTTCATCATAGGCAGTGAAGTCGCGTTGATCTCGTTGTACTGGTACAAATCCTGATCATTTTCAAGATAGCCAAACGGCTGTCCAAGAGAGATGTCGCCAATGGCGTCTAGGGCGAAGAATTGTGTCTTCTCAGCCATGTCAACCGGCCGGACGTCTGGGCCGGACGAAACGTATTTGCGCCCAATAAGACTAATGAAACTGAGGAGTTGGCGATCTATGGCAGCTTCGAAGCTGAAGCCTTCGTTTGCCTTGCCGGCGAACTGCGCCAGGTATTGAATTTAGTCTGGATTTGGTGGGCAGAAGAAGAGAGAGAATGGAGTGTGGACTTACACCAGGAGCCATTAGGGCGCGCATCTCTCTATGCTTTGCCGGGTCTCGTAGGGAGACGACATTGTCTACGCCGGGGACAATTTTGCCGCTTGCGTAGAATCTGCCCTTGGTGTAGCCGCTGCGGACTGCGGACATTCGACGAAGCGCCTCGGGATCAACAGAGAGAAGCTGGTTGGGGCCGATACGTACGAGAGGGCCTAATATTGTGAAAGTATATGAAACTGAAATAAGTACAATCCATCTTATTTCGCTTTTTATGGTGGGTGTACATACCATAAGTGTCGGCGGCTTCTTTTAAACGCTCATGATATCTCCCGGACAATGCGTTTGAGAGCTGCCACCATATTGTCCACCCAGCGCTGGTCGGCCCGGGTATGTGTCTAAGTCGTTGCCAGCGGTAGACTCGACGAACTAGAAAGGCGATTAGAAATATGAGGCAGAAGTTGGATAAGTAGATGGTTAAAGGTGGCATTGTGGCCACTTGGATTTCTAGGCAAGGCCGATTTACGCCGATATGAGAAGCAATAAGCCTGAGATTAAGAAGACGGGATGAAGAGGGAGAATTGGCTTGGTTTGAAGCAGCATGCTTTTTTGACCATCTCACGACGCCTTGGCCTTAGCATTTAGCTTCAAATCCCGGTTGCGGAGGTCTATGAACTATTGAATTCGACGACTAGTGGTAACGGCATCGGATGCGAATCAAACAGCAAAGCGGGATACGCGGCTGGAAAAAACAGCCCATCAATCTGGGTAGGGATGAAAGACATTGAGGGGGGCAAGCCTCTCTCTCTGCTAACCGACCGTGACCAAGCATGGGATCGGGATTTGGACATTGTTCCGAATGGCGAGTCTTCAACAGCTCCGAGTCTGTTGTTGGTCCACGTTCATGTACGGTACAGAATTAGTTACACACCTACATTACAGTACCTACCTAGTAGCGTATGACAGATGGCTGGTGCATGTGTAAAGACTCGGAATCAACACGAACCCGGCCCTCGGATCCAGCTTCCAGGAGGGGAGGGCCGGGCCAGGATCAGGAGCCAACTGGGACGGCGCTAATGGTGCTCTAAGTCGTCCATGCGGGATGAAGATGGAGATGGATGGATGGATTGATTGATTGATCAGTGGAATGTACTTACTGCGACAGGGAATGCAGGCAATGGACGGGAGTCAAGGCAAACAGTCAATTCTTTTCTTGTGTTGATACGAAGATCCTAACCAAATCATCACTTTTCTCCCCGATAGCGATTGCAAAACGCCATAATCGATGCTTCCAATTTCCACCACAGAACCCCAGAATCAAACATCCAACGCAAGCCAGACTTCCCTTGGTAAAGATACCTATATGCGTACTTGTATAGCGTCGAGGTCAGCTTCGAGGACACTGAATTTATTGTCATTGGCTAGCCTACCCATGGTTGCCCAATTGGCGTATAGGCAAGATTCGGCACTCGAAGAATCTCGAAGGCTTAAGGGCAAGGGAATATAGCAGCGGCCCAGCAGGCTGCTTGACATGATCCAAAAGCCGAGTTGCAAGCTACAATTGTTGGACCAGCTGTAGCCCCTGCGGTTGCTCCCCAAGTGGCGCCCCCGGCTGCGTAGCAAGCTGTGACGACGGTAGCGCACCCAGCTTGGCAGATGCCATAAGCGACGGGACCGGCATTTGAGGTTGCTGCCAGAGCCAAGATGGCAAGGACGTTGACGATCCGCATCTTGTTGGTATTGTTGATTTCGTTGCTGTGATAGCTCAACTAGTGAGAGAATGGATTCGTTCGTAGTGTATAATTTAGAGGAGGAAGAAGGCATCCTTCTCATGAGCCATGGCTATGTGATATATATGCTTAACCGCTTGGGGCTGGATTTGACAGTATATTCGCCCAGCAAGTAACTTCATTATGACGTTATGTCACGATGAAATGTGCCACTTACGAGCAGTTACATGTCCCATGTGTTGATAGAAACATGAGGACTGTGACACATTCAATGAAGCGGGAGGCCTGCAATCAATCGGGAGGCCTTTAAGGCATCATTGATTGGGAGGCCTTCAATCAGGCGCCACTGGGACGACGCTAATGGTGCTATAAGTCGTCCATGCTGGATGGAGATGGATGCATGGATGGACTGATCAATGGAACGTGGAATGCGTTTGCTGCGTCTATCTTGATGCAAGCTGGCGACAGGAATTACGGGTCATGGGAATTAAAGTGCAGAATGAATTGTTTTGCTGTGATATGTTGATACGCGACTCCTACATGTACTGAATCATTGATTTCTTTTCTCCCCGATGGCGATTGCAAAATACTGTGATCCATGCCTCTAATTACCCCCACGAAACCCCAGAATCGAAATTGCAAACCCAGCAGGCTTTGCTTGGTAAAGATATGCACATACGGGTTAGATTCGAGCAAACGGCATTTGAGGATAGTGGCTGGCCTACTCGTGTGTATCCAATTGTCGTATATGATTTATTATATTAGGTAGGATTTAGACCGTGGAACCTCGAGAAGGCTTAAAAGTAAGGGATCGTAGCAGTGATCCAGCAAGCGGCCTGGCACACCCCAAAAGTCCTGTTGCAGGCGAGAACTGTTGCTGGAGCTGAAGCTGCTGCGGTAGCTCCCCAAGTGGCGCCCGCGGCCCCATAACAGGCCATAACAAGGCCTGCACACCCAGCTTGACAGATGCGGTAAGAGATCGGACCGGCATTGGAGGTTATGACTAGAGCCGAGATGGTGAAGACTTTGATGATCTGCATCTTGTTGTTGTGATGATTCAGCTAGTGGGAGAAAAGACTCGTTCGCTTTGAAAGTAGGTAGGTATTGTTCTGTTGATACGGACGTGAGATGCAAACAGCTGAAAAGCAGTAGCGTATCATATCAGCTATAGGTCATGGTTATATGACATGTGTAGAGACCGCCTGAGGCTTAAATTGAAGGCGTCTCTGCATGGCAAGTGACTGAAGTATGATATTATGCCATGGTGAAATATGCTACCTTCAAGGAGTTACTCTGAGAATGCAGTAAAGTAAGTGCTACAACACAGTTAATCCATCGAGAGTGGCACGACGCCAACAATGGCAGCTTACATATGAAAAACTTCATTTTATTTTTCGTCTCTGCTCTGTCCTGGTAAGATGGATACAGTGGACACATGTAATAATTTCAACGATGCAGGCCGCCGCTCTAAGTGAATACTTACCTAGTAGGTAGGCAACGTAGGTATTCCATGTATGTAATTGGCATCTAATATTTTGCCGCCGGTGACACATGCTGGGGACGCTCGGAAAGAAATTGGACTATCTGATGTGGGGTTGAGACACGGCGGCATATTCAACCCCAAAGTAACACTCAAGCAGCATCATTATTTTCGAGTATTTGTATGCACGATTCTACCTAATGAATACGTTGGCCATCAAATAAATGTGTTCTATCTATTGCAGTCTACATGCAGTGACACAGTCATCTATCATTTGGTCTTCTTGGCTTCCCTCGGGGTATACACCAATCCATCTCGCATGCTTCCAAACCATAACGCCCATAAATCGACGAACAAATTCAGACGTCCATAATAGGGGCCCTTGCCCGTGACTTTTGGGATCCGGTCGGCGGCCTTGACGAAATAGGAACTCTTTGCATTGGTACTCAGCATTCGCGGCATTCCCTCTGTCCTCTCGATGACTGGGACGACGCTTGACGCGTTGTCCGCCTCCATCTGCTTCACCACTCGAATGGCCAGCTTCGTCGTGGAATCGGCACCGGGAGTCCATGTCGTGGTCACGTAACCAAGAATGAATACTAGGTTGGGTAAACCTTCGATTAAACAGCCTCTCCACGTGTACCGCTGTCCAATGTCTACGTCTTTACCGTCAACTCGAGGCTTCATTCCGCTGAGAATCTGTATGTACAGACCAGTGGCCGTCACAATCACGTCCGCCGGCAGCTTGCGTCCGGATTTGAGCAGGATTCCGTCCTTCTCAGCGGTGTCAATCACATCCGTTACAATCTCGACGTTGTCGCGATGCAGAGCGTTGAAGAATTCGTCATCTGGAGTTAGGCATAGCCGCTGTTGAAATGGGCCATATGTTGGATTGAAGTGAATTGAAGCATCGACCTTCTTTGGCAATTTCTTGTCTAGATCCTGAGTCATGAGAAAGCGTCCCAGGCGGGGGAATAGCAGGCAGAGTTCAGAGATGAAGACTTCAAGCCAGACGTCGATGAATCGGACAATCCAGTGCACCTAAGCCACGGACAACCACGATGATAAGAACGTCTCGAGGTTCGAGCTTCTCTCCATGGAAACAACATACGACGGCGTCCGCTGAAGCATAGTGAGAGTCTTCGACTTGTCGGCCATCTCTGGCAACAGCGTAATGGCGGTTGCTCCACTGCCGATGATTATGACGCGCTTGTCGTTATAGTCGAGGTTCTCTGGCCACCACTGCGGGTGAACGACTGTTCCTTGGAAGTTCTCAATACCGGGTACGGGGCTCTTCAAGGCCTTTTCATACGAGTAGTAGCCAATGCAGGTGAAGAGAAAATTGGCCTTGATCAGCTTCTTGGAGCCGTTGACGTCAACCTCTAGGGTCCATCTCTGCTCTTCGGTGCTCCAGTCACTTTGCACAACTCGATGTCTCAACTGGATCTTGTCGTAGGATCCGTCTGTCCTGGCAGCATCCTCGAGGTATTCGCAAAGCTCAGCGGCCGTGGCGATCTTGTGAGAGTGTTTCCAGGGGTGCCAGGGAAGGCCAAAGGACCGGAGAGACGAGTCGCTACGTATGCCCGGATACTTGAAGAAGCTCCATGTCCCACCGATCACGTCGCGGGCCTCGAGGATGGTGAAGGACCGATGAGGAAGGTCAGTTTTCAGCCGGTGAGCAGCGTTGATGCCGCTGAGGCCTGCGCCAACGATGACAATGTCATGTTCCTCAAAAGGTAATTTAGCATTAGCCATTTGATGCTGCTCTAAGAGACTCCACTGTAGACGAGGTGAGGCCCGTTGAGATTTCGAACAGCAACAGCAGGAATTCAAGTATAGATCGCACCTTTATAGTTTCTCAAACTCGTATTGACGCCTACTATTTACCGAATTACCTCGGAAACATCGTCGGTAGACACTCTCCCCGTATTAACCATGCTGCATAATCCTGTAGCAGCGTTATACTATATGCAGTAATGTCAACTGCTTTATAAGCTGCTATTCAACATATAATACCATAGCTTAATGAATCGATCTTCTTAAACTGCGATATGCTGGTCCTAGAATTGGCTTGCAGGGTTCAAATCTGGCGGCATCTACTGATGCATTTTCCGAGGTAATTCGGTATCTGTCTGAACTGCTGTAAGTTTGTCCTAGAATTACATATGTAGACCGCAGGGTTAATACCTGGAGGTAACCACTGCCCAGTTTTGCAAGGTTATATGGTATGTATTCTCTATCTCCCGGGCACGCTCTGATAGAGCCACCAGACGACAGGTAGTAAGTTCATGTTGACTGGAGTTACATGTATTCAGCTCTCTATGAAGTACTAGCTGCACTGCTTGCGTATTAGCGATAGCGGGGTGCGCCATACTAAAATAGTCCTGGAGTTTATTCGCTGGGTCCTACCCAGATGAGCAGATTACTATCCATATTACTTCGCAAATCTCGACTGTGGGTTGTTCTTTTTATGGTGGCATGCTAACGTGAGGAAGTTAGCTGATTAAGTACGTATCATAGGTACTGAATACAGGTTTTAATTCTGGGGAGATTCACAGTTGAGTTTTGCGAGCTTATATAGTAATATAGGGATTTCCTAATAAGTAGTTGTCCCTAGCTAATGAGTATTTAAAAAGACCAAGTTTTATGGCTCAGTATAAGACTTTGAAGCCATAGGATAGCTAGTATTATTACTGGCCTAGTAACAAAGGGTCAAATTGATCAAAGTTGTTTGTTGAATTCGTTGATAGAATAAAATTGCTAGTATAGGAAAACTCAGGGAGAGCCTCTAATATTTATATTCCAGAAGTCAGTACTAATAGCTGGTATTGAGTTACATAAAGACTATCATTTGTTAGCCCTGGAATGAGGCTATATAGTGGTATAACCGATGTATTTTGATGCTTTTGCTGGTTGCTGAATCGTTGAGTGTTTATAAGCTATTTTCGGAATTCATTTGCGGGCCAAGTACAGGAACTGGTCTGGATCTAGGTTTTGAGCTTTTTGAGCCCCCTTGGGCTCTTGGGGACTTGGTTTTTCAAGCGGTTTTATTGGTTAAAACTACTGATGTAGGCAGGACTCTTATATTTAATAAAAATAAATTTATTACAAATTGTCTAAGCAAGATAGCTAGAAGGTTTATATGATGCATTGAGTGCTAGCTACTAGTAATGCATTTATAATTCTCCCTTAGAAAGGCATAATACTCCCTTAGAAAGGCATAATACTCCCTATAGTAAGATATATATATGTATGTTGCTATTAGGCTACTAATTATCCTATTCTTCTTTTATATGGAAGCGTCAGTCTTATTTAGAAAAGAAAAAAAAGTCCTATCACTGTGTAATAGTGTTGAGTACTTGCATTCCCAGCTGTTTATGCTAGTTGTCTCACAGCATGTTACCAGCCCGGCCAATGTGCAGCTTATTCTTTTCGAGTTGCCTTTGAGTTGGCTGACATGACATGGCCCCATACGTCTAATGAATAATTTTCTTCCTCTTACTCACGTACTGTGCAACACAATAACCTAGTATATTCCATCTTATTGATCAATCGGACGCTAAGGGCGTGCGTACTATCTCTGACAGCTAATCCACCGATATAGGCTTGCCTTGGTGCTACGTATTTACGGCTGCATAGATGCGTGGATTATGTAAAGTGCTTTTGCAGTTGATGCTGTTTCTCTTGTATCTTCCGTTACCATAGTATAAGATGCGTGGTATACGGTAAATAAATTGTAGATGAAATATACCAAGGGCAGATACTCAAGGCGACACGTGCAAGTCTCCCCCTTCATTGTTCAGCGCCATTGGCAACAGTACAACTACTATGGTACATGTCTTTTGATGCCCACCAATGAAACTGCCTGTACCCATCTACACTACAATTGCACTTTCTTCACCCAATGATACTGCATAGAATGATAGAAGGTACTCATCATCAACAGCAATTTTGCCTTGAAATACTCGTGTTTGTACAGCAAAATCCGACTTCCATCAAAAACGCCCCACACCAGCTTTGGCCTATTGGAAAGGCCCTTGAAGGGTGGGGCACGATCCCGCATCGAAGCAGCTAGAAGGTACCTTGCCGTGTGTACATGTATTTTATAGACCCCACACCGGAGTTGGTTTCTTTCCAGAGCTGATCATCTCCAAGTTTTTGTTCGTCTCGTCTCCTTCTCAAGCATCGCTCACCACTGCATCTGCTATTTCTTCTACAGGGGATCTACTCTTCACCATGGCTTCCGCAGACGAGCTCAAAGCTCTGGGCAACAAGGCCATCGCCGAGAAGAACTTTGACGAGGCAATGTAAGTTTGTTTGCCAATCACCCCACCTGACCCCTCGTCGTTCGTCCCTCGTCGTCACACTCGAGCGATCCGATCCAAAGACTGACATTTACGATTTGCTTTTGCTTGCCACTAGCGACAAGTTCACCAAGGCCATCGCTCTTCAGCCCGAAAACCACATCCTCTACTCCAACCGATCTGCCGCCTATGCCTCCAAGAAGGACTGGGACAAGGCGCTTAAGGACGCCGAAAAGACGACCGAGATCAAGCCAGACTGGCCCAAGGGCTGGGGGCGCAAAGGCGCTGCTCTTCACGGCATGAATGATCTCTTCGGAGCCGTTGATGCGTACGAGGCCGGTCTCAAACATGACCCAAACAACGCACAGCTCAAGAGCGGTCTCGCCTCTGTTGAGAAGGCCCTGCCGGGCCAAGAAGGTACGTTCCATTGCGGAAACCAACGCGCATAGTAGCACTGGGATATAGAACGTTGCTGACACGGAATTTTGTACAGGCGGCGGACTCGATCCCACCGGCGGAATTGGAAACATGTTCAAGGACCCGAAGCTCATTCAGAAGCTTGCCTCCAACCCCAAGACGAGCGGCTTCCTTGCCGACCCCACATTCATGGCCAAGCTGCAGCAAGTTCAGCAAAATCCCCTCAACTCGCAGGATCTTTTCAGCGATCCCAGAATGATTCAAGTGTTGGGTGTCCTGATGGGCGTTGACATGGAAATGCGAGACAGTGCTCCCGAGGGTAGCGAGTCTTATGTTGTGGCTGATGATAAGGACACTCCCATGACGGATGCACCCAAGCAGCCCGAGCCAAAGAAGGCGCCCGTACCCGAGCCGGAACCAGAGCTGGACGAAGAAGCTCTAGAGAAGAAGAAGAAGAAGGAAGAGGCCGACAAGGAGAAGGCCCTCGGCACGGAGAACTACAAGAAGCGAAAGTTTGACGAGGCTATCGAGCATTACAGCAAGGCATGGGAGACCTACCAGGATATCACCTACCTTAACAACCTTGGCGCAGCTTACTTCGAGAAGGGAGACTACGACAAGTGTATCGAGTCCTGCCAAAAGGCAATCGACGAAGGCCGACTTATCTATGCCGACTTCAAGCTGATTGCCAAGAGCTATGCCCGTATCGGCACCGCCTACGAGAAGAAGGGAGACCTTGCTCAAGCAGTCGAAAACTACAACAAATCTTTGACCGAGCACCGAACCCCCGATGTTTTGAACAAGCTCCGTGCTGCCGAGCGAGCAAAGGCTGAGGCTTCCAAGCAGGCATACATTGATCCTGCCAAGGCTGAGGAGGCCCGTGAAGAGGGCAACAAGAAGTTCAAGGACATGGATTTCCCCGGCGCAGTAGCCGCCTACTCTGAGATGGTCAAGCGATCACCCGAAGACCCCAGAGGATACAGCAACCGCGCTGCCGCCTTTGTCAAGCTCTTTGAGTTTCCAAGTGCGCTGGATGACTGCAACCTGGCCATCAAGAAGGACCCAACCTTCATCCGGGCCTATATCCGAAAGGCCCAGGCCTACTTTGGCATGCGGAAATACTCCGAGTGCGTGGATGCCTGCGACGAGGCACTGCAGGTTGATGCAGAGCATCACAAGGGCGCCAACGCTCGCGAAATTGAGCAGCAGCAGCAGAAGGCTTTCTCAGCCATGTACTCTGCCCGAGAGAACGAGTCAGAGGAGCAGACTCGACAGAGGCTGGCTCAAGACCCAGAGGTGAGATTTTGGCCCCTTTCACATAGACGTAGCATTTTGAATGGGCATCTGCTAACAAGAGTCTTTGTAGATTATGGGCATAATGCAAGATCCGGTTATGCAGTCCATCCTGCAGCAATCGCAGTCTGACCCCATGGCGCTCCAAGAGCACATGAAGAACCCGAGCGTGCGATCCAAGATCCAGAAGCTGATAGCTGCTGGTGTCATCAGAGTTGGAGGCCGACATTGAGACCAAGGGAACAAAAGGGGCGACATTTGACGGCAGTGTAAATCAGGAGTAATGAGTCAATGAATTTAGTCATTTTTAATGTAACTCTACATAGCTTTCGCAAAAATTTCTCATTTTTACGATTATTTGTCTGCTTTCTCATGGCGGGGTCCTGATAAGGTTCAGAACACTACCTACTAAGTAGGTACCTTTTCTTAAATCAGCTTGAAGTACAGCTCTTGATCCTCTGTCGTTATGTTCACTGCCTGCTTTCAATAGGCCTTAACAACCTTTATAGCACGCGGATAATGCGTGTGACTCTGTCATTGGCTCCACTCTTCAACCCTGTAGGTACCTACGTACTAAATAGATATAAAATACCTAACAATCCTTAATTCTTAGCATCGCCTGCGCGAATAAGGCAGCTAAATTCCTTACCCCTCTCTCTCACATTTATTCTAGGCAACCATGCATAGGTATGGGAAACATACATCTCTGAACACAAACGACTCTGGAAACGAAATCCAATAATGTCCGAAGCAAAGGCAGAACTGGCGGCAGAAATAGCCAGTGGCGATTCTCGGCGACAATTTGTCAACGATGATTACACGGTTGGTTGGATTTGCGCAATAACGACTGAGCATGTTGCTGCACGCGTTTTCCTCGACGAAGAACACGGGCTGCCTGATTATGTGTCTCCGAATGACAATAATAGTTATATTCTAGGCAGGATTGGAAAGCATAATATTGCCATTGCCGTCTTGCCCCTTGGAGAATATGGCCTCTCGTCGGCGGCAAGCGTAGCGAGAGATATGCTACATACCTTTCCGAATATCAGGATTGGCCTTATGGTCGGCATTGGGGGAGGAGCTCCGTCTGAGAAGCATGATATTCGCTTAGGAGACGTAGTCGTCAGTGTCCCCCGCGACGGAAATGGTTGTGTATTTCAGTACGACTTTGGTAAAACTATCCAAACTCAAACGTTTCAACAAACAGGGTTTCTCAACCAAGCACCAACGATCTTAAGAACAGCCGTAAGCGGGCTTGAGAGTCAGTATGAGATAAACGAGCACCAAATTGAAGAAACAATTGACGGCATTTTTAACAAAATTCCAACGTTGAGAAAGAAATACCAGCGACCGAATCCTGACACGGATAGGCTATACCGAAGCAACATTACTCACTCTCCCGCTCAAGATATAAATTGCGGCACTCATTGTGGCAATGGTCAGCTGAATCTGATAGCACGCCCCAAACGAGATGGCAACGAGAATAATCCAATAGTTCACTACGGCTTGATTGCTTCTTCGAATCAGCTTATGAGAAATGCGGAGATTAGAGATAAATTGGCTGCCGAAAGGGATATACTATGCTTTGAAACAGAAGCAGCAGGCTTAATGAACCATTTCCCTTGCCTTGTGATTCGTGGCATATGCGATTATGCAGATACGCATGCGAATACAGAATGGAGGGGCTACGCGGCGATGGTGGCAGCTGCATATGCGAAAGACCTTCTATGTCGAATCCCTCCTAACCGGGTCGAAGTTTTACGAAATGTGAATGTTCTTTCAGGCAAGTCTCAAAGGTTTTACGATGTATAAAAGCAGAGCAATTAACATTGAAGAGTAGATATATCTGAAGGCCTCAATGGTATCCTCCACAAGCAGACGAATGACCATCGTAATGTTATTCTTAAATGGCTTTCTCCTATCAATTATGCATCTCAACAGCAAGAATATTTCAGCAGTCGGCAACCAGAAACGGGCCAGTGGCTTCTAGATTCAAGCCAGTATCAAACATGGCTTAATACACCAGCAGAAATTTTATTCTGTCAGGGGATTCCCGGAGCGGGGAAGACTATATTAACATCCATGGCTATCGACCAACTTACCACAAGGTTTCAGGATGATACGGATACCGGAATTGCATATATTTACTTTGACTACCGCCAGAAAGAAGAAACGGCCGAAAGATTACTTCGAAACCTGTTGAAGCAGTTGGCACAGAAGAGAAGCTCCCTACCAACTTGCGTCAGTGCCATGCACAAGCAGGACACGGACCAGGGAATTCCACCGTCATTGGAGGCAATATCACAGGCGTTTCAGACTGTGGCAAGAGATTATTCACAAACTTTCATCATTCTTGATGCGATTGACGAGTGTACTATTTACAATGACTGTCGGATGAGATTCCTAGAGGAAATCCTCAACCTTCGCAATAAATCGGCGGCGAATATCTTTGTAACCTCCAGGCCCAATACAGAGATCGCGAACAGATTTAAAAGCGGCACATTCATGGAAATAAGTGCGAGAGGAGACGACATACGACAATATCTAAATGGAAATATGGATCACTTGCTATCTGATAGCGTTCGCAATGACTTGGAATTGAGAACTGAGATTGAGAAGGCAATCGTTGGCTCGGTGCAGGGAATGTGAGATAATGCGGACGAATTCATCGCCTTTATGTGCTAATTTTCTACAGGTTTCTTCTTGCCAAGCTCCATCTCAACTCATTAGCCGGAAAATTTACCATTAAAGATATCCGGAACACACTCGAAAAGCTATCAGTTGGGTCGGAGGCCTACGACGATGCCTATAAAGGTATGATGCAGCGTATAGACAGTCAAAACCAGCAGAGAAGAGAGTTGGCCAGGAGGGCCTTGTCATGGATTGTGTATGCAAAGAGGCCACTGTCTACAACGGAGCTCCAACAGGCTCTTGCAGTGGAACATTGGCACCACGAACTTGACGACCGAAATTTCACAAGCATCGAAGACATTGTTAGTGTGTGCGCGGGCTTGGTTACTGTTGTTCGACAATCTGATCAACCATCTGGTCGCCAATCCAGTATCGTCCGACTTGTTCACTGCACTGCACAAGACTACTTCGAGCGGACTCAGGCAGAATGGTTCCCGGACGCAGAGAGCGAAATCACAAATTCTTGCATCACTTATCTATCATTCAGCATCTTCCACAGCGGATTCTGTACTACAGATAAGGACTTTGAGGAACGACTGGCGTCCAATCCATTTTACAATTATGCTGCTCATAATTGGGGGTATCATGCTCAAAATATTACACCACTATCACAGCAAGTCATGGCCTTTATCGGATGTGACGCCAAGGTGCAAGCGTCGAGCCAAGTATTAATGACTAACAAACCGACCTGGAAAGACTCGAATTACAGCCAACAATTTCCCAAGAGGATAATCGGACAACATCTGGCAGCGTATTTCGGAATTGGAGAACTATTTGAAAGCGCATTCGACGACCAATCGCTAGATGCAGATGATGGCCTTGGCCGGACACCGCTTTCATATGCTGCTGGTAATGGGCACGAGACGGTGGTCAAGTTTCTGCTTCAAGGGCAAAACGTCTATCCCAACTCTCGAGATAACGATGGGCAAACACCACTTATGTGGGCAGCCAAGAGCGGACACTATACCGTCACAAAATTATTACTAATGGCTGATGGGATTGATGCCAATGTCAGAGATCGCCTTGACCAGACGGCGCTGCTTCTTGCTGTTAAAAACGGACAGGAATCAGTGGTCAAATTACTTCTTCCTGTTAGTTGTGCCGTCCTCAATGCAGGAGATGATCGTTATCAGACGCCGTTGTGGTGGTCCGTCCGAAACGGAGATACTTCTATTACAAGATTGCTCCTTGACGTTAGAGATGTCAACATTAATACGAAGAATAATTATGACCAAACGCCTCTCTGGTGGGCAGCTCGAAATGGAGATGAAGAAGCCATCAGCCTTCTCCTTGAAAGGGAAGAGCTCAATGTCAATTTTAAAGATAAAGAAGGCCACTCACCGTTGGGAAGAGCAGCTCAAAGGGGCCATGAGGCGGTAATTAAGCTCCTGCTAGCCAAAGGGGATATCGACGTTAACTCTGCAGATCACTACGGCCACACACCAATATTGCTAGCTGCGAGAAATGGGCATGCGAAGGTAGTAAAACTGCTTCTCGATTTCTCTACCGTTGATGTAAATGCTATGGATAAGAGTGGTAGAAATCCGCTTTTATGGGCTATTAAAAACGGACACAAAGATGTTATTGTTCTTTTGCTTTCTCATGTCAACATCAATGTGAATGCGAAAGACTACAACGACCAGTCGCCGCTACTATATGCGACAACTTACGGGCATGAGACTGTAGTTCAGGAGTTGCTCGCTATTGAGAGCATCGATGTTAATGCCAAGGATAGCTATCATCAGACCCCGCTTCTCTGTGCGGCGGAAAGAGGGCATGAAGAAATAGTCAAGATGTTACTTGCTCAGGTGGACATCGATGTTGATGCCACAGATCGTTACCACCAAACCCCACTGTGGTGGGCGGCTGCGAATGGGAATAAATCGGTCGTCAAACGTCTTTTAGGCAAACAAGGAGTCGATATGAACGCTAAGAATGCATTTCAACAGACACCCTTGCTATGGGCAGCTCGCAACGGCAACGAGACTATAACAGAGCTACTCCTCTCTGTACCTGGCATTGATGTTAACGTCAAAGATAACGATGGCTTGACGCCTCTATGGTGGGCCATTAAGAAGGTATACAAGACAGTAGTTCAGCTGCTCCTTGACAATGATGGCGTTGATGTTAACCTCAGGAATGAAGTTGGTCAGACGCCTCTTCTATATGTGACCATGGAGGGATATGCCGCAATAGCTGAGCTTTTAATTGCAAGGAGTGATACCGATGTGAGCGCAATAGACAGAAATGGGCATACCTCTTTGGAACTTGCAATGCATTATTCAATGGGGAGCAGGTCATCATTAAGCGAAGAGCAGGAGAGCAGAAAGGCAAGAGGAAAGAAGGGTGGCAGTCGTTTGCCCCCAACACAGTCACAGACTACTGCTGATAGCACAGAGAGGGACAAAATACCACTGTCATGGGAAGCTAGGAAACGATATGAGGCAGTTTTCAAATTGCTTCTAACTGCCCGTGGAACTAATGCAAATGCCAGAGATAACTATGGCCAAACACCTTTGCTATGGGCGGCTAAAAAGGGTCACGAAGGATTGGTGAAGATATTGTTAGAGACGGAAGGCATCGATGTCAATCAGACTGATGATTCTAATAAATCGCCACTAATATGGGCAACTGCAGGAAATCACACAGCAGTGGTTCAGCTATTATTAAGTAGCGATGATCTCATCCTTCATGCTGGGGATGAGTTTGGTCAAAGTCCTTTATGGTGGGCAATTGAGATGCAGAACGAGGTGGTGGTTGAGCTGCTATTACTGCGAGAAGATGCCAACGTTCGCAAGAGTATCAATCAACAGATGCTGAGAAAGGCCTCAGATAAAGGAAACAGAAGAATCCTCGGGTTACTCATATCCACAAAAGGCACTGATATCAACGAAGAGGATGATGAAGGCCTTACATTTCTCTTGTGGGCGACTCAAGGCAGAAGAATCGACACAGTTGGATTGCTCTTGGCTCTGAACCCGGACGTGGACGTCAATGTCGAAGATTACCATCGTCAAACGCCACTATGGTGGGCTGTACAAAATGGAGATGAGGAAATAACCAGGCTACTTCTTACCAGGGATGGCATTGATGTTAATGCGAGAAACATGATGCGCCAAACGCCACTCTTGTGTGCTATTGGCAACATGAACTTGGCTATTGTTAAGTTGTTGTTAAAAAACGAAACAACCGACGTCAATGGGAAAGACAGCTTCGGTCGGTCGCCGCTCTTGCTAGCTGAATACTACCGACAGCAGATCAGGCATTCGCGGAGCAAAGATGCCAAGTATTTTGGCAGACGTTCACGCGTTCTCCTGGAAGCGCCGTCTCATCCAGGTGATCCGGAATCTATCGAGTCTCCATATGAACGACCCTCAAGGATTGATGCGGACCATGCGAGTGACACCCATGAATCGCCCGAACCACACACCAGGCCATATGGACATGAGCCATACGAATCGGATGAATCAGATGATCCAGACAATTTAGATGGAAACATGCTGTTAGGCAAGGAAGACGGCTTCAAAGACATCATTGAGTTACTGCTAGCCAGGAGCGATATCGATACCGACGCCACGTGGCCAAACGGCCTGAACCTCTTATGGTCTGCCGTTATCCACAGAGATAGGGCCCTCATCAAGTTACTTGTAACTCATGAGCGTGTGGACAGCAACCCCCGGAACGACCTTGACCAAACTCCCCTGATATGGGCCGTTTCGAAGGGCGACGTGGCAATGGTTAAAACGCTCGTGTGCAATGGAAGCAGCGTCAATATCAATGCTCTACAACGAACGCCTCATACTCGTGGGACAGCTCTATTGCATGCAGTTCGCAGGAACTACACAACAATCATCAAAGTGCTACTTGTTCAGGATGAGATTGATATAAATGCTAGAGACGAAAAAGGTCGCACATCGCTCTCGGTTGCGGCTTTCAATGAGAAAGAAGGCATTGTCAAGACATTGCTTGGGCAAAAAGACATTGACATTAACCCGGAAGATGATGACAAGTGTACGCCACTTATGCATGCTATGCGCAAACATAATGCACCAATCGCAAAGTTATTGCTAGCTATTGACAATATTGATGTCAATGTGGCAGATGTACAAGGTCGGACGCCTATATGGTTCGCTACAAAATGGAACGAGGAGCTGATCCGGCTTCTGATCAAACGGGGAGCCAAAGTCAATTACACCGAAAGGTCCGGCCAATCGCTATTATCCTGGTTTGCTGAAGACGGAAATGAGGTGGCAATCCGTGTTATACTTACTATGGAGGATATTGATATCAATATCAGGGACAAGACAGGCGGCAAGACGCCCCTTTTCCATGCGGCCGAAAACGGACATGAGAAAATCGTGAGGCAGCTGCTTGAGAGAGATCGCTATGAGATCAACACCAAGGACAAGTCTGGCCAAACGCCGCTTTTGGCTGCGATTTCAAAGGGCCATACATCAGTTGTGAATGTATTGCTCGGCGAAGAAGCTATCGATGTGAATGCCCGGGATTCAGCTAATGTGACATGCTTATGGCTGGCTGCTCAAGGTGGTCATGCTAAGATAGTTGAGCTACTATTATCGAAAAATATTGAAGTTAATCCAACAAATGTCGTCAACCAAACTGCTTTATCAGAGGCGGTTCGGCAAGGTCATGAAGAGATCGTCAGACTTCTCTTAGCGTCGGAAAGCATCAACATCAACATTCGAGACGGACAGGGTAGAACCGCGCTGTGGTGGGCTGTTAAAAACTTTTCTGTTAAAAAACCCTCTGTTGCAATCATTGAGCTATTACTCGCTCATGATGATATTGGGATTAATTTACCAAACAACGCTGGTCAGACACCGCTGCTAAACGCGGTAACTCGTGGCCTTGAGAAAGTGGTCCGGTTACTTCTTGCCACCGATGGAATCGACATTAATATGAAAGATGAAGAAAAATTAACACCGTTGCTCTCGGCAGCCGAAGAGGGTGAAGAGGTGATAGCGGGGCTACTCCTTGCCAAAGGCGTCAAAGATATCAACGCAAAGAATAAGGACAGCGAAACATCGCTGTTTCTGGCTTGCAACCAAGGCAATCAAAAATTGGTTGAGATGCTTCTTGCCCAGAAATATATCGATGTTAACTCTGGGGATAGAGACGATTTAACGCCGTTAATTGTCGCATCAGCTCACGGACGCTTAAATATAGTTCAGCAACTTCTTTCACGGCAAGATATTCAGATCAATTGGAGAGATAGTAATGGTCGAACAGCATTACAATCAGCTTCGGTAAAGGGACATTTGGAAATTGTGCAATTACTACTTGGTCAAAAAGATATCAACGTTAACGCACGAGATAAGGACAGAGTATCAACCTTACACTCGGCCGCAGCAAACGGACATTTACAAATTGTTGAACTACTTCTCAATCAAGAAACTATCGACATAAACGCACAGGATAGCAAGGGTCAAACGCCATTGCAATCAGCTTCAGTAAACGGACATACGCAAATTGTACAAGCACTGCTCAATCAAAAAGTTATCGATGTCAACATGAGAAATGACGAGGGCCAAACGTCGCTGCAATTGGCCGCAGCCAAGGGACACCTAAAAATCATCCAACTACTGCTCAATCGAAAAGAAATCGATGTCAACGACAAGGCCAATATCGGCTTTACAACGCTGCGCTCAGCTTTGAGAGGTGGCTACTTCCAAATTGTTCACCTGCTTCTCGTTCAAAATAATATAAACATCAATATTAAAGATACCACTGGCGATACGCTATTACATACGGCTTCAGCAAATGGACATTTACGGATTGTCCAATTGTTGCTCGATCAGAGAAATATTGACGTCAATACTAGAGACAATGATAATAATACGTCGCTACATTTAGCTGCAGACAATGGACACCTTCAGATTATTCAATTGCTTCTTGGCCATAGCAGTATTGACATCAATTCTGAGGCTCAAAAACTTACAACACCACTACATATAGCCTCCAGAAAGGGTTACCACCAAATTGTTCAACTACTGCTTAGTCAAAACAAGATCAATGCCGACGTTGAGGACTACGAAGGTCTAACACCACTACATCTGGCTTCAAGAAAGGGGCACTTCCGAGTCGTTCAAATTCTGCTTAGCCAAGGCGTCAAAAATGTCAATTCCAAAGACAGAAGTGGTTTTACCCCACTTCATTATGCTTCTGAGAGTGGATATGTTAGAATTGCCAAGTTGCTTCTTGAACATGGCGCCAATACAGACATGTGTGATAATATGCATTGGACGGCATTGCACTTTGCTTCGGCTGAGGGGCATTTCAAAGTAGCCAAACTCCTGTATGAGAATGGCGCTGACATAACGAGGACTGATCTTGAAGGCTGGACAGCAGCGCTCCTGGCTTTGAATAATGGCTATAGTACAATAGCTGACCTGCTTTTACGATAGAAAACTATCAATAGACATAATTTTGTGGAGTTTAACATTATCTATACACTGGGGACCAAATGTGGAAGTTTTCTGTAGTTTTCTTGGTGTTACCGTTCGAAATGTACACCAAGGAGAGCACTCTACATATTAGACATTGATGGTATAAATTGTTCTACTTTTATCTATTGAGAAAAATAATCCAACATGGGTGATAGACTCGAAAGTAAGACAACGCCAACGGGCGCTTAGGGTAAAATCATGCTGATAAAATAACCAAAGGGCAGACTTTCAGAGTTGACAATGCTATAAGCTGCATCAAAGTGTTGCTCTTGTGCTGAGCAAACAAGGAGTTGGGGTCAGACACAAAGTGTGGGCTTGTGCATGCATTGCAGACTGATCAAGGTTGCAACAGGAACCAAACACAAGGAAGTAACCCAAATGGAAAGTGAATAGTTTATTCTCTTTCAATTCTTTGCCTTTACTTTCCTTCTCTTTTCTTTTCGTTTTGTTCAGAGAGGGAGGGGTTACTGAGCGCTCCTTGTCAGAGAGTCTTAAAGGTGACAGCTCAAATTACTATGCATGTGTGCTCAGCCAAAAAGAGACTAGACCCTTGTCAGCCGTTTTAAATGCAACAGCCAACACACATCTCGACAAACCACAAGAATCGAGAACAGCAACAACACAACAGAAAACAAAGACGAAAAAAGAAAAAGAAAAACATACAACAGCCGGTGTTCGCTGATGGTCACCCACTCAACTACTAATCTGCCGGTTAGTGGCTTATCTATGGGGGAGCAGACGGGACCCCGAGTTCTCCACTACCTATGGTCGTATGTGCTTGGAACAAGATCAGACTTCCCTATATCGTAATCATGCTTAGCATACGGAGTAGAGGGGTCTCTTGTGGAGCAGTGACCAAAACATAACGTATTAATTCCAGATGTAAAGTCAAATAAGATTCTATCCACCATTATACTGCTCCTAAATTCTTCTCGCAACCAAGCTATGAAATGCTCCCATTCTTATGTTTATGCACACCTATGCCTAAACCCAGCCAGATGCGCCATGTGCAAGCAACTCTTTATCCGTCCAATTCCACAACTCGCCTGCCAATTCGTCGTCATCAGTAAACTTTCCACGCATATTTGCCTTTCCTATCGGCTCATAATATGCACCGTTCTTCACATCTCTGCTAACGGTACACCAAAGCTGTGTCTTTACGCCTTCCTCAGGGGAAACGCCAATCAAGCTGACCAAGGGCCGGAGAAAAGTCCGCATCAGCAAGCTTGCATCCTTCTTCCCTTTCCATATTTCCGTTCTGACTATGCCCGGGTGCATTGACAACGTTGTTATGTTCGGGTATCGCCTCGCAAGCTCTCGGGCGAAAAGTACCTTGGCCAGAGTGGCCTGTGCATATAAGACAACACCGCCAGTACCCTCCATGGTTGTCTTTAGTTTGTCAAAAGAGATTCCGTCACCCGTTCCCTCTAGTCGATGATATGAAGACGATACAGATATGATTCTAACGTCGGTATTGGGCAGCGCCGCTGTCTCTAGCAGTTTGGGCAGCAGCAATTGCGTCAGCAAGGCATGGCCCAGGTAGTTGGTTCCAAAATGCACTTCGTATCCTTCTTTTGTGAGCGAGGCCGGCACCGATGCTACACCGGCATTCAAGTGAATGATATCAAGGCGATCCACCTCAGCATTGACTCTAGCTGCCGCCGTCTTGACCGATTCCAGAGAGGCGAGATCTAATTCCAGGAATTCAATGTTGGCAGATCGAGCCGCCGCAGAGCTTGCTCTGATACGTTCCATAGCTTCTTCGGCTCTACTCTGAGAGCGAGCTGCAAGATAGATCTTCTTGGGACCGTGCTGGGCGAATGTTGTTATAGCTGCCTCACCCAACCCAGAGTTTGCTCCAGTGACGAGGCAGACCTTTCCGCTCAGCGGTGGAATGTCTCTTTCCGGATTAAAGCCGCCCATGATTGTCTAATATTAAGCACAGCCCCAAGAAAGTTTGTCCACGATGTAAAACAATTATGAAAGATGAGATACGCAGAGTAGTATTTAACTGGACAGGTGACTGTTCAGATCAAACGCCCTGGTATAATGTATAAGTGTTAAATAGTATGCAGTCTAGAGACAATCGATATTATTAAATGTTAAAAGCAAGAATTGTTAAGGGAGCCTAAGTTATAAAATAGTCAAGAGGAGCTGTTGTGGTGGAAATGAAGTATGCAGTTGGCTGACAAAACTATCCCCTGACTGGCAACATCTTCGAACTATCATCTTAGCGCTCAAGAAAAGACGAGTTTTGTGGCAAATGCAGTGTGGAAGAATTTCCGACTCAAGGTCAGCGGACGGCGGAAAGTTTGTCCACCTTGCCTCCGCTCCGCAAACAATTCAAATTCCGCAAATGTTTCGATGTTCTGCAGATGTGAAGCTCTTTACCGAGTTTAAATGCTTTCTGGGACCTGTGTTCAATGTTGATCACAGCGCCATTGTGAGGGCAGCTATGGCGACACAGAGCAAAGAAGCTGTGCACGTATAACACTTTAGGACCATCGAGACTTGACAGGTTCCTCTTCTAATAGGAAGAGGAAGAAATGGCTTCAAATTACATATCCAGTAAGATGTTTATCAAATGCATAACTTCCTCTATACAATGTTCGGATAGATATTAGGCCGACTGCGGACTATGAGCCTTGCAGATCCGCTGGTACATGATTTCAGATTCATGACTCTGTGACGATTGTGGTACAAAGATAGAAGAAATGAAACCTGATATTTGATTATTATAGATATTGAGGGGTCTAAGAGAGCATTAGGAGGCGATCGCCGCGGATAAGAAAAGTAATATATATAGAGCTACAATGTAATGATATTCTTTCCCTCTTATTATATACTCTCTATCCATCTAATTTGTAGAGAAGATCCTCTTGAACATATTCCGAACCATGCAGCGGAAGTACGACATCGTCCTTCTTGGAGCCACAGGCTTCACCGGAGGTCTTATGGTGGAATACATGGCCGCAACGTTTCCAGGATCCTTGCGATGGGCGATTGCGGCCCGGAACAAGGCAAAGCTCGAAGCACTGGCCAGAAAATTCAAAGTAGAAGCTGCAGGAGGTGAGTGAGTCCTTAGCATCATGAGTATCTGATCAATGCTCATTGTATTTAGGGTCAATTATCGTCCTGGAGGTGAACCCTGAAGCAGAGATCCAGAATGTTGTAAAATCAACACGGGTCATCATCAACGTTATTGGTCCATACCCAACAACTTGTGGACCTGTAGTGTTCAAAACATGTGCTGAAAACGGTACTGACTATGTCGACTGGTATGAGATTCAAAGATGTCACTAATCATTGTATCCTAACATCCAGACAGCAGCGCGGATATGCCTTGGGTACAAGATATGATCAGAGAACACCACAACTCAGCTCAAGTTTCAGGTGCAAAATTACGTCTTATGTTATGTTTAGTTAGGTACCTATTCTTCAATATTCAGCATTACTTACAACACCAGATGATCATCACGTGTGGCTTGGACGCTGTGCCGCCTGATCTAACAACATATCTCGCTGTGTCCCACATACGCCAAATCTTCAACACGCCGACACGCGAAGCCATTGTTTCATTGCAAGAGATTAGGGGTACCATCAGCAGCGGCACTATCAACTCAATGGCCTCTGTTTACATTGACATTATATGAACCGGGCCGCTACGCAGAGGCGACCGCGCCGTTTGCAATCTCTCCCCGCAAACCTACAAGGGAGAAGGCAAAGACCAGCCTTTTTCCAGGATCTGGCATCTTTGGGACACGGACTCTGGATAGCCTCGGCCGTGTAGTAGCAAAAGAGGGACAAGGGAACGAGACAGCTACAGTGGGATGCAACAAGTATTTGACCCCCCCAAAGTAGTCTCAGATCACTCTAGCCTAATCCAGCAAGATCAGTATTGCCGCTCTATTCCGAGACTAAGAAGATGATAAACACCCACGCGTTAAATTTTCTAATATCTACTATTATATCTTTATTCTTTTAGTATCTGCTACTATATTTTTATTTTTCTAATATTTACTACTATATTTTTATTTTTCTAATATCTACTACTATATCTTTATTTTTATAATACCTACTACTATATTTTTATTTTTCTAATATTTACTACTATATCTTTATTTTTTTAATATTTATTACTTTATTTTTATTTTTTTAATATTTACTACTATATTTTTAATCTTATATTTATAATTATTATTATATTTATATTTCTATAGTAAATATTATTATATTTATATATTTTTATATACTAAATATTCCCTTATTAAGGCACTACTTAGTATTAAGCTAATATAGTACTTATGTGCCTATATTGCCAAATGTATACACTTGTTCCTTTTGCGGTCTCACTGAAGCTGGGGCTTATACGCACCGGAAGATACTGACACCACGACAGGCGGATATGGGCCAAATTTTCACTTTTCCGCGCGACCTCGACTACCCAGCACTTTGCGCGATTTCGTCCGTGTTCTGCCTCTTATCAGTGTCGGGTTTCTGCTAAGCTTCTCTGTTACAAGATTTATCCTGACTCGATTTATCTACCCAGAGGGCTATAGTCCAGACCCCAAGCGGCTCGAGGACTACAGGTTCAGCCATCGGACACTGACAGTGGCTGATACAGGAGACGAGTCAACGGCGAAGAGAGCGATAGTGGACTTCAAATTTCAGGGCGATCAGTATAAGTTTACTGGCATCGCAATGGTAGAGGCTGCTGTGACACTTCTTGAGGGTGGGACAGAGGCGCATCGACTAGGCGGCGATGTTATGACGCCGGCAATGCTTGGAGATAAGTATGCCGAAAACTTGCAGCGTCCGGGGTCAGGCGTGGAAATTTCGATTAGAGCAGAGGGCTGAATGTGTACAGAGGATATCTTGGAGATGTAGTACATGTAGATAGAATATGTAATTTCCCTATATTGTGGTTAATCGACTTTCTGCCCTATAGACCTTTAGTCATAGTGATGAGCACCCTGGCCATAACCGAATCGATACTATATATGTACTTTGTCGTACGTTGACGAACTTCAGAAAATTGAACCATGTAACTACAATTTCAGAATCAAGAGGTGCAAAATTTGGAAAACATTGAATTGTAGTCAAGAAGTTGATAAAAGTTGGAACTTTTCACTAACCATAGTTACATGTGCCAGCCAATATCCATCAGGTTTACAGTGTTTGCATTGGAAGCAGTTATTTTAAAGTAAATTTGGAATTTTCCCAATTGGAGCTTTATTCAAAATATAGTAGTAGCCCTCTTAAGTGCGTTGCCCTGCATTCTCAGGTGTGTCCCATGTCCGTCATAAACCTCTGTCCCTTTTCTCCACCGTCCCAGCCTAACGCCGCACCTTTGCCTCTCATTTAACAAGTGGGTGCATCTCCAAGCCCATTGTCAGTAGCTGCCAACAAAAACTCCATGAAACCAGCACTGGTTGCTCGGAGGTTGGAGTTGAATGTGGAGACAGTGGGATAGAAGGGGCATGACGCAGCGTTATTCTCGAAACCAAACTCGACCGTGTATGCGTGGATGAGATTCTTGGTGGGGTCGGCGAAGTGTCGTGAGTAGGCATAATCGTCGCTGGCTCCCGATGTGGGATACAGGTCGGCAGACTGGAAAGACGTGTAAGACCTGCCGCCGCCTGCAGTCAGGGCTGAGGCCACGCGCTTGGCCACGGCGACCTGGGTGTCAGAGTCCGCTTGGGGGAGATACTCGCCATAGCCCCTGCCGGGAGAGGGAGTATCGGTGAGAATACCACGGACTTTGCTATAGGTGCCGTTGAGGAAGTTCATGGTGGGATACGAGGACTGGTTCTCATCGCTGCCCCAGCTCCACAGGACGTCGCCTGCATATGAGTGAAGGTCGATGTACCAACGGATCTTGGAGTGCGTGTCCAGCACCCACTTGATGTTCTTGGTCTCAGGCTCAGAGAAAGCGCTGGTTCCGTGGTATGTCTCAGAGCTAGGAGAGGTTGAGGCAACGCTTGACTGGGCCGAGGAGGCAAACAGATTTTTGAAGTCCCAGAGAAAGTCGAAGTTGCGGTTCAGGTCAACTCCGCCATTGGGGTTGCGGTTCTTTCGCCAGCAGCTGTTTGATGACTGGTCATAGGCCACTCCATCGGGGTTGCTCAGAGGGACGAAGACAATTCCCGCGGCCAGAGCTGTCTTGACCTGAGCGTTGGTGTAGGACCTGGATCCGTACGTGAGTCCGACGTTGTTCTTGTTGGCGTACAACAGATCGGAGATAAAGTATAGGACGCTATCGGCGGAACCGCGCTCTCGAGCGTGGATGTTGCCGTTGAAGTAGACACGATAGGCATCGGTGCAGTTGCCTGCGGTGCCACCGACTCTCGCTCCGACGACAGTTGCGCCCTGGACGGTCTTGTACGGAGTGTTGAATGTCTCGATTCCGTAGGTGTTCGCGAGGCCCTGCAGGCCACTCAAAACCTCCTTGGTGTTGAGAATCGTGCCGATTGAAGCGGATGAGGATTGGGTTCCCAGTCCTCGCGGTGCAGTTGCGCCACCACTGAATCTATCGCCTGAGCCAATCGGAGCTCCGTTGCTGCCCTGGCGACGGACAAGAGGCTTCAATCCAGCGGCATCATCTCGCTCGTGGGGCAAAAGGCACCCCGAGGACACGTTGGAGAGCGCAAGAAGCGCGAAGGGAATAAACGTCTTCATCTTGAGTTACCACTGCCTTGATGGATGGATATGAAGGTAGAAGTGAGTGAGCTACTTGCTTGTCCCCTTGAGCTGCTTGATCCTATTTATATAACGTTTGAGGGCATGTTATGATTTCAGATTGATATACGTTATGTCAAGTCTTGATAGTGGTGTCACATCGAGAGGAAACGGCAATCCGCCTTCATCTGGAAGCTGGAAATAGCGAGGCCCGCAGCTGCCAAATGGAGATAGTCCACTGACCCCAATATGAAGACGAGATAATACTTGAGACTTCCCTTGCGTTGACTGCCGGCCACCGGCTCGTATTATACTCCGTAGAAACAAAAGTGCCGATTGCCCCGCTCACAAAGGGATCTGCATCTCATTACAGTACTAGGCACGCACTTACACTGGCTCACATCGTGGGGGCAGCGTGTAAGTAGCCTGGGAGGGAGGGGGGCTGGTAATGACGGGGCTGGCGATCGAAACGGCTGTGCACTGTCCGATCAGTCTGTATCCCTGGCGCTATGCATTTCCAGCTCGTTAGTTCCCTTGGCAAATGTCAGAATAGTAGATCGCGGTGTACGAGTAGGCTCGGACCTCTGTCGTTGCCAAGTAAAGTGCGAGTGCATGGCCTACATTGTTCCGGATAGCACATACCGACAACCGTAGTATACATCAAGTAATTAACTCACAATTGGGTGAATCAACTGCAAGGAATCTTTGTAAATGAATACTCTGCAAGGAATTTTTGTGCATTGACATAGATGTAGATACCGGACAATGAACACCAGGATAGGAAGGTCACGGAACCGAGCGCTCACGACTGCGGGTTCTCGATCACCATAGAGCTTGAGACTGCCTGGCAAATCGGCGCCCTCCGATGTGTGAATAGATGCTACGCAGTCACGACATTGCTGCTGCGGCACATGCTCTCTCTCTCCTAAATAGGCGAAAGCAAACGACACTTACTGACCAATGTGCGACGCTGTTGTCAAACCGACTCGCGTTGCTGAGCGCCTCTGCTGTCGTCATTTCTGTTTTGCCTGATTGGTGCTAGTTGCTCGGCCAGTAAACAAAGTGGCAGCGCTGTTTTTAGCTTAACTTATTTATGATTATAAGTTTAAAACTATAAGTTTATCTCGCAAGAAACCTGTAGCCTTGGTCTCCGACTGGTTTGGGCACACGGCCTGTTTAGGAAGGAGAACTTTCGAGACAAGAAGCCGCTGCAAGCATGTGGTGAGAGGGGCCAGCGATAGAACCGAGGTTTCAGCCTGGGAACTCTTCGATTGTCCGTTTTATTATGCCAGACTATTGGCTGTAGTCACTCTATCGCTGAACGTGCTGCTGTGTAAGTACATGTAATTCAGGCTACACCATGCCCCGCGCCAGCAGAGAAATCCCAGGCCACGCAACTCATTACAACAGCAGTGTTATCTTTCTAAGTGGCTGTGAGCGCCTATATGAGGGGCAACAGAAAGCTTGAGTGACATCGTGATACTACGTCCATTGGTCCCCAACGGGTATGTTACTACTATACATAAGTACCGAGATGTGATACAAAGATTATAGGACGGACATTTATGGCAGTTGGCGCGTTACACGGCTCACGTCATTCCTTCATCCACGATCTCTAGCTCATTTTTCTGGGTAAGAGTACTCTCCAACATCTATTTTCGAGACAATGGGCCTAAATGAGCTATTGTACCAAGTGATTCGACAACGAAAACTATGGAAGCTATATTCAGCTAGCTGGAGGCGAGGGTTTCTCAATAATACGGACGTCACTTTTACGCCCGACGTTCCACCTAGAAAAAGATTTTAATCCTGGTAACGCGATAGCCGAATTGTGCTGATGAAGGCGGACAACCCACACAGCTTCAAAAGATGAGCGCAATGCTCAATACTTGCTCCTTCTCTTTGTCTGTCATACCCAACCTCGTAAAACACCCCCTAACCGTCGAGTTCAATGTTTTTTTTTTTTTTTTTTAAAAAAAAAAAAAAAACAGATAGCCTATCCTACCGATTGACTCTGATTCATATGGGAGGGCGTAGTCACTACCGTCACCCTGTTGTAAAACCCCCGACGGCGGTTCTAAGCCAGAAAAGATGTGAGATCTGACCTTCAGTAGCGTTGTACATGACTCATTCTCTAAAAAGGATCGTCGGCACTACCCATCTACCCTTCTCTTATGTGTTTATATTTAGGACATGAAGGTTCAGTCCCAAATTCTCGCATCGGTATCACGCAACAGCGGTTTCTAGCAGAACAAACGGGTCGGTATAAGAACATTAAACTTCAATAGACATACGGTGTTACGATGCCATAGCATTCTACATCCTTGTTTGAAGACATGAGAGGTGCAGTGAGAGAGTTGCGAGTGAAACTATGAGACTGTCGCGTCTCAACTGGAAGAATCTGAGTAGCTCCAATGACCAATACGTATAAGTCAGAGCCTCACGATGCTCAGCCGCATCTCGCATACTAAGCCGAGAACATGGGGTTTGCATGTGGTCGCCCAGTTAGTTCATGCAACTAGATCTTTAGTCCATGTTAAGCACAGCCTTTCTCGCTCTGGCAGGGTGAGCGTATATACTGTGCATCGAAGTTTGTGTTACATTGCTGCTTATAGTCGCCGCTTTTAGCTATGTCTGTCACTCGTTTGCGTCTGATAAGATCTCGATCAATATTGATGTCTATCTTTCGTTTCGCTACGTTGAGGCGGCTTTCCATTCCACAAGTCACCCTCATCGTTTCCAACTGTTACCGCTAGATGCTCGAGACGTTGGGCTTCATAAAGCCCGCATGATATGAGCCGCGGAACCGTGATCGTAGGAAATCAGGCTGGGTTAGCTATCTGCCAATTTTAGCGAAACAGAACTATGTAGGATGAGAACAGTTTCTCTACTGGATAACTTTACTTATGTTCCCTTTTCTTACGATTGGGCGATCCTTCAGAAAAGACGCTCGCCCAAATAAATAGCAAGCTGTGGAGGTATCGCAAAATCTGTCCAACTTGCTCAAATTCTTGGATGAGAAAATCCAGCTGGACAGAAACAGAGACAGAGGTCTATGGGCTGATGCTGTATGTATCGCTTATGAGGTCTATATACTCTTTACACAAGTCTTCGCATTGTACGACAGGCTAATCTTATTTATCCTGTGAGCGAATGTTGAACAAAGACACATTCGTATGGTGTGTACTTCAGAGAGCTATAAAGAAGAAGCGAAAAAGCACCTCTATTGAACTTAGGTACTGCTTGTAAAACACGACCATACCCACCAGTATGTCGACAACACAGAGTTAGACTAATATGTGAACAATCTTTATGCAAATTAACATTAGCGTACAACCTGAGGTTCCTTTCTCGACAGATTCAAGCGTCCTTGAAGTCGTTGTCAATTTGTGCCTGAAACTTGGTCCACTGCCCTTTCACCCTGCAAGCAGAACTCCAGTAGTTTCCTTTGTCATCTTTTCCAAAGATAAACCAGCCATCAGCAGGCTTGATAGGGCCATGATTTTTCTGAATATAGGACGGTTTGCACGCCACATCAGCCTTGGGTGTTTTGCGGGCAGGGGCAAAATCGAGGTTAAACAGACCCGTCTTGGACCAGTTGGAGAAGCTAACCTGAGCCATAGTACCGTCACCAAAGACGATAACAGGAAGACCAGAGTAAGACGTTCGCACCATGTCGTGATAAGCTTCATGCTCTGCGCGCGTTCCCTGCTCGTTAATCGCGCGACGGACGTGCGTGCGAGCCAACTTAAAGGCTTGGAGGAGACGTCGCCTGCCTTGACTAGCACATTGGCCCATCCGTAGGCATTGCCTACATAGGGATGTTCAGCTGAGGGTGGAATGAGGTCTCCTTCAAAAGCTTTGCGCAGGGACATGGCTATAGAAGTAGCAACCTGCAAGAATATGGAGTCAGAACTGTTGCCATCATAAGGGAAGGGAGAAAGGCATAATTGCTGAAACTGACTGTCCTATCAGAGTTCATCTCCATGGAGCTAACAATGCAGCGGATGGTCCAAGCCATCAATATGTCGTTCTCAGTCAAGAACACTTTGGAAACATCTTCGCCTTTCGCGATTGCTTCGGCGCGGAGCTCCTCCAAGGTTTTATCTAACTGCACTCTCCAGTATGTTTCGGGGGTGCAAACCATGCGGTTCTCTTTAGCATGAACAAGCATATCAACGCCATATCCAAGACCCCATTGGAGCAAGCCGCCCAAACTAACTCGTTTGTCAGACAAGACGTGCTGTTCCGTGATTGGACGAGAACCTTTTGCCAGTGCGTCAAATGGATCTGTATCAAATGCGCATGGCGTTGGGATTTGGTCCGTCTTGCCCCAAAGCATGGAGCTCCAGCCTTCCACAACGTACAGCATTCCTAAGTCATCAAATGCAACATGTTGCCACTGCAGTACAACGATTGTCTTGTCAGTAAAGAGTTGACGCGCAGGCCCAAAACAGGACGATCAGAAGTGAGGTAGTCGCTGATCCCTCCAGGTTGGTACCCGGCCTCCCAAGCCAAGTCTGCTAGATTATCTGGATCACCTAAGATGGCAGGCTGAGTACTAGGTTGCGGTATCTTGGAGGCTGCCGGATGGGAAGCGGCAGGCATGCCATGATCAATGTGGGCAAACGCAATTGCTGGGCGCTCAGCTGTGAACTCTGCGGGAATATGCCATTCAGTCTCGCCCGCGGCCTAATCAACGACACGAGTGTCAGTATTGGTGTGCTAATGCGTTAATGAGTTTAGATCAGCCTCGAAATTAACTGCAGGAAACTGATCCGATGCAGCAATCCTTACATTCTTCCTAAGCCGGCCTCCAGGAAGTTGCAACCCCTCCCGCTTGACAAGTCCTTCGAGAGACTCGCGAAGTTTCTCTAGATCGAGCACGTCATCGAAAACGAGAGAGACTGCAAAGTTGTTGTCTTTCACAAGCGGGCTCTTCTCGAAAAAATGGAGTGGCACGATTCGATCGCCCGGTATGTGCGCCGGACCAGGCTTTCGTCCGAACAGCAGGTCCATTTCGATTTGCCAGGTAACTAGATTCACACCAAGAAGAATTTCTCTTTCTCTTTTGCGTTGAGAGAATATAGGAGTATTATTGGTAATCTGTATGCGCTGTATCTTACAGAGACTCCCTTGCGGGTAAAGCGGTTCGTAAACCAGATACGGAGTACTGCTGCAGACAAATCTTTAGACAGCGCGTAGTGTCGATTGTTGCCCTTTATGAATTCGGGTATCTTATTACAGTTGATTTTACCCCATGACAACGAAATTAGCTACGGATATACGAACCGTGAAGCTGCAGGCAGGTATCTCTCTTTAAGCCCTGCCCAGTCCCACTATGTGCTGAAGAGTTTTGCGGCCGCAGTCCTGCAGCAGCCATGCCACAGGCACGACGGATCTCCATGCCGACCCCCATTTTCTTTAACCTAGATCTTTTTAACGGCTAAATACCCAGACGTTGCTGAAGATGTTTGGTAAGAAGCGAAATGTTGGAAAATTAAGGTGCGGTCTACCAGTCAACCAGTTCTGTTGTTCATGACACGGATAATGCTTTTTACACTTGACGTTCGTATTACCAATTTCGTCTAAAACACTCGTTTTTTGTAAAATTGTATGCACACATTGACGTTGTGCCGGACTGGTTGAACACGCGACAATTCAATGTTTGTTGGATGCAACCGCTTACCAACAACTCTTGGGGAATTGGGGCGTGCAGGGGTGGATTGTGACCCAGCAAATCCTAATCAGCACATAACACATGGGGATCACGCTACAATGAACACCTGCCATGTGTTTCTTCACATGTGAAGGCGTTTGACAGACCGGTATATCCGAAGTTGGGAATCAAAGGTGTCGAGTAATGATCAGGGCCCTTGTCAGTACAGCCCCTTCGGCAACTGTTTGGTCTGAGGTCGGAGTATTATCAGACATATAAACGATTCACATCGGTAGTATGGCAATAAACTGGTACGAATTGCTCATAATGCCTCCATACCCTCAGAATTGCTAACCAGGTCTCTTGAATCGTGCAATTGAACAGCAACCGATTAAACGGTGCTGGTATCGCAGACGATGAATCTTTCTACGACACCGGCAATGGCGCCGCCGGATGGTCAAACACCACAGTTTGATGCACCCTACAATTCTTTACAGATTCGGACGGTAGTTGCTTTTGGAGTCACGTATTTCTTCGCTTCCTTTTTCCTCGCTCTACGTTATTTTCAGGCTGCCAAGCTAGTCAAACAGGTTGAGATAGATCTAAGTAAGATCCACGTTGTCGTTCAACAACGCACAATAAGGGGCGACCAAGGCGCCAAGACTAGATCTCAGATCTTTTTGCTAACTTTCGTTTACTTGCAGTTATCCTCACTCTTGCTTATGGCATTTCCCTATACTACTTCATAACATTGGTCAACTGTATGCTTACTTGACGCTCACTCACTAACATGCCCTAACATATCCTCCAACCTAACTAAATGGCATGTAGTAAGGAGCCATGGCTGGGGGAAACATCTGTGGGATGTGTCTCTAGCACAAATCATGGAGTTCAATAAATTCGGGCATACCATCATGAACATTACGCAGCAACACTGTTCTTGTACTGTATTGACACCAGCTTAGGAATTGCTCCACAACACCCTGACCTACTTGACCACTGTATCCATCACAAAGATGGCCATGTTGGCTGTCCTGTTCCGCATCAATGCTTCATTAATTTACCGCTGCGTCGTTCTCAGCGCTGCCGTCGCAATCCTCGCCTATACCTTGACCTTGACTAGCATCACCGGCGGCCCGTGTAATACTCTTAAATCTGGAACGATTAGTTGTTTGGAGAACGTGGCTTTGGCACAAGCTGTGATGAACATCGTCTCCGATTTTGCTGTCATAGCGATACCTATCCCAACCATCCATAGGCTTAAGTTTACATTGAAACAGAAAGTCTCGGTTGGATGTATCTTAGCTATGGGGTCTGGGTCCGTCTCTCTCGCTACATTTCCGACTTTGGTTCACTTTCGTATTACTAACTATTATTTAGTGTCGTCATTCGCTCCATAGCTCGTCTACCGTACGTTCTCATCCTCGACAAAACTGCCGATGTTACCTATACCGAGGCCATTCTAGGCGTGTGGTCAATCGTTGAGATCAACCTTGGCATCACTTGTGGCTGTGCAATGAGATCAAAGTCCCTAGCTGTGAAGTACTTGCCCCAGCTTGGATTCTTCTCTTCTAACCCACAAGAGAGCGAAACCCATGATTCGAGGCGCAAAGGCCTCCACAAAGATGAGGACAGCGCCCAACGATCGTACCAGCTCCACAACGTCCGAAAGGATAGAATTGAGCTAGAGTTCGACAGTGGAATGAGCGACTCATATAGACCCGGCCTGAGGAGCAGAGATTCGGATAACGGGAGCACAGATAAAATATTAAGTTAATATATAGCTGGGAAGAGATGGGTATTTTATTTGTCAATTTTGAGATGCGATGTAACCGGGCCTCGGATTAGACTTTTTGAGCAATCATTTTTCTCAAAGGAATGGTATACGGCGTTCAAAAAGATGGATCGATGATTGGATCGAATGTTATAAAACCAGAAAATTTTTGGAAGTGCAAATCTGAAAGATTGAAAGACAACCCACAAGCCATTGAGGCGGCCAGAGACAAGCTAGCCAACACTACGTTTCTCATATCTACGAATTCGCAATTCTTTTTCCCGCAAAAATACACCGTCTACATTTTGTTTAGAGAGCAAAGCAGCAAAAAGTGAAAATACATACAACAGCCGGTGTTCGCTGATGGTCACCCACTCAACTACTAATCTGCCGGTTAGTGGCTTATCTATGGGGGAGCAGACGGGACCCCGAGTTCTCCACTACCTATGGTCGTATGTGTCTGAGTCTGTCCTAAGATTGCATCTTGTTCTGAGTGTGACAATGAAGTAACGGTCAATCTCTCTACTGACTACTTGGCGCGTCCGGCTTCGAGAATAATAGTAATGAAATGCGGTGGTGCTTTGCTAATGCATCATATATTCTAACAAAGCATGGAAGTATAGTTTCTCTTGTGCCATATGTTGAAACTACTTAAGCTTTTATAAAGTAACTTGTCTGACATTTACAATGTCGATGTGACAACGAAATTAAGAGCTTTTATACATATTCAGTAATCGATCATACATGCTGTATCGAGAGAAGCGCCGAGCTGTTCGACGGCGTATTAGAAGATACGGTAATCGGGTTTTTAATATCCAGCTTCCTCAGAAGTAATAATGCAGTTAACTAGATGCTTTATTCCTATAGCTTTGGCTTTGGCTATCTAATCTTTGACCTGCCCGTTAGTGATAATGGCAATACAGTATCCATGTTTACACAGCCGGGTTAAAGCCTCGATACTTCCTAGTGTTATCCTCTGATTTTTTTTATAAACTGCCTTATATATATTACAGAACTTCTGAACCTTGTTAAGGCTGGGTTTTAGTAAGCTAAGAGATAAGAAAAATAAATAAATCTTCTAGACGTCGGCCTCTTTATATGTGATTACTTTATATAGGTAAGTATTATAGGCTTGTTAAAGAGAAATATTATACTTATTAGTTAATTTATTAATATTCTTATCCTCTAGGCTAGTATAATTCCTTTGTACGGCGGATATCGCAAGGCGTAGCGAATGGTAGTGGTTAAACAGCGTGCCGTCCAGATTAAAGGAGACAACTTTAATCTGTGTTAGTTCTATAGTAAGTTGTCTTCTTTACGCAGAGAGGTATGGAATGGCGGAGTGGGATTGTGGATGGGAAGGGCAAGATAAATCAAGGGCGATTGTCTAGGAAGCTGTTGCGAAATATAAAAAGCTTATGTTGAACGCCGTCACAATCGATATGCACCCAGGTGGTTTCAAGCTTTTTCGGAGTGACCACATATGCTGTACCCGCTGATCAAGTAACTAATCAAGTATTTACAAGTATGTCCTCCTGATGGTGTTTTGAAACATGATGGATGGCCAATCTTAGTCCCTTGACAAACTCAAACTGCGACTACTAAAGCACAAGAACCCTGGCAAGCTACAGGATCTTGGAGGGATATTTGCCAAGCTTCTTTACAATTTTCTCAAAATATCTGGCCCCTACCGCAATGCCATCTACGTCCCTACAGTCTTTATCATCTCCTAGATCTCCTTTGTCTGGGTCCAAGTAGCTCAGCCATGTCCTCACCGCTTTGTTCTACTTGGTGCCAATCTTAAATCTCAAGATGCCTCTTCCGCGTCGCGTTAACCTAAGGTATCTTTCACTCAATGAGAAGATTTGCATCGTTCGGATGGATTCATCTTATCGCCTTCAACACCAGATTCAGGGCTTAGACTAGACGGTAGAAGGTCCACAAGGGGGACCAATCTTTCTCACCCACTTTTGTCATACTCGACAAAATTTTCTCGTATCAAGCTTGGGTAGACAAACACCGACGCTGTACATGTCGTGTTGCATACTAAAGTCTGTCTCTGGAGTATTGCCTTGCCAATGCGGGTGGCGACACAAATTCTTCTCTCAGTCATCGTCTCCAAGGCGATGCGTTTTGCCCTCAGCATCGCGAAGCATGATGAAGCCAACCAATATAGAGATTTCAGAATCCTCTCAGGATCTAGCGTCTCCTCTAGTATTGTAACATTTGTGGCTTCCTTTGCTGATGAGTAGTATTGTCTTAGGCCGGGTATTCCTAACCTATCACTTTTCTTTGAACGAATATTCCAAGTGCTTGCTGTGTGCTCATCGATTCCTCTTATGTATAATAACATCTGTTTAGACTGTCAAGGAACTGACAAAGTTCTGCTCTCTCTTAATCTGCTGTAAAGAGATGGGCCGCAGCACTGTCTCTGATAGCTTCAGGCTGACAATCGCATCAGCATGTGATGTGATGTGGTCGTTGACCGTCTCATATACCACATCGACGCCGCCAGGATATCCACCACCGTTGCGTACAACCCCCTCCCACGCCTCAAGCACTCGAGGCTGTATACTCATACACCATGTTGCCCGCCAAGTAACAACAGACTGCCGCAAATGGCCAGGGATAAACTCATACTTGAATAAAGCCGCCAGCCCCTCTCGTCCATACCATAATTCCATCATCTTGAGCTTGAGCATGCGACAAGCTGCAGATGCTGCTGCTTGAAGAAGATCCATAATCTTTGTAGGACATGTTGTGGGTGCTAGAAGCTGGGAGGTGAGGGTAAGGTGGCTTAGGTTTGGCCATGTTGAAAACTCAGAGAAAAACTCTGCAGCATCTACTACGAATGAAGCTGAGAGGACTTCTACGCCGAGATTCACTCGGGCAAGCTTCTGACTGAGATCAATAGTGGGAGCATGTGCTGGTGAGTTTCCTCTTAGAAAATAGCGCGAGTATTGTTGGTTAGAGTTTTCAAAAATTGTTAACTTGTCCAGCCCTTCGGTAGCAGAAAGAAGTGCAAGCAACGCTGTGAAAATATTAGTAGCTGATAAACTTCAGTAGTAAATTACTCACATCTAATCCAGATCGCGTGAAGCTCGGTAAACCACTGCATCCATATCTCATAGTGGAATTCACGTAGGTTAGGAAGGTGGGAAAGAATTTGGGAGACTGTCAACGTGTCCCATCGGCGATAAGTCTGTAGCCTCATTTCAAGACGTGTCACGGCCGGGACCTTTGGTGTCTGCGCCCAACACTTTCTTTCATCCCTAATTGGGATCCAGACATGTCCAAAGAGACGTTCAAGACTTTGTACTGGCGGGATAGACCCCAATGCAGTCGTTTCCCATCGGTGCTTTTCGGGCTCCTCGCTTCCGGCGATCGACATTGGCTCGACCTGGTGTCCCGTAGCGTCGGGCATAAAGGTTAGGTACTTGAATGCGTGCTCATTGTCGCTCTTCGAGTACAGGCTAATATCGAGGGTCAGGCTCCCATTTGGCTCCCATGTGGCCAAAGCTGTGAATAGCGACTGAAACGATTCCAAAATGAGCTTGTTCTCGCTTTTATTCGTCTGATAGTCTCTAGGATCAAAAGAATCGCATTTTTGGCAGTTGTATCGCTCAAGCTCTATACAGAACCATATATAACGCACATGATCCCGGTTGCGCTGCGTCATGGTGTTGAGTTGGGCGATGCGTTGAGACGTAACTCGTATATATGCAAAGATGTGTGGTTCGACAACAGCCTGCCACTCCCGTGACACGACAGCAGAATTAGATAATCTGCAATTCTTGTCATTTGTCAGGGCTTCAAGAATCATGCACCTGATTTCGGGAGGGAGCTGAGACCAAATCATCTTGACGTATGGGTGGCCTGGGATGGCTTACTGAGTAAGTTGATTTTGTTCAACGATGATTCCTGACAGTGGAGGGTAGGCGGCTTATTATAGTTGAATTTGTGCGCATTGTGCCTTTGTCGGAGAAAATCGTGGAAAGCTTCACGCGATCTACTAGGTAGGTTACAAGGCTTGATACTTGCGATTGTTGCCTCCCTCCAGCCCCTTATTATATAGTTTATTTGGCTCAGTCTAAGTTGCTGCTTTAAAAGTATAATTTCGGTGGGAAGGCAGGCCCAATGTCAGGTTGAATGTCGTATGAGTGTGTATAGGGAGATCTTTCTGTGAGTCAAATATGTGCGCCTTGAAGATTACAGCCGCAAAGTGACTCATCCTTAGACAAAGCTTGATTCAGTGAAATCTGAATTTCCTTCCATAAAAGCTTGGCTGGGGATGAGGGAGCTAAGGAAATTGAGTGTAAATTAACTTCGGTGCTCTAGGGGACACGGGGTACTGGTGGTAAGGATTATAGAGCACATAGACCGAATACTCAGAGCAATGTGTGGCTGTCTTTCGGCTTGAAGCCGCTTATTGCGAGGGCTGTCATTAGGCTATCGCTGCAACTCTACTCCTTCTGCCACATTTGCTCGGCCTGATCAATTACACAGTGCAAAGTAATCATTATTAAGCTTTTACTTAGCAGTTGGGGGTGGATGCTCAATAAGCTGTCCCAATAAGTATTATCCAGAACCTAGGGAGGTATCAACCTGTGATTATTATGTACGTACTATATAGAAAGTAATTCAGCTATGATCAAAGACTGGTTTAGTATAAAATATTTAGCCTCCAAATATTCTAGCTTATTTTTTCACAGCCATTCGAGATTTCGATTTATTAATTACAGCTTCCTAGTCCCACACATATGTAACGCTCTCTTGGGAAATAACTCTGTCAGCCCAAGCAGAAAATTTTGCTTAAAGACTGAAGCTCGCTTTGGGATGCAATGCCCTGATATGCCGAATTGAATCACTTTTTTCGGTCCGAATTGGTAAGCAGCCCTTCATTCGTGGATACAAGGATGCATCCAGAAATTTAACGGTAATTGTGCCCTCCTGTATAGGCCAGTGGCGGCAGGCAGCGTTCACGGATCAATCGACGCGGCTGGAGATTACGCTCTTAAGTGTATTCAGAAGATGCAAAGCGATCTCATCAAAAGCTTCGTACCAAAGCAGCATTGCGCCGACGAATTTAATGAGCACACGCACCCACGGGCAAAGAAGATGATATGGAGTGCAGGCTGCCGCTCAGGGTATGGTCCAAAATCATGGAGGGTAATGTTTCTTATAGGGTGTTAATTATTTTCGCCAGTTACAAAGCCAATGAAACAGGGACACTGCGGTAAGTCAGAGTATTGTTAAAACAATGAATCTATCCAACCCGATAAAACGTTTTTATAGCGTCGTCTATGCAGGCTCAACTATGCACTTCCGCACCCTGATACAAATCCCACGGTGAGAGGACATGGACATTGATTATTTAGACGCAAGTATTGTAATGTCTGGGGATGTATAGTCGTTGAATACTAATATATTTCAGAAACGAAACCGAAATACCTTTATGGGGATAGGGAGGCATTGCGTTCAGACCAAGGAAGCGAGGCAGCTTGGCATCGACCTAAGTCCTTATTATAATATGGGAAGAATTGACCAGCGCTTCCTCCTAGAGGTCGGAATTATTTAAAATACAAATGAGGGATACCTCGTAGACAAGAATCTCCAGTCTACGTAATGGTAGAATGTACGGACAATAAAGCTGTAGCTGGGGTTGCATAATTTCTTCAAGCGGCGACAGGAGCCACTATAGCTAGATCCGGTGTATCCAGACGATAGTCACAGATTTCGTTCAATCCCACAATCTCAATGCCGATGGCATTCTTCCGCATAAGCCTGATCGATGTACGGCTCAGGCGCATCCGTCACTTTTCATGCCTTTAGTCCAGCATAAATGCCATCTTGACCCATCAAGAATACCTCAGCAAGCTCCGACAAATCGTTTATTTGCCTTGATGAAAACAAACGAGCTTCAATTCTTGACCTTTCCATATACTCACGATGTGGTGTAGTTCCAAGTTGGAACCACTTTGCATGTGCTAGGTTTCTTCTTGAAGTAAACCCCAGGGGTGACTTAGTGATGTTCTGATGTATTAAAGAGAATCATGACTGGATCTTGGAGAACCGCCCCAGGTACGGCCTCGTTCCGTGATTCCATTGCTCCAATGAGGGATTTGCTTGGGAGATTTTGCCGCGCAAGGTGGCCACGGAGGACGCCCAATTCAGTTTCATCGCTCTCGTTCTTCACATCAAGTCCAAATGGTATATAATTCGATTGCGAAGAGGCTAAGACTTAGATCAAATAACCGTCATGAAACACATAAAGGGCTGTCGCAAATTAATGCTGTAGCATAGGAATGGGCATTACCATAGGCTACTCGAATACATATTTGTAGGAAGAAATCAAGACGCTGCTAATTACAAATATAAATCACGGAAGCACTTCATCAAGATGAAATGGTAAATAGGGCTAAAGACGATCGGTGTTAATGTATGACCAGAAGTTGGACAACGTGGCGACTCTAGAACCCAAAGGAACAGTCAGTTTGAGTCACCATTGTGCCAGAATGGGCCATATGGCGGACCTCGCCGACCGAGACCGAGGAGTTCACCTTGGCCGATCTAGGATCACTATTCCTGCAGCAGACCATTACACTACACACGAAGTATATTGGCCACAACTATAACCCAAATAATATACCACTCTACTAAAGGGTCGCGCTGTGCTTTGATGTTAATACTTCATGACATTATCCTGATACACATTTACACACTTACACACTTAATAGTGAATTCTTATGCTAGTGTTGCGGCCTGGCACATTCGCATTTACAACGAGCATACAGAGATACATGCATGGGATAGATCAGTAGACAGTAGATCAAGGCATGAAAGGAATAACTAGTTCGTGGACACCAAGCGCCCGTCTTGTGCGGATGTTATCGCATATACTAACTTGTTCATCCAGGAACACATCATATCTGTCTGATTTATTGAACGACTCTTTATGGTGATAATCAGGCATCGGATAGGTGTTCCGGCGACTCGTCATTTCATCTAGGCTAATAAAGCGTCATGATGCTTCAAATCAGGCCTTTAAACCACGGAAAACAACACTATATGCCTGCTCATTGGGTGACACTCAACATTCGACTCATATGATGATTCATCTAAGACTTATCTATGCATGAATCTCCCGATCTCTTACATCAGTTCTAGCAGTAGACTGTTGACGCTTTGTGCAGGATGACCCCAAATATGACTCTGGACCAACGCTAATTGAAGTCAGATTTGTTTATTAATTCAGCTTTAACATACTTATGCTTGCCTAATTATTGTACAAAAATAAACCGTTATGAGCTTTGAAGGATGAGGCGCCGATAACGAGGGCAACTTTCGTCGCGAGGGTCTCTACACCTTCACTGTCCGCAGACTCCTATGCGCCGCTCAGTATTACCGATTATAATCGCTTTTCTATAATTACTCATATCCACTTATAAGCCTGCACATTTTAAGCTGGGTGTATAAGAATGACTCCCCATTCGATCCATTTTAGTATATTCTCTTTGAATGTGGTAATAGGTTATTTTTTTCCCTTGGCTAAAATACCGCGCGCTTCCATGTTTCAAATGTTTACAAAGGAATATGAAAGAAGATAGCATCCTTTTCCTTTGTCTTTTTCACTCTTCTTGAACTAGACCTCGGATAGTTGTTCGTCGCCCCTCTCTTTGATCTCGACTTCCGACAGTTGTTCATCGCTCTTCTCTTTGTTCTAGACCTCAGACAGTTGGATACCCCATGACTCCCCTGCCAGCAGTATACAACATACGACGTAGGTTTGGTGTTTTCAGTGGATTTGGCGGCCCATATGAAGAGAGGGGCATTGGTGGTAACGAATTCCACCTTTCATGCTCCTAGCCCCCTCAAGACCTCAGCACATCGCCCTGAACGACCACACCCCGGCCTCCCCCCCGGACCCTTAATGCCCACGACATGTACTAATGCACTCCATACTCTAGAATTTGCTGCATGGCATTGTTTGCTGTAGGTTAATGTGGATTCAGCTTGTAGCGACATGTCAGAAGTCTAAAGAGTAATGGAGACAAAGGGGCAGCTGAACGACGTTATAGCGCCCACTTTGCAACAGCTAATGTAATGAAAAGAATATGAAACAGAACATACCCCGAGAACAAGAGAACACAAGACTTGTCCTCGTGTTCAATTCTGTTTCATACTCTTTCGTGTGCTCTCGTGGTCTGTTCTGTTTCATATTCTTTGGTAAATGATGTATCTTAACTTGAACTCAGATGCTCTCTTCAAAGTTCTTTGTCGCCCTCTTGGCTACCAGCCATGTGACTTGCCAACCGTGCCACGACTGTTCAGAAGCACTCTGAATATAAAAAGGCTGGCCATCATACCCTTTCCATTCGAAGGGACAAGTCATTACATCTTCTTCTCAAGAGCCACCTTCAATATCGCCCTAAGCACGTCTTACCTTCTCTGATACACTCATCAATTTTCGAATAAACATCGTCAATCATGTTGGCGCCAACATTCCTCAAGGCTGGCCTCCTCCTGCTTTCTCAGCTACACCTGACTTGGGCCCTCGTCCCACGCGCAACGGGTCTTATTGCCAATTGTGCCCAGCAAACGACAGCTACCGATGGCAATACGTGCGATTCTTTCGGCGGATTCGGCCTCAGCCGAGATGCATTTAAGGCCTTGAATCCAAAGATCAACGAGAGTACGTACCATACTATGGGTTAAGTTGGGGGATATTGAAATACAAGACCACTGACCAATGCTGCAGAGTGTACAAATCTTATTGCCGGTGAACTCTACTGTGTGAAAGTGTCCGCCACCAGCAGCTCTTCCATCGCAACATCGGCGAAAACTACTCCCACCACGGCGACTGTGATGACAACGATGACAACGATGACCACTGTGACCAAGACAACCGCGACGAGCTCGGCGGACAACAGCGTCCCCACCTCACTGCACCTCCATCCAGGATATGTAGAGAACTGCAAGGACCATGAACGCGTCCAATCTGGCGACACATGCTATAAGATTGCTACAAGAAAAGGAACGACACCGGAAATGATTATGAAGCTCAATTCGGTGGGAACCCAGTGCGAGAAATTGTTTCTGGGCTACGACGTTTGCGTACGCGTATAAACACCATTGGCCTGATTTTATATACATGTACCTAGATACATGTTATGCAGTGGTAGGGTGGATTGTGGTGGATTTGTTTCAACACTCTGTTTGATGAGAATAAGGGAATGCAACTTGGGGTGCAACATCGTTCGTTTACACTGCAAGGCGAATCGCCGTCCGCTCTCTTGATTCTGACATTGCGCATATATGTTTGGAGATTTATGCTGGTTTACTCAGCAAGTATAGTTTTGCTTCCTCTATCTAAGTCGGCTTCAATAAAATTATAGCTCTATCTTTCTTTGACTCAGTTTACGTGGAAGAGACATCTAATTCATAATCTATAGGCTGTTTAAAACTAAAACATCAGTCCATGGAAGCAGCTTCGGAGGCCTCCAAGTGGCGCCCTATCAAGACGATGTCCAAAGCATTGGAGGAACCGACAATCTTGGACAGTTGCTAGGTATCACCAGCTCCAGTAATAATGGCTAGCTGGGTCTCAGGCAAGTCTACATGGGCATTGGACGAGAAGACTCGGAGATGGCAGCAAAGCGCAAAACTACAAGCCGCCATCGAGAGCCAGACCAGATTCGCAGGCGATGGTCGGGATTGGAAGCGCTGCGAGTCGGGAGAACATGTCTCGCAGAACGACCAAGAATTCTTGGATCTCAGAAACACTCATTTTCTTTCGCTCTTTCAGATCCGCTCTGGCGCAAAAGGCGTTGTCCACTGCGCTGGCGAGTGTCAGGTCTCTAGTCCAGCCACTAATTTCTCGCCGTGTATCTCTTCGATTCGTTAACTAAGCTCTTGCAACATTTGCCTGGAGATGGTATTTTAGGTTTCGCATGGTATAAATGAATGGTTCGGATGGTTCCTATATGAGACGCATCAACATTACTTACACGCAACGTTGTTTTCGCGTTGTCGGACTGGGAGATGGCGGCTGGGATCATAGCATCCCCTTCTCTAGTGATTTGAGTGAAGATGTCGTCTTCCAACAGACACTGGATGGTTTTTGGTTCCTCTGTAATCCGGAATTTGCCGCTCCCATCATCCAGTCGGGGCATCACGATGATCACGCCGCATACAGTTCGTGTAGCAGGCAGACGAGGAGCTTTCATATGTCCGTCGCCAAATATGGGTCCAAAGTCCATTTCATGTAGACCAAACTTGAAATGGCTCGTTATTAAAAGTCACCCTACGTCCAAGTCCTCGACAATAATCTCACGCGTGTGAAACCCCCTTTCGGTCCTCTCCGCGTATGCAAGAAGGTCTCGAAATTTCTCCGCGGTCATGGAATTGAGCTCGGCACGCACCATATGGGACGCCTCTGCGATACCGCTCTAATCATTTGCTATCGCCTCCAGGGGCGTCGAAGTCTTGGTCACATAAAGGACGTTACCGAAGTATTATCAGAGTTGCCTGGCTTACCATGCCATGAGCCAGGCGGCATCGACTAATATTAGTTATTTTCAGCCCCGTTCAAATACATTGTTATGAAATAGTTATGAATCTGCTTGCGGTGGATCTTTTGGCAGTGATTTATATAAAAATGAATGTTTGTTTTAACTTATGGTTTCCTGATTTGATGGGAACTGAAGATTGACTGAAGATTTGGCTCCAGATGACACGGGGAGACTTTCCTCTGGTTTAAGCGAGAGACCGGCCACCAACCAACGATCACTTAGTCTAAAGGCAACACACATTCACAGCCGCTCTTATACAAAAAGGAAACAGACAGTGATTGGCCTTCTTATCGAATCAAGGTATTATATCTCGGTTCAGACATTCTTTAAAATACTTGGATAAGCCGTTTTGAATGCAATGCTCTGGCTGAATCCAGTCACTTGATCTCTCCACTACCTGTACTAAGTTGGGTGACCCTCACATTGCCTGAACATTCATGGAGCCTAGTCCATCCACCAACATAGAATAGAAGACACAGCCACGATGTGTCTTTCGGCAATTGTATCTATTACTAACATAGAGATGCCCGGTTCGCAACATGATTCATGTGCAAAGTTTCTTCTATCAGGGCTCTGTTTGTTGTTGGATATTCGCTACCTTTTTTCTCCGACAGACGCTTCTTCTTTTACCCGACAGGGCACTTAGGTAATATTACAGCCACTACTCTGAATTATCTCGGCAATTCAATCCCCACTCTTGTTTTTCTTCCTCATGCATTCGGCTTTCGGTATCCCCATTCTAAGCCAAACCCCCCGAACAAATCGCGATGTCTCTTATGTCGCTGCACTATGGAGCTGAAAGATTTGCCAAGAAAAAAAGGAGAGCTGCTTTTTCGCCACTGCACGGCAGTTGTAATCGTTCCAGGCCATAGCTTTAGCTATTCGTGGGTAGCTTGTAACTCGCTTCCACTAAGCAAAGCCTACTCTGTCAGAAGTAGAGACACGATAGTTTACTATCAGCTCTATACGTTTCCAAGTCGTATCTCAATCGATCAATATACTGGTTTCTTAGCTGTCTTTTCCTCTTTAGGGATCGTATTTGTTTCTTTTGTGACGTCAGGACGCAAGTAATTGTGTTGAACCTTAATGCCATTAGTTTCTTAACCCCATGCATGCATCTTGTTGATCGCTCTCCTCTTCGAGTATATATAAAGGGACGAATCCTAATGAGAAGTCTCCATCAACTTCTTAACTGAACCACCACTTTTAGTTTGTCTTCATTAACAACTCAATCATGGCCGCACAGAAAGAAAGAGTCGTTGTCATTGGAAGTGGCTGGGCTGGCTATAGCCTTGGCTACGGTATCGATCACAAAAAGTACGATATCACTTTGATTTCGCCAGAAAATACTTCTGCGGTAACTCCTTTGTTGGCCAGTGCTGCTTGTGGACTATTTGACCCTCGATTGGCTCATGAGCCCCTGCGACGAAGGGATTTCCATGCCAAGTATATCAAGGCTTCGGTTGTCGACATCGATTTTGACGCCCAAATTCTCATTTGTCAACCAGCATTCGAGGAGCTCAAGGATGAGCGTTTCAATGTCGAATACGACAAAGTTATTCTTGTGCCAGGATGTCGCAGCAACACTTTCGGCATCCCTGGTGTGGCGGAGAATGCCATCTTTGTCAAGAATGTTGCCAACGCGAATGCAGTTCGCAGCCGATTGAACGACATTCTTGAGATGGCCTCGCTTCCAGGAACATCGGAAGACCGTCAGAGGCAACTGCTGCACGTGGCTGTTGTCGGTGGCGGTCCTACTGGTATTGAGGTCGCGGCTGAACTAACGGATTTGTTTGACGGAGACGTTGGAGTCTTGTTTCCCCACTTGAAGGGCAAGGCGTCTGTCTCTGTGTACGACGTGGCTCCTCAGATTCTGACACCATTCGATCAAAAACTGGCAGAATACGCTTGCAGCGCCCTGAAAACTGGCAAAGTCAACGTTAAGGTGAACACGCACATCCTCAAAGTTACCAAGAATACGATTGAAACTCAGGAGGACGGGGCTACCGGTTACGGTATGCTCATCTGGGCCACGGGAAACAAGTCTGTTCCTCTAATCGACCAATTGAACCTCCGTAAGACAGAGAAGGGATTAGTACGGATCTTGACAGATGACCACCTCAATGCTTTCGCACCAGATGGCAGCGTCCTGAAGAATGTATTCGCATTGGGAGATGCGGGAGATATTGAAGGCGGGACTCTCCCAACAACCGCTGAAGTTGCGATTCAAAAAGCAGATTATATCATCAACCTGCTCAACGAGAATGTCAAATCTCCCTTTGAGTACAAACAGCGCTCTCTGGTGACGTACACGGGAAGATGGGATGGTGTAGTCCAAGGAAAACGCGAATATACGGGCTATGGAGCATGGCTGAGTTGGAGATCTGGCAACTTTTTCTGGACGCGGTCGTGGCGAAGAAAGATTTTGATGGGCTATGCATGGTTTATGGATTGGTTGGATGGAAGAGAGATTATTCGCAATTAGTACCTCTCAGCAGTTTTGCAACCACAGGTCTGCAGATTGTTCAGTTGCTACCCGAAGGCTTCAAGTTCAGGCGGCTGAACATGAGAAGGCATTCCCAGCTACCAACAGACTTGGACTATCAATCATGTAGCAGATAGCGAGAAGTGTTGATTCAGCATTGAAAAGCAATACGGGTGGGGACAATGTCCACGAGCTTCTTACAGCGGCGACTGTAAAAATGATGTTTAGCATTAGTCAACTGCACATATACCTGGCGAGCGCTTGATCAAATGTGAGAAAAAGATTTCCCTGGTCATCGGTATATGTTGTCGCTACAATTAATAAAATTTCTACATTCGCTCTATATGCCACCAAAAATACCATTATATCAATCACCATATTCTTCTCTATACTACTGTGTACGTAGACATGAAGCATTGAGAGCAAGAATAATCTTGTAGCAAAATTCAGAAGACTTAAAGGTGCAGGATTCGCAAAATTCGGTGGATAACAGGTAGCGAGAATTGATCACGATTGTCGTATGGCCGCCTTTTGGTTCGAAGCTGTTGAAGATTCAGCTGATGAGAGAGCTCAGATTCAGGTCTCCATATATACTAGCAGGTAGGCTGGTTTGTGGCGTCTCCAGTGCCGTGTCTAAAAGACATACATATGCTAAATCCCATTCAAACGGTATTTCGAGATACGGGGGGCTGATGGGGGAGAGCCTAGAGTTGGGGAAATGCGGAGTTCGCAGACTCAAAGCCTAACAAGTGGAGATACTTCCCCTCGGGGCAATACCAGCTCTTCACGTTCTACTAGGTATGTATGTCTTGCTGCATTCAATGCCCGTCTGCGTTCTTTGGGTGTTGGTGGGTTCTGTAAACTGGCGAGTAGGCGGGGGTCTTCATATCACACGGTAGACGAACGGGCCGGAAAAGCCAAGATGATAGAAACACGAATTGTTGGTTATCATCATACGGGTATACTCTAGAATGCATAAGTAACACACACGAGCTCCGTACAATGGTCGGCCTGGCGTACATCGCTCGGCTATCCAGCATTGGCTTCTTTACCGTGAAACACAACTTCCTCAGTCTCCAAATATTCCAGTACATATGTTCAGAGCCAAAGCATCCACATAAAGCCAACTTTTCATGCTATAACAATTGAAACACTGTAATTGAGCTCTTGAATACGTTGTAGATACTCAATGCTATTTAGTAAAACTAATTGGTCCAATGTGTTATACTGGGCTAAGATAGCTGATGACGTTGTAAAGAAGGCTGTTTACAACCGTGCATCCATCCCCGGGTCCTTTGGCTCGTCTGTACTCTGACTGGAGCCGCTGATGAATAGCTTCCATGTCAACGCCCTTGAAGTTTTGTTGCTCAATGATTCCATATGCAGTGATGCAATCTGTTGTCGACTCGCCAGGCTGTGGCGGTGGAAGGCTCTGACAATCATATTGGGCTACAAAAGCTACAGCGAGCGTCAAGTCGTCCTTTTCCATACTGCTTCCAGTGTATATCCCTGAATGAGCGCCGATGTTGTCTATTAACATAGAGTTTGAGATAACTAGCATGTCAAACGGTAGGCCGACCACGGCATTCTGCTTGCATGATGACGAATTAGTCAGTTGTCTCTGGATGTTCCCAGAACAGCAGCAAAGAGCCTCCGATACAGTGGGAGGCGAGAGCGAGTTAAAATAATGCTGCACGGACGAATCACTCGCGAGAGCGGGCTCTCTTCTTGCCTCTTTTAGTAACAGTTCCACTTCGGCCGCAAGCGCTGTAATGCGATGCTCGGCAGCAATCAATTGCCTCTGAGATTCTGCCAATTCAGCTTCAAGAGTAGATATATGAGTCTTGACTTTGGCCCGATATCTCCGCTGGTTGTTCCGAATTCGAGTCGCCTTTTGTTTTGGAGATTTGGATGACCATTTGGATAGCATGGTTGAAGGTGGGGAACCAGGCATTGTAGATACTTCTTCGACCTTTGGACGGCCAAGCAAGTCAATCATTTGCCGCAATATTGTTTTTATGCTTGTCCATGTGAAAACAGACCTTGCAGTAAGACGGAGAATTTAGAAAGAGAGTTTGTTTCTTCCATCTAGGGCGTCAAAGAGACGCAAGCGGTGGAGGTGCGATGACATACCAATTTCTTACTATTTTCAGAATAGCGCAGGCGTTGTCTACTACGACACTAAAAGCCCAGATGCCGAGAGAAGTTCTTAATTAGGCAGGAAATGAGTGACTCTCCATATGATCACGCGCCGGGCCTGTGTAAGTCATCCTCCAAGGCTTCACAAGGCGGCTATATTGATGGATAGAAATGTCGAGTTCGGGTATAAAAAGGCCATAGTGTTTCTTCAAAGAGGCTATCCTTCAAAGCCATCACGAAACAGCGCTAACTGGTATCTCAAACCATCAACAATGAACGTTCAAGACATCTATGCCGAAGTTGACAAGCGGTACTCTGCCGCTGCAGGAGGAGTAGAAGCTTGGTATGCCGATTCTGTAACGAGAGCGTTTGGGTACACAAAGGAAGAGTTGTCAGGGATTCTTCAGGATGCCAACTTGGGTCTCTCTTGTGGCAATCCTCTCGCGATCGCGACCCTGCGTGAAGTGCGTAATTGACGAAGCAAGAATCTATGTTTAAAATTATTCATTACGAGTATACAGGGAGAGACCGTGATTGATCTTGGAAGCGGTGCTGGTTTTGGTGCCTTTCTCGCCGCGCGAAAAGTAGGGTCCAGCGGCAGGGTCATTGGCGTGGACATGAACGAGGTAAGCTTAAAATCCCACAATCATGAGCTGTCTATCTAACAGATTTTACATAGGATATGCTTAAAAAGGCAGAAGCACTGAAGGCTTTATGGGGCCAGAAAAATGTCGAGTTCGTACAGTCTCAGATCACACGCATTGCTCTTGAAGACGGCATCGCGGATTGCATCATCTCCAACTGTGTCATCAATCTTGTCCCCGAAGAGGAAAAGCAGCTCGTCTTTAATGAGATGTTCCGTCTCTTGAAACCAGGCGGACGGTTTGCCATTTCAGACATCCTTGCCAAGGGCCCACTGCCGGATGCTATCAAGAGGAGCATGGCTTTGTACGTCGGCTGCATTGCCGGAGCAAGCGAGTTGTGGATGTACCAGAAGTATCTGAAAGAAGCCGGCTTCAATGGTTAGTGAAACGAGGCTCTTAGATGAAAATATTTCTTGCTGACCGGGTGATTGACTAGGCATCATCATACAGGATTCAGGAAACGACTTGAATGTCTATCACAATGAGACATCCGATAACTGCAGTAACGGTCTCTCTACTTGCAACTCTGGTTCTACGGAACAGGACAGAGGTTGCTGCACAGATGCTGATTGCAGGTTGACAGAAAGCGACGCGGTCAACGTTCGAGACATTGACTTCAATGAATGGACAGGTAAGTTGATTCTTCTCATTTCTGCTATCTCCATGAATTAAAAAGTTCCCATGGCTTCATACAAGATATTTGCTGTCAAAGATTGATGGCCCATCACACATTCATATTGGAGATTGCACCTCGGGTTGCAATGGGACCATTGTGAGAATTGCGTAATTCGACTGATCCTTAACTACCAATGGTCTAGATACGTACGCATTTATAAATTCAATTGGGTGATCACACGCCGAATTCCGATCAGCTATTTTTTCCCTAACGATAATCGCATCCGGCGGGCGCAATCTTGTTCCGTCAAGACTCAGCGTCGAATGACTCTTGTGTAAGCCAAGAGAGTCTACACTTTCATCGTCTCCTTTTGTCTTCCCTCTTCGCGTTCACTATATCGATCTCCAAAAACCTCAAAATGAGGGCGCATGACAATTGTGTATTTTACCAGCTCCTCCATGCAATCCACAAGACGATCGCGATTTGAGCTGGGAATCATGCGACTACCCTCTGCCTCAGACGTAAACTGGGTATAGGCTTTGGGAACAGAACTCTGATTCGCTATGGTAAACATGCGCATCCAGCGTCCCAGAATCCGTAACCACTTGACAGCGTTGAACGACTGTGAGCCACCACTGACCTGCGCAATGGCCAGGGTCCTGCCTTGAGTAGGCCGTACGGAGCCAGACGATAACGGAATCCAGTCTATCTGTTGTTTGAACAGACCCGTCTGCTAGATTTTAGAACTTACTGCACTGCCAATCTTATACAATATATAAACTCACCAAGTTTCCGTGCTGTTCCGGACTCACCCAAAGGTGCCCATCGCTCCATTTACTCAGCTCACGCAGTTCTTGAACTTTTGGGTGGTCATGCTGCACATCATCTTTTTGGGGCAGTCCAGATGGATTATACACGCGGACATCACATCCTAGACTAAACAAAATACGTGATGCTTCATAGGCTAAAAGGCGAGAAAACGATCTGTGTCGCTGTGTCAGTAGCGAAATCTTGGAACGAAATTCGCCAGTGCGCTCACCTGTTCCTCAAACTTCCGTATAAAACGAGGATTCGGAGGCGATCTTGCTTTATATCGAGAATTTCTGACTCAACCATTTTCAAGGTTGTAGCTAATTCCAAATTCGCAATCCAGTCGTCATCTATAGCTGTGGGCAGTAAGAACGGCCGGTACTGTTCCCGAACAGAGGCTTCATCTTCGTGGGCATCGATGGCTAGCGACTTATTACTATAATTTGGGTCAACCTCTAGTATGGTAGTCGCCCTAGCAGCGTGGGTATTGTTCAAGTCTCCGTGCCCGTTCATGATAAGACGAGCTCGCGATAGAGAGCGTCTTCTTGGCTCTGGATAAATATTTCCAAATCTCAAGCAAGGTCGTATGTGATGGCGTAATAATGTCAAATTTCGGCTATGATGGGTAATAGGACCACAGAGGAAGTTATTACGATTCATTACTTGGACGCCGAGGCGGAACCGGCTTCACTGTAGCCAAAGAGCACCGTCGTATCCCGTATTTTTATATGCTCGAGTCAACATGAGTATTTGGCGCTAATAATAAAGGCCGCTTCGCTAACCGACAGGCTTACTGGGGCTCATTGATGATAAATCTACGCCTTATTCATTCTTTTGATGCTCCACCCCATTCAATGCCTGATCCCAGACCAAGAAATAGCCTTGTAGAGTGTATTGGTGGCAGATGACATACAATATTCATTATCTCTGTAAAATAACTAAGCAAGTGCTTCTTTCTTTGAACAAAGGGTCAGCATTTCTATGGCTTCGCACCATCAGTGGTCTAAGCAATCCTAAGCAATCCTAATGGCTCTCCCAGTAAGCATGGTCATAGCCATCAATACATTCTACGTATTCAGCGCCTCCTTTCGCCCATCCTTTAACTCCTTCCAGGAGAATAAGGCTCTGAGTATTCGTATCTCCTTTCTCTTCTAGATAATCGCCAAACCAGCAAGCAGCACGGGTGCCCCGGCCACGAGAGGATGCTATCCATTTCGAGTTGTTAGTCCGAGTATCACCCCACCAAACCAAGGATAAACCTACAGCAGTACCATATGACCCTCCGAATTCCGGCGGCTTTGACCAGATTGTAGACTGCTGGCAGAGCTGGGTATAAACTTTGCGCGGGAAGATTGATGGAGCCCCGGATAGTGCCACCCTGGGTTCGGGATCTCGTCAGTATAGAATAGCCGATTTCGAGCTATTGGAGGCTATAACATACTTGATGATCAGTTCTCCTTAGATCAACCAGCAAGTAGTCTCTCCCAGCCACACTTTCGTCTTCTTTCATCATCTTAAGGACTTCTCCCCGCGTCGTTGTCTCGGGCTCTTGTCTCTTCGGCGAGGGAAAAGCTGCGTGCCAAGGCACCTCAGGTGCATTCACCGAAGCCATTATCTCTCGGCAAAATAATTTCTTGATAGAAATGGTCCTAAAACTCAGAAGTCGTTGATACAATGGCGACATCTAGTCACGAAGAAGGACTCCTAAAAAGTCTCACTGCAGCAAGTCATAAATGTCACATCTATTGGAGGCTTCCTGTTCCTGGAGAGATGGTCGAGCATCCAATGACAGCTTGGGGGTGTGACAACCCCATCTGGAACGTCTTGGCACTTTCGACAAAACTAAAGCAAAAGAGGACAAAATAAGCGGTGAAATATTCGGAGAGTCATTGTCATTATCAGTGTGACTGAAGAAAAATCCCACATCTCTTCAAGAGGCAGATTTGCGTTAGTGGACCGTAGGGAGTGTGTCAGGCCCCGCGTGCGATTGGCTGGCCTTCCCTGGTGTCATGTTGTGGCTACTCGTGCATGTAGTTTCCCTAGGTTTTTAGTAGCATACGATAAACAATCAAGGTCTCTCGGGCCAAGCCATTGTTCAACATTCAAGCTGAATCATGCGCTCGGATTACATACTAAGACATCTTTATTCCCAAGTTTAATACTTTCCATTCCACGTAACCAATCTTGAAGTCTTCAAGTGGCTGATCAATGCTGCTCGAGCCATATTCGCTGGGGATAAATCGCTTGGCCCCAGCCTGGATTGCCGCATCGACCATGACTTTCTGAGCTGCGATGGGCGGCCCAGCAGCCACGGCACTCACCACTGCCTCCTTACCCGTAAGTATCTCAACAGGTGACTCGTACGTATAGTCATTGGTCACGAAAGTCACGCCATTGGCTTCCTTTGGATTCGAGCCTAGACTCCGCGTCACGACTGTAACGTTGAAGCCTGCGTCTATCAAAGCTTTAACAATCGGCCGACCAATTCGGCCAGTTCCCTAAACGCCAGTAAGTTCTTAGTAAGCTGTTCACAACTGTAGCGATAGAAGGGCACGTCTTACGCCGAGAACTGCGATATTGCGAAAACTTGCCATTCTTATGCAGTTACGAACAGAAATCTTCCAAGGTTGTAATCACTGTCTTGTTGTCAATTGAAGTTGAACCGTGTTTGTGAACTCTACGTTCAATAAACTACAACGCCCGTTATTTATACCGGGGGCTTCTCCCCATATACAAGCGGCAACTACAACAAACGGTCAACCAACAGTCAACGAGTATCGTATGAGTTACGTATACCAGAAAGATCATTTGATGACGCAAGCCTACAGTCTTTGGAATCTTAAAGATCTTTGGAATCTTGGCGGCTACAAAGAGTGTGCCTTGCCAGCTATGTCGACATGGGAAAGGAGCCGTGTCTTACATTCAAGCATCATCTATTACAGCTCTACGCCAAACGGTTAGCCATAGCTTGAGTAGTCAGTCACAGCCACCTCACAATAAACTCCGCATCAAACTCCGCATCATCAGGTCAGATAGTTCAAAGCCATCAGCGAGAACATGCAACATAGGTACATATAGGCGTGATCTTGGCCCAGTTCCGCGGTGCTGTTTTTTCTTTCAGCTATTACTATTATACAACTAGACTCATTATCAACACTCGCTATGGCAGCAAACACTTTTCATCCATCGACAATGCGTGCTTGGACATTCAGCAGCGGCGGTACGCCAGAGAAAGTCTTGTCTTTCAACCAGTCTTTCCCTGCACCCGCAACCCCAAAGGGCTCCAATGTCCTGATCAAAATATCTCACGCTTCACTCTCTTCTCCAGGGTCAAATCTAATGAGAGACATTCCGTCTCTTTTGAGGAAAAACGCAATACCGGAACTCGACTTTTCTGGCCGCGTGGTCTTGGCTGGCCCTGATGTTCCAGCTGAATTCGCTCCAGGCGTGGCTGTGTTTGGTACTGTTTCTAAATCTGGCAGTATCATTCATAACCAGGGAACGCTGGCCGAGTATATTGTGTTGAACGTTAATTGTATCGCCGTCAAGCCAAGCAATATAACATTTGCAGAAGCCGCTTGTCTCAGCTGTCTCGGGCAAGTCGCACTGGAAATGGTCCGTCAGGCTAAGATCAAAAGCGGCGATCGAGTTCTTGTCAATGGGGGTAGCGGTGCTGTAGGAGCAGCTGCTATCCAGCTCTGTAAGGACTTGGGTGCCTTCGTCGTGACAACTTGTTCCACCAAAAACGCCTTTAGGATGAAGCAGTCCTTAGGAGTAGATGAGGCAAGTTGGTCTGATTTCATCTTCGCTACCGACACAGAGAAAGACTAACCTCTCCCTCGCCAAGATGCAGGTTATTGATTACGCTCTAGTCAAGTCCATACCTGTTGCCCTTGAGAACTCCTACAGCGCGAGCCAGTTTGATGCAATCCTGGATACGGTAGGCTCTCGAGAATTGTTTCTGCGATGCCCAAAGTATCTCAAGCCTGAGGGCATATTTATCAACGTCGGCGACGGCAACGAAGGTCAACTTAGTCTCATTCTACACACGCTTCAGAATGTGTTACAGCCGAGTTTCTTAGGCGGCGTGCCGAGGCGATATATGACATTCAGCGCGCCGTTGAATGGGAAGAATGCAGCGCACCTTGGAAACTTGGCTTCGAAGGGCAAGATGATGGTGTTCGTTGACTCAACATTCTCGTTAGAAGACGTCATTAGCGTAAGATTCCGATATGACCGCGTCTTGTGTGTGTTTATACTAACACGGTTTCAAGGGATACAAACGCTACAAAGGTGGTCAAGCTCAAGGCAGAGTTGTCATTGACATAGCTAATATGGATACACAAGATCAGTAAAGTTGCATTCTGTTAGCACTGCTGGTTTAAGATTCTCGTCATATTTCTCCGTCCCAAGACGCGAATGAGGAGATGCCGTAAGAGTAACGGGCTCATTGGTGATTCCTGCGGAGCGGAAATCAGCTCTCCGCATGACAAAGGCTTGATAATTCAAGACACATGGCCACGTCACTGTAACAGAGAAGTTATGAATGGATCACACAGCAGAGAAGAAAAGTAAAGCTCTTCATCCCCCTGAGCACCTCTCCAAGCGGCCGTCAGCTTTGATACCCCCCGATTGGCTAGATCGGAACACCCTTCTTTTTTTTTCCCTTTTTTGGAAGTTGTACTATTTTAGTCCAGCTTAGATGGTGGAAGAGAGAACAGGGAGAGGATGACTGAGTTTATTAATCTCACTTGTAAAATGAAACAATTGCTTTCGAGGGTAGCTCAAGTATTCCAGTGCAATGGCTGTTTTCTTATGTTCAACCTAGACTTGGTAAGACCAGAGTGAAATGGATACCGAAAGGCAAGCTGCTATTGTGATGAACCTCCTTACACAGACTATACTTCCGATCCGATTGGAGAGAAGCGGCTCAACGGTTCGATCGGGGCCATTGTATAGATATCTAATGATTGCATTCATCCCAATGGCCTTCTTGTTCAACGGCAAATTAAAGTCTCGCTTTATAGCCGTGCTTTTCCAAGCCGGATATCAGCATGATGTCTCATTTTCGGAATCTACATGCATACGCGATCCCACTACTCCGTAGACCTCAAGAACACAACCTGAATTAAACGGTCACCAAGCACATACGACCATAGGTAGTGGAGAACTCGGGGTCCCGTCTGCTCCCCCATAGATAAGCCACTAACCGGCAGATTAGTAGTTGAGTGGGTGACCATCAGCGAACACCGGCTGTTGTATGTTTTTTTGCATTTTTTTTCCTATCTGTTGTTTCTTTATTAATGCTCCTTTGCTTCTGCATGTATGCCCTCATGCTACCTATCGACCACGGCGTTTTGAAGTTTCAAGGGGGGAGTTTGAAGTTTCAAGGGGGGAGTAATTTTCGCACACCTGGGCAGTCTGTTGCGAGAGTGGACTGTCGACGCAATCTTATTCCTACCAGCTACCGCCGTATGTTTTAATCTGCGTTCCAAACAAACTGTTGCTCAGCTCCAAGGGTTAATAGTAATACATGATTGCTTCAGAATTTGCCAAGTATGTGCCATGTTGGTGGCGTCTCAAGGATGTCACCCGACCGAGCTCACATACAGGAATGAGATGAAGTAGAAGAGAAAAGAATCCCTGTTTTGAGATGGGAACACACACATTACAACTCTCCAGCAAAGCCTCCATTTGCAGCGAAACGCAGCTGGTATTCCCTCAAGTCGGCCCAGTGTCGCAGCTCTTCTTCCTCATCTTCCGCTGTCATCTGAAGCGGGTCTGGTGCACGGGTCTCTCCCACGGGACCTGTCTTTTCGAGCTTCATAAGGACTTCAAGAAGCTGAGAAAGGGCCTCTTCTGACTTGATGGCAAACGGGCCCTTCCTTTCGGGGGCATCGTTTAGGAGGGTGGACGCAACCTGACGAATCTTGTTGATGAGGGATCCTCCATTGGGTTCGAGATTTCTCTGCGAGATGGATCCTAGCACCGTCAGGAGGTTTTGAACAATGATCTCTCGCTCAGCAGACATGAATTCCAAAATTTCCTTGTCATCTTCTTGAATGGCCTTCTCCTCTTCGCTTGTACCTTCGACTTCGAGAGTTTGTTGCTGCTCGCTCAGATGGACATCTCTCAGGTTGAAGTACAGCTCCACAAAATATGACCTTGTGGCCAGTTGCGATACAAAAATGTTAGCCTTTTGTATCTCATACTGAAGTTGCCGGCGCCTCGTAGGTTGCGTTTTGATGATGTTGCGCACATCGTGTGGTGGCTGCGTGTTGGGCCACACTGGTGGCACGTACTGGAGGCCGGAATCCTCCATGCCAGCCAGAGGATTCGTTTCGTCTCCGGAATTGCCCAGCTGGAGCTCTGGTGGTAGATTATCAATGATGCTTTTAGCAGCCAAAAGACCATCCCTGAGGAGGAGTCTCTGGTCTGCCCAAGGAAGAGTGCTCATGCCGTACGCTAGCTCCAGGCTGACGACGCCATTCATGGTTGTGTAGATGTCAATACCGAACCGAAATCCAGTAAGAAGCGTGACACTACCCTCTGCTTGGTGAATGATTTCGTTTGCAAGAACACAAATGTCATCCACGTTCTCGGGATACGCTGGATAGGGAAGGCTGGGGGTTGATGGGGCAATAACGATATCGGTATGGGATGCGCCGAGCTGCGAGAACGAGCTATCGATGAAGTTAGCGGGCAATCGATGGACAAAGAGAGATGGGCATGAGCAAGAAGCCTTACCGAACGCCTAGCAGCAGGCACCAAAAGATACGCTTGCCAATCTGGTCCTTAACGTGATTGAACGGCATCGATTCAGGAGCAAAGCTGTCACTCCCAAAGGTAGGCAGCTCTCCTGGGTGCTTGGGCCTGCTAAAGCCGAGTTCTCTGAGCAGAGTCAGAGTTTCGGCCATGAAGTGGCGAGATGCATTCCACTGCAAGGTGTAGCCGGAAGCCAAGCCAAGAAAATAGCTGGTGGCGGCGTCGTCCAGCGTTTTGGGTTGTTTCAAAACCCATCTGCTCCCACGCGTAAGAAGGGCAATGTCGCGACATTTTTCAATCATGACAATGGCCTTGGGGAACAAATGCGTGCTGTGTTGCGCCTTGAGATGCTCTCTCGCACTGCGCGGAAACGATGCCACCAAAGTACCAATCATGCTGGCCAGCAATCCCAGGAACTCGGGCTTCAATCGATCCTCTCGATTCGCAAAGGACTGTCGAAAGGTGGGTTCGTGGGGAAATGGCGCAAGCGGATGAATGTATGTGAAGAAATCATCCACCAGGAGCTCCAACACAGGCATTGGCGCAATCGCCTCTGCATCCAAGACGCCATCGGTCGATATCGTCATGAGCGTCTTAGCAGCATTCTGAGGCGATGGAGACGAGGGGAAGCCAGGGGGGGCAACGGTCTGATCGATGCGAGCTCTCTTGGCCGCCTTGGCAGCTTCAGCATGCTTATTAGGCGGTCCGCGTCTCTTGGTCTCGCGATTAAAGGTACAGTCCACGCCCAGCTCGCGGCAAGGGCGACAAGGCATGTTAGAGTCGTCGCACTTGACCTTGCGCATGCTGCACATGTCACAGGCGCGTCGGAGTCGCGTCAGCTTGGGGTTGATGGTGGGATCCCGCATGACGCCTCCCGGCCCGGCCACGAGATGCTGCTGAAGCTGTCCCGGCGCCAGCTCGGGCGCGGGCGCGATAGGCACGCCGACGGCATGGGACTGGGCGACAGCTTCGGCAGCGGCATTCTGCAGAGGATGGTGATTCTGGATGGCCTGAGCAGCATCGCTGGCCGCCTGCAGGATCTCCAGCCCATTGCTGGCGTAGGCGTGGGCTGTAGCGTGCTGCGACGGCGACGGTGGGGGAGATGCCGACATGGCGAGAACGACGAAGCGAAGCTGTCGTCGCGATGGCTGATTGTCGGCGGATTCCCGGATGTTGTGGGTTGTTGAAGCGAGGTGACGCCGATACCGAGACGCAAGCGAGAGGAAGATTGGGGGGGATGGAGGTATGAGATCACGTGATGTGTCATGATGTGCCATCTGGTACAGGGTAGGCCAAGTTGATGAGGTGTTGCATTTTGGCATTTTGGCATTTGGTTCGACATTGATGTAGGATTTTGATTCATTCTCGGAAAAATATGCAGCTTGTTATTTTCCATTCACATATATCATTCATATTATCGACTTGTCCCGTGGTTATGAGCTTTGATTGGTAAAGCTGTCAGACTTGGTGTTTTGACGTTTGCATCTGCGCTTCCTACGAAAATCAAACCACCGAGAAAAAAAAAATAAGGGAATCAACATACACCATTGTGATAGATACGCCTTCATCTACAAAAAAACCAATTTTTACTGGCACAAGAGGAGAAGCAACAGGCCGTTTCTCTTACGTGTTCCTTCTACCCAACAATGCAAGAGTTTTTGCTTGCCCGTAGTACTCACAGCACATCTTCGGTGTCAACAGCAAAAGCAGCACTAGTTGAAAAGACGGTCCAAAATCCACGCGTAAGCTTGACGTAGTGGCCGTACAAACCTGCAACGTGCTTGTCATACTAGTGTCGTTTCGGAAGTGAGCAGTATCGCTGTCAACGATTTTAACTACTCGCAGATCGGCTTCTGTGCGAGCCGATCAACGGCTGTCGTGACGCGCGACATTTTCTCCCTCCCTAGCTTCTCTCTGGCTGGAAAAAAGTCACTCGCATCCACATCTCTGTCGAGTGAAGTGGGTAATATTGGGTGTGCGCTTCAAAAAAGCACGTGAAAAAAGCTCCGTCCATCTCGCCACTGTTTTGCTTCTGTACTGTATGTACAGGAGGTTCATTACGAGTGCAAGTTTTGCTTGATTGATCATGGCCATCGAGTTGCCGCGTCAGAGACATTTGAATTTAATCAAGCATACAGGTAGTCAAAATCGCTGTGATGGCCCCAGAAGTGCATATGCGTGTATCTGACAGGACGTTCTGCTCCGACACTCTGCTCCGGAGCTTCTCTGCATCATTAGCAACATGCTTCTTAAACGCACAGCTGTGGGTATTTTAGCGGCATGGCTGTCAGGGACGGGCAGGATCGGTGACAGGCATGGAGCAATGAATTCCTTCCAACCCAGTGTAAGCCCTGGTAGGCTACTCGGATTTTCTTTGTTGTCTAAATTGACACCGTGTTGAGCCGGTGTAATTTGTCCATGTGTGTATGTGTAGCGTTGCATCCAACAGTTACTCCGTGCCTGAGCCCACCTGCAAGTATTTCAGCCTTGAAAGCTGGCAGCCATACGAGCGCCCAGACACCAAAGGTATGAGCTGAAATTAACCAGAGAAATGAAATTATTTTCATGGGAGTCACATGCTGCGGGTTCATCTACTCATTCACCGCCGCCCGTCCCAGGTCTGGTTTACACGCACAAGCGCAAGCTGTCTTCTCCTGAACGAGCTCCTTTTCCCTGACCAGCGGCAAAAAGGGGTGGCCTTCATCGGCCTGGGGGAAGAAGCACTGGTCGCTCCCCCGCTGAGCTACTGCTACTCCGTACGGAGAATCTCCGCTGGATCCAACCGCAGCCTCGCTATGGCATGGAGTCGTGGGCGCTCCTCCGTATTCTGGGCGTGCCTTTTGCTTGGTGAATTGCCATGAACCATTCGGCCCCATTCGCTGTTCTATTTCGTTTTCCGAGGCTTGTGCTGGAACTGCCTTAGTGCTGCTCCACTGCCCAGGTTGCCAACCAGCTTCATTTCATTAGCACTTGTTGGCTACCTAGCTAGAGGTCATAGACTGCGTGCTGGCGTCCACGTCCGTCGTCGGCCCAGGCAGGGCTTTTGTGTTCGGGGAAGTCGAATACGCGTTGAAGGCCACAGTAAAGTTGTCAGCGCCTACCGACGTGTTCGACCTGCTCTCGTAGACGGACAAAGAGGCACATTCGAAGCAATGCCTAGATTTTCATTCGGCCCGAGGGACCTTTATGTACATCCTTTCTGGAAATCCCCTCTTTGAGTGAATTTATGGACGGACGTGGTGAAGAGAGGAGCATCTGGTTGGGTGTGAAGCCGTTCTAACGGTTGCGTGCGGGCTGAGGTTGTGAGAATCTCGACAGCGTTGCACCGTGTGCCATTAATAGCTTAGGTAGAGCTTGGCCCTCTCTTTATACGCGCAGCACAAGTACTACTACCAAGGTACGGAGGATACTACATAACTTGATATGTGTATCCTTGTCCTTTGCAAATGGTAAATGCCCCTCAGTAATGTTGTTGTCGCCCAGGTTCGCAGAAAGCTGTAGAACAAGCTTCGAACGAGCCACGGCTGACAAGGGGCCACGACCCGCTGCTGGAGCTCCCGATAGGGCGACGGCACAAGTCACAGGTCATGGACTCGAGTTCAAGGCAATTGACGGAAAGGAGATAACGCTGGGACGCCCCTAGAGGCACCAAGTACTAGTATCGCTGTTAAGCCACACCTTTTTATCGTCCAAGTGTCAACGGTTCCCTCTTGGTCTTTCTCCCTGCACCTCGCACACTTCACTAGCAGCGAAGCGATTTGAATTTTGAACTCTTCACGTATCGATACCAAGCGCGGAAGACGGAGTTCCTTGCGCCGATAGCCCCAGGTCCTCTCAGCTCACATCCCTTTGACTCCTACAGCCTCCCTTTTCTTCAACGTGAGACATCTCGGACTGGCCCAGGCAACTCGGTACTACGAGAGCTCAGCTCGTTGCTTTGCCCTCCAAGTAACAGCACCCCGCCATCGCATTCAGGATTCCGCACCAAGTATCAAAAGCGTTTAGTACCAAAGTAAGATACCTGCCACCCAACGCCCACTTCCGCCTGTTTGCCAGTAGCTGACTTTGTACCCCTCCCCCTCCTCCAGACTTCCTCGAGACATTGAAGCTCTACGAAACCACCAGAACCATCGTCGATCTTTGCGCGCAACGGCACAATGGCGCGCCGTGAGTCTCTCTCAGAGATTCGCGCTGCCAACCCCGAGCTCTCCTTGACTGGGAACATCATCTCTGCGACGTTCAACATCCCCCATGCTGTGACATACCACAAGGGCGGCGCCTGGGTGAGTGCGTTTTCGAGGTTGATTTTGCGGTTTCGAGGAAGAAGCAAGCCTAGAGATGTGAAGCTCTACTGCGCAGAACGCATAGTTTTTGACGCTGACGCCAGCGAGCTTTCCCGACTCTTCGCTCTTCGCTCTTCGCTCTTCTTGACCTCTTGATCCTTTTTCTTCTGATTGAATATTTTATCCTCCCATCGCCCAACTGTGACCATCTTTGATATTGACTCGCTTCGCAATACAGGATCTGAAGCCCCGCCGTGGTCAGTCGGCTCTCATCGACTCCTTCGCCTATCTCTCGTCCGATGCGACGCCATGGAATCATACAGTCGTCGCCTGGACAGGCGAGATTGGAAACCCTGACGACGACCCGCTCTCCCCCCCAGATACGCCTTCAGCTGCGGCTACCGCCATCGCAGCCGTGAGTTCGCTGTCGGCTCCCGTCCCGATTGACGCCACCACACGACTGCCTACACCTCCCCCAGTCGATGGACTCTGGGTACCTAAGGGAGACCAGACGCGACTGGAGCAGCAGCTGGCCCATAGCAAAACCATTCGCACGGTGCCTGTTTGGCTTGCCGACGAGAGCGAGGCCACTGACGATGGCATCATGCTCAAAGACCAGGCCCGTTGGAGGCGCTATGCTGAGCATGACCTCTACACTCTCTTCCATTACAAGCAGCACGAGCCTACAGATGGCCGCAAGGAGCGCGCCCAGTGGGCCGACTACTTCCGCATGAACCAAAAGTTTGCCAACAAGATCATTGAGATCTACAAGCCCGGTGATGTGGTCATCGTTCACGACTACTATCTCATGCTATTGCCTAGCATGCTACGCCAGCGTGCCCCAAAGATGTACATCTCCTTCTTTCTGCACTCGCCGTTTCCCAGCAGCGAATTCCTTCGATGCTTGCCTCGTCGTAAAGAGGTGCTCGAGGGCATCCTTGGCGCAAATCTCGTGGGATTCCAGTCGTACAGCTATTCGCGCCACTTCCTCAGCTGCTGCACGCGCATCCTCGGTTTCCCATCTGACACCCTTGGCATCGATGCGTACGGCTCCAGAGTCCAGGTCGGAGTCTTCCCCATCGGTATTGATGCCGACAAGGTAGAAAACACCGCGTGGGCGGATACGGTCAATGAGAAGCACGCCGCGGTGCTCAAGATGTACGAGGGCAAGAAAATCATCGTCGGCCGAGATCGCTTGGACAGTGTCAGAGGCGTGGCTCAAAAGCTTCAGGCGTTTGAGCGCTTCTTGGAAATGTATCCTCACTGGAGAGAAAAGGTGGTGTTGATCCAGGTCACATCGCCCACCAGCGTCGAGGCTGAAAAGGACGACCCGGAGAACAAGAATGCCAGTCGAGTCAACGAGCTCATCATCAAGATCAATGGTGAATATGGCAGCCTTGGCTTCTCGCCAGTGCAGCATTACCCCCAGTACCTCAACCAGGCCGAGTATTTCGCCCTGCTTCGTGCAGCAGACATTGGCCTCATCACGTCGGTGCGCGATGGCATGAATACGACCAGTCTCGAGTACATTGTTTGCCAAAAAGACAACAACGGCCCTCTCATTCTGTCGGAGTTTAGTGGAACAGCGGGTAGTCTCCGCGATGCAATCCACATCAACCCCTGGGATATCACGGGCGTGGCGGAGAAGATCAACGCGGCACTGACCATGTCTGCCGAGGAGCGCACCAAGATGCAGACCAGCCTCTACAACCACGTCACGACGCAGACCGTGCAGTCGTGGATCACCAAATTCGTCCGCAAGGTGCACTCTGTGCTGGCCGAAACCAACTCGAGCAAAGCAACGCCCTTGCTTGATCGTGCCCTCTTGCTGTCTCGCTACCGCTCTGCGACGAAGCGCTTGTTCATGTTTGATTACGACGGCACCCTGACGCCCATTGTGCGCGAACCGAGCGCGGCGGTGCCCTCGGAGCGCATCATCCGGTACTTGAAATCCCTTGCCGCTGATACTAAGAATTCGGTTTGGATCATCTCGGGCCGAGACCAAGAGTTCCTCCAGCAACATCTTGGCCACATCCCCCAGATTGGGTTCTCCGCTGAGCACGGTAGCTTCATGAAAGACCCCGGCAGTGAGGAGTGGATCAACCTGGCGGAGAAATTCGACATGGGCTGGCAAGCAGAAGTCATGGAGGTGTTCCAGAGATACACGGACAAGGTTCCAGGTGAGTTACAGGTTGATTTAGAGTTACCACAACAGTACACTCTTGCCATTGGTAGAAGAAAAAACAAGCTAACGCGGCATCCTAGGTTCTTTCATAGAGCGAAAACGTTGTGCCCTGACCTGGCATTACCGACTTGCCGAGCCCGAGCAGGGCTTGCACATGTCACGCGAGTGCCACAAAGAGCTGGAAGCTGGAGTGGGCCAGAAGTGGGAGGTCGAAGTGATGCCGGGCAAGGCCAACATTGAAGTGCGCCCTACCTTTATCAGCAAGGGCGAAATTGCCAAGCGACTGGTGGCCACCTATCACAACCCGGGAGCTGCGCCGACGGAGAAGGATCCTAACCCCGGAAAGATTGAGTTTGCTCTCTGCTCCGGAGACGACTTTACGGATGAGGACATGTTCCGCAGTCTCAACGGGGCATCGGGTACGATCCTGGATGATCAGCACGTCTTTACGGTTACTGTGGGGGCAAGCACCAAGGTGACGCTCGCCAAATGGCATCTGCTGGAGCCCGAAGATGTGATTGAGTGCGTGGGACTGCTGGCCGGTGCCGGTGACCCAGCCAGTCTCGAGCGTGTGGGAGAGGTGAATCTGGCAGCTCTCAGCACAGTAGAGGGACACATCCCGGCCGAGGAGCTGTGAAGAACGACTTCTCATCGCATTTTTCTTTTTCTTTTTGATTTCTTTTTCTTTTTACATTGCAGCATGTTCGTTTCATTGCAAACTACGGAGCTGTTGCCCGAAAAAAAAGTTGAGCTTTCACAAGACGTTTGGAAGCTTTGGGAATTTCACAACGATTGCACTTTGACGATGAGAGACGCCGGGTGGGATGTATAGAACAGGTAATAGAACGAAGGATGGCGCGTGGCGTACGGGGCTAGTAATAACCTTGAGGTGAAGAGTAACTGAGGATGGAAATGCAGAGCAAATACGGGACAAAGGGTGCTGCGGCCATGCCGGCCAATCTGAAACGGAAGACATTTGTTGACTGGCAAAGTAGCTATAGCATTGGCCGTTTCATTTAGCACGGAATATAAGACAAAAGTTTAAAATCGACATGCTGTTTGAAAGTGGCTGAATCGGGTCTCAGAAGGGACATCGATGATCTTGCAATGGCATTGGCACTAATCAAGAATGCTTGTGGCTTTCTAAGATATTGGGCATGAAGTGCGGAATTGGGACAAGCTGAGTTGAAGACACAAGGCTAAGCGTTGTTGGCCATTGGCTAATGGAGAGCCTCTTGCAGAGGTGGCTGCCACGAGAGGCGGCCTTGAACGTGCTTTTGACAGTGTCCTGACCACGCTACACTGTTGATCTAGAAATGCCACTTTGGCGTTTAGACAGCACCGCACGTGCGTGGCGGCAGTAGGCGAATCCGACGGCGAATTACGAGGCAGATCTTTGCAATTGGGCTTAATTGGCTGTGGAAAATATCATGGTGGAGGCAAAGACGGGCTGAAACTCTCTGGCCTTTCTTCGGCAGCCCGACTTTTTTCTGTTTCTAAATAACTGGGGATTTCTGGTGGCCTTTGCGGGATCCGGACAATGTCACACGCCCGCTGTTCTGATTCGGCCTGTAGATGTCGTGTGATGGATGGCACAGAATCTGGAGAAGGGCAGAATAGGAAAAGAGGCCGCTGAACTCTATTCCGGGGGACCCGAGGCGTTGGCGGGAGGTGGGAGGGAGGGAGGATGGGATGGGCAGACGGTGATCTGGTGTTTATGCGTATCGTGCGTATTGTTTTGTCAACTTTTGCATGACAGGATGGACCATGACAGCGAAGAAGCGCCGCTGAATCAGCACCAGGCGGATGGGATTTGCATATGCATACACTGAAAAGGGTCATGGGGACGATGCAGATTCCGAGCGACCGCGTTCTGTGGACGGGAAAGGACCGAAAGCAGGACATCTGCTGACTCGGAGATTTTTCTTTCTCGTCTTCTTCCGTTTACTCTTTTCTTTTTCTTTTTCTTTCTTTTTTTTCTTCCCACTGGATTATGTTATGGTACGGGGCCCCGTGGATCCTTCTCTAGACTTCTCTTGTCATGCCTTTGTCAGTATCGACAACCTCAGCCGGGCAAAATGCAGTCGACTTAGTCACCCGTCGAGCCAGCTTAGGCCATGCTTTCGTAGATTTTTCAACCTCTTGTTCTGTAATAGCTCCCTAATATTCTCCGCCCCGTTTCCATGCGGCTCTTGTTCCGCATTGCCCATAACCCCCCCTGGTTGATGCTACAGCACTATCTTGTTCGCTGCTCTTGGCCGCTTGGCCAGTGACAGATGATGTACCGCTAGGACGACGTCATCGGCTGGAAGTGCCGAGGGCAGGCCGCCGGAAGAGACGGTGCTTGGCGTTTGCCCCACTTGCCGGCACCGGGGCGGCAGATACGACGTCATGGGCGCGTGTGTGGGAAGGGGCGAGTGCTGGGTTTGGGTTGGAGAAGGAACTGGGGGACACGAGGGAGGCTGGGGAAGGTGCCATGCTGTTGTGCGCCTGCTGTTTTACTGTTGTACGCTGTTAATACTTGTAACAATCTAAATGAAGTACATCAATGCGATGCGCGTATTATGGAATTGTGAGCGACATTCTTTCATGATAACGGGGATCTGCAAATGCGACTGGCTGGCTTATGCTGAATCATACGCATGTTTTAAGTCTCTGGAGCAAAAAAAAAAAAAAAAAGAAAAAAGAAGAAAAAAATGGAGCCCGAGTATGCCGAGACATGTCCCCAAACAGGAAATCCACCACAGAAAGCAGCAGAAACATGTCATTCCTGGTACTGTACGGACTACTGGTGTACATAAGCTTTCTCGGTGGATCTGCCCTCTGCCTGGTGGAGACTCGGTCAATCGTGATTTTGCTCATCCTCATTCGTCTTCACCTCGCATTTTCTCTCGCCTCTCCCGCGCTCTTCGGGGGTCACCGACCAATCGTGTCACGCGGCCGCCGCCCAAAAACCCGGTTCTTTGTCCTGGTTTGTTTTGTCTTGCCTCTCCACAGCGACTGGAGAAGGCAATGGAGAAAGTCTGGAGAGTAGGACCGAATTGGGCCAGGAGATTCTCGGTATGGTGGGAAGAGCGCCGTGGTTTGTCACCCAATTCGCCCTCTCCGGCCGTTTTTTTTTTTACCTCGCACCTGACTTGCCTCTGCTGTCGGCCGTCCCCAGGATTCGACTCGTTGGAGACTTCCCCGAGCCCGAACCCGTGGGGTGGGGAGACTTTTACCCTCTTCCCCCTTGGGCGTCATGATCCGGGGCTAGCAGCATGCCTTTGCGATGCCTGCTTGTCCACGGCCACCCACCAAACGGCCGGACTTGGGCCGGTCCCACGGTTTCTTGATCGTGACCATATGGCGTGGGTGTTTGGGCTGAATTAGGTCATTGGAGACGGACCGGGCATCAGTGGCGGCCCTGGTCGTGTTGGAGAACATTTATACCCCAATGCCTCCCCCCCCTTCGGTTGACGATCCTGTCTCGATATTGTACAACAAGATACACTACCAAGCATCACTACTACATCATCTGCCACTAGGAAAACAAGCTCCCGGATCAGCAACAACCTCGCTTCTCAGCTCAATTGACACCTCATCTCCTGCACACACATATATCCTACATATAGTCGCTTATACCTCCGCGACAGTCTCCTAACAGAGACATCACATCATCACTGTCGTTTAAGGGCCTTGACACAGCAACCCATATACTTCACAATGCGTTCCAGACGGGGTCGTTTTATGACCATCTACTTCGACCAGCATGACCCTGCGTCGGAGAAGCACAATCCCGACTTTGGTCGACCTTCGGTCTCTGGCCTGGACTATTCTCCTCTGCCACGTGTGACTGGACGGTCCCTCGCCATGGGTGTTTTGGTCTCAATGGGTGGATTGATGTAAGTTGTCGCTTCATTTTGAGCTGGGGCTAATGAACCAAGCTAACCCGTTCCTAGCTTTGGCTACGATACTGGTCAGATCTCTGGCTTTCTGGAAATGCCCGATTTCCTTGACCGGTTCGGTCTCACTCACTCTGACGGCACAAAATACTTTAGCAATGTTCGCTCTGGTCTCATCGTCGCTCTTCTGTCCATCGGTACTCTAATTGGAGCCTTGGTAGCTGCACCCATCGCTGATCGCGTTGGTCGTAAGCCTTCCATTTCGCTGTGGTCTCTGGTTGTATCCGTCGGTTTCGTTATCCAGATTGCATCTATAACGGCATGGTATCAGCTCATGATTGGACGATTTGTTTCCGGTCTGGGTGTCGGTGCCCTGAGTTTGCTTGTTCCCATGTACCAGGCCGAGACAGCGCCCGCCTGGATTCGAGGTGCCATGGTTTGCGCTTACCAGCTCTTCATCACCATGGGCATCTGGCTCGCTGCCTGCTTCAACTACGGCACTGTCAAGCACCAGAGCGGCAACTCGGGCAGTTGGCGAATCGTCATTGGCTTGGGATGGATCTGGACTCTCATCCTCGGTTTCGGTATTCTGCTCTTCCCAGAGACTCCTCGATACGACTTCCGACACGGACATGAGGAGCGAGCCAAGCAGACCATCTGCCGTGTATTCGGCGCAACAGAAAACCACTGGGCTGTCCACACCCAGATTACCGAAATTGAGCGCAAGCTCCGCGCTGAAGACAAGATCCAGCTTGGCCCCATCAAGGAGTTTGTCGGCATGTTCCGAGCTCCCCGCATGGCTTATCGTATCGCCCTCGGCATGACTCTGCAGATGTTCCAGCAGCTTACCGGTGCCAACTACTTCTTCTACTACGGTACCACCATCTTCAAGTCGGTGCAGATCAACTCCTTTGTCACTCAGATCATTCTCAACAGTATCAACTTTGGTGTCACCTTCATTGGTCTGTACATGGTTGAGCACTTTGGTCGCCGCAAGTCTCTCATTGCTGGTTCCATTTGGATGTTCATCTGCTTCTTGATCTTCGCCTCCGTCGGTCATTTCATGCTTGATCTCAACGATCCCTCGTCTACCCCCACACCAGGTGTTGTCCTCATCGTTTTCGCCTGTCTCTTCATCCTTGGCTTTGCCACTACTTGGGGTCCCATGATTTGGACCATTCAGGCCGAGATCTTCCCCTCGCGGTACCGTGCCAAGGGTATGGCTCTCTCGACTGCCAGCAACTGGATCTGGAACTTTTGCATTGGTTTCTTCACTCCATTCATCACTGGCGCCATCGACTTCAGGTATGTGCAAACTCTTTCTTGATAATTCAAGGTGACGTTCTAACAATTAATTTATAGATATGGTTATGTCTTTGCTGCCTGTAACTTTGTCGGAGCCCTCATCATCTATTTCTTCGTCATTGAAGGCCAGGGCCGCACCCTTGAGGAGATCGACACCATGTATCTCGAGCATGTTCTTCCCTGGAAGAGCAGCAAGTGGGTGCCACCTCCTCCCGAGCACATGGCCAACATTCGCAGAAAGGCAGGCGTCGATCTTGATGTCCTTGCCGACCAAGACAGCGACAACGCAATTGCCAACGAGGCTTCGGATAAGCATGTGACTCCTGAAGGCCCGTCCCACCAAGAACACGTCTAAAGGAAATGATGGATTTCATCTTGTAAATAACGCGGTTTATGATTATGTTGGACATTGATGATGGGAGATTGGATATACCAAGTTGATTTGTTGTAGGATAATGGCAGAAGCTGGTGAATAGTTTAGTTCAGCTGATGTGTGTATTTTTTGAACAAACATATGAATTTTAATTATTGAACTTTTAAGACTCTTAAGTGATTGGGCCTGTGCAAATTTTCCTTCTTCAAGTCACCTTGAATTAAGGAATCTTTGGAGTGAGAGGTATGTGAGAAATGAAATCACATCCTAACGATGAAGACCCCCTAAGACCGGCTCATCACTTACTCTCTGTTGTATCTTTACGCATGAATTATTGTTCGCCTCTCGTAATTTGCCAAAAGTATGTTGGAGGCCGGCAAGCTCACTGGCCGCTCTTATCGGTCATGCCATCCCGTTTGACTTGCTCTATACACTAGGCTGAGAGTTCTACGTAGACGCCGTTTTTTTCTTTCTCTATTTTAAAGGTACAAGTCTATTCACCCTTTTTTGGTTTCGAAATAACCTTCCATGAATAGGGCTGCAGTTTAATATGTCGCCATCTTCAAATATATACCGCCGCTGAGCTCGTTGCTTCCGAAGCCATCTTCTCCCAGGCTTACAAGTCTCATCCGTCGAATGGCGTATTAGTAGATGTCGGTTGTATGGGACTATTTCTAGCTTCGCCGCTGCCATTGCGACTATATCGGCTGATGCTATGTTATTTAAGGTCAGGAAGAAAAGGGGCTACCAGGAGAGAGCATCGTCTCGGCCTCTTCAAAATTCTTGGAGAGCTGGTCTCAGCACGATGTCCCGCTGGCCTTGATAATTGTCTATTCGTAGTCTCACGACCGGTTAGTTCGCTCTCTGCGGAGATGTCAAGACGGCTTTTGGTAAATTTCTCTCATGTAACCTCCCCTTCAACGGAGAAAGTCGGACTACCGCCATCCCTAGCTGTGAGCAAGGGAGTTGATATCACCAAGTGACAATGCACTGATTGACATTTGGTATGTTCTCTCGCAATTACTCTATGACCATGTGAGGGGTGGGATGATTGACGTTATAATGGGAGGAAGTGTTGGCTCCAGACTCGGGGCTATGTAACTAATCTCCGGTACTTCCGTTAACTCCAATTCCTCCGGCGTTGTGAAAGTTGTATGAAAGAAGATACTAGTAGTAGTATAAACAATTAAGTTATGGCCTACAGTATATACAAGCCGCCGTTATGGTGAAAGCAAAGACCATCTCGAGGTTGAGGTGTGGCTCAGAATTGCACTTCATTGCTATCCTTATACAGCGGGCCCCCCAAAACGAAGCCAAACTGCATACTGCAGTGTGCTATTGGGACAGGCTCTGATCGTCTTGTCACTGGTCTTGCATTGAGCTCTCCTTAATAGACAATCCAGAAAGCTGCACGGTATCAAAACAGCATGCAGAGTTTCAAGCATTCGATATCTTAACCTATGAGTGATATTTTGTTTCGTAATGACAAAATTGGTCATTGTCACACTGCGTCTGCTCGAAAACACACATAATGCTCACAATCGATTTGCAAGAAAACAGAGGCCGCAAACGAATATGTGGATACATGGGGAGAATACGATCTCTATGCCATATGAGTCTAGTGTGATGGATATGTGCGGGTTATCTGTTTTGGGATACGCTCATTTCTCGATACACTCTTTTTGCAAACCTCTTGACTTTCTCTCCTCTCAACTAATAATAACTGAGTAAAAGATACTTCACAGTGCGTCGCCCCAATGCTAGACAAGTGCAGTCCTAGTATGATGCTCCTGCTGAGGCTAGAAGATGAAAATCTATCAATGAATCTATAGATATGATATAATAGGCATATGAAAACGTATAATTTTCTAGCTCATATGTGTTGAAAACAATCCACTAGTATGATTGAGCGATATCACAAAAGCTCATATAACAGAGGCTACATTCCTAATTAAAGGAAAATAAAGGGAGAAACATGACCTTCCAACATGATGAGTACAAAGTTGTAAAATAACGAAGAGAATGATGAATTCAGAAATTCCATTTTACTCTCCCAAGCTGTCAACCATCTTTCCCAGCCACGCCAACACTACCGCTGCTTCATGACCCTTGACCAATTCATTACGTTTAGACAAGCTAGAATATCAACTGTTATCACATCCCGGATTAGTTCTGATCTCAACAATTATAAGGGGGCAAAACACCCAGAAATTTCGTGATATCCGCTATGCTAAGCTGGTACGTCAAACAACGGCCTTTAGACTTAGCTCCATTCAAAATCCGGATATGTTACCAACTCGCAAAACTCTCTTTCACGAAAATATCTACAACATAATGTTCTATATTTATTGGGGTCTTCGTTCCATTCATAATGAGGATTTGCAATCCAACATTCATCATTATCATCGTGGCTCAAGTCGTTCACCGGCGATGATCAGCCAACCTCGCTATTAGCCGATTTTCTTTCCGCCATCGAATAATCTCGCGCTTTCTTGTCCAGTATGACTTTTCAATTTCACACAACCACCTTTGGCATGTTAATGCGCTTACTTTCTGGCAATGAAATCTTTCAATATCCCGACGAGATCGACGCACTACTATGGAAGAGATTCCTTCGCCAAAATACATCCGAACAGACGAATGACTCTGGCAGAGGATCAAGTAAAAACGAGGCAGATGAGCACAGCGTTTTGCAGAACATCGTCATTCATGACGGCGACAATGAGGTTCTCCTAGTAGAGTGGTATGGACCAGATGACCCCGAGGTAAGACAGCCGTCTACTGCCCCTATAATGCTTATCCGCGAAATGATGTAGCTCTAAAGTTAGCTCTTTGACTTGTAGAACCCTCGAAACTGGCCGTTGTCCTGGAAGAATCTCATGATGTTTCAGCTTTGTTTCCTAAATTTTGCTGTCTACATGGCGAGTTCTATCTATGTCCCAGGTGAGCTAGGCGTCATGGAAGACTTTGGTGTCAGCGAGGTTGTAGCCACCCTAGGGCTCTCTCTCTTCACTCTGTAGGACAACTCAGCCCCATCATGAGGTCCAAATACATTATGGTCTCTGCTAATGTCTTTTCTCTCCTACTGTCAGTGGGTATGGTGTTGGTCCTATGCTATGGTCTCCATTGTCTGAGATGCCGAAAATTGGGCGCAGCGGTATCTTCTTTTGGACACTCTTTGCCTTTATCTTATTCCAGCTCCCCGTTGGATTTGCTCCAAATATTGCAGTCTTTCTCGTCTTTCGCTGGGTGACAGGCTTCTGTGGTAGCCCGTGTCTATCCACCGGTGGCGGTACTATCCTGGATCTATACGACCCCTCTGTTGCCTCCTATTTATTGTGCATTTGGGGAACAGCTGGCCTCTGCGGCCCTGTATTTGGTCCAATCATTGGCGGATATCTGGTCCCTGCCAAAGGATGGCGCTGGACAATATGGGTTATTACATGGATTTGCACGCTGGTACTGGCTGCAATGTTTTTCTTCTTCCCTGAGACTAGCGCAGCCAACATACTTTACAGGAGAGCTAAAAGATTGAGGAAGGTTACTGGAGACAGTCGACTTAGGAGCCAGTCCGAGATTGACGCCGCGCATTATACCGCAAGAGATCATCTAATCGTCCTCGCCAGAGCTTTTACTTTGACATTCTCTGAGCCCATAGTTCTGCTCATGAACTTGTACGCTGGTCTCCTGTATGGTATACTGTTCATCTGGTTCGAGTCATTCCCGCTCGTGTTTGGGGATATTTACGGCTTCAACCAAGGCGAACAAGGCTTGGTTTTCCTAAGCATTTTCATCTTTGCTCTCATCTCATTGGCACTCTTTCTACTATGGATTAAAACCAGTCTCGCCCCAAAAGTCAATCAGCCGGGCTTTACGCCAGAGATGGTTCTTCCTCCAACGTTTTTGGGATGTCTCGCTCTTCCCATTTGCCTGTTCTGGTTTGGCTGGACATCACGAGCGGATATTCACTGGATCGTTCCCACCATTGGATCGGGCCTCTTCTCTGTTGGTGTGGTCACCTTGTTTAATCCGCTATTCAACTATCTAGGCATCGCATATCCCGCATACGCAGCGTCCATATTCTCGGGGTCTGCACTTTTCCGTGCCTCATTCGGTGCCTCTTTTCCACTTTTTGTAAGGAATAGTGTACACCCATCTTGGTTTCTGTAACTAATCACGGTCTCCTTTGAGGCGCGCCAACTCTTCCTTCAACTAGGTCTTGGCCCAGGTAACTCGCTTCTCGGTGGTATCGCCGTGCTATTTATTCCCGCTCCCTTCGTTTTCTACAAGGTAGGTCCGAAATTATTAGAGATGGTGAGTAATAAAACTAACTGCCAAGTAGTTCGGGGGAAAGATTCGTCACATGAGTAAGAATGCTCGGCACGATTTATAAAAACATTGTGCAACGGCTGCAGATTGATGAGCTCATTGAGAATAGCTTCTAGACTTCTCAATGAAAGAAAAGTTTAGGATTAGAAAAATCTTTATCTATTAGGAGGCGTACTCAATCGCAGGTAGCGAGGATGACGACGTTGTGAGGTACCAGAAGAGAAATAGGAAGACAATGTGCTGATGTGAACCAAAGAAAACTCCATAGATAAAAGTGAATTAGCAATAATAGACTGAAGTGACTCTTGGTGCATAGCTCAATGAGTTTGCATTGGTTAAGCTTTTATAATTGCGATAACTTGGATCTGACAATATTTCCAGTATTCCAAGTTGTCCTTTTTGTATGGCGTGGTGGGTCTATGTACCTTAGTAGGTAGAATAAAGAAGATTGACTCTCATCTTAGGCGATTGCAGATGTTCAATTATTGATCGGATATACTGACTCACAATAGGCAGTCGGGGAATAATACAACCCGGCAAGCGGGGGTCGCTTTTACTATCTTAGCGAGGGCTCTCTACGTATACTTGCGATGCCGCAAAGCGAACGCACCCGACAAGGGCTTCTATACTCTGCAGCCGCGTGTCGCAAAGCGGTACGTCAAGTGGTAATACCGCTCCCGACCAATGAAATAAATGATAGAAATCATGAGACATTGAGACTCGTGACCCCGCATCTTACTTGGCGACATCGAGTTTTGATGCTCAAGCCGTATGAACTAGATTCACATCTCGTTGTCTGTACTCCTACTCCATACTATAACATCCAAAGATGAGTTTATCGTTTCCCTGGGGCATTGATGGACTAGACAGGTCACGATTTGAAGCTTATGCTAAACTCTTACGGCTAAAAAATGGTGGCCAGATTGAGGAGGCTTCGAACTTCTCCGAAATACTCCTCGACGATGAGATAGAATTGGAAACGCCGGATGACACCGATTCCGTCAACGAGAACGCATTGTCGTCCTTCGATGAAAGAAAACTAAAGAGGGCCTTCCTTGATAGGCTATCTGAGCTTATTGCGAATGAGAAAGGAGGTCATCATGTCTCCTCATCTCTGATGATCGAGTGGCCAGATCGAGTCGACATTCTTGTAGCGAGAAATAATGGCTTCAGAGAAGGAGATGTAACTCTCCGCATGCTGGAAATTATAGCCTCTAGCCTCCGAGATATCTCCACGCTTGGTTCCTCAGGTCTGACATGTCTTTTGATTTGCATGTGGCGAGCTAACAGTGGTCCGTTTAGATCCTGTCGCCGCTTCTACCAAACAGAATCTTTGGACATCGTTGGTAAAATCGTACAGGCCGAGATTAAGCGATTATATAATTCAGGCAAAAAGAGTACTGAAAGAAACTATCTCCCCTGTGGGGGGTTAGATAGAGACTCTGCCCTTAGACGATCGCACAGCATCTCTTCTTTCGTCCCTCGAGGGATTTCGTGCTCTTATAGATGTTGCGGCACGTTCGCAAACGCGAGATGGCCTTGAAGAAATTGTGAAGAGCGCCCACGACGTGTTCTCTTTGTATAAACAGCATGATTTTGATAAGATCACCAACAACAATACCAATACCAGATCACTGAGAGACGCGCTGGGCTTCCTCGGTAAGTTACAGACATGTTTTAACACTCTGACGAGGAGCGCAGAGAGGCTCTCCGGCTTTCAAAATCTTCGTATCCTCCCAGTGATGGATCCAACGACTGGCGCAGCCAAACCGAAAGGGGCCGATCGAAACAATGCCTGGTCTTTGGAGAAGACGTTTTTATCCCTGGGCCTTGCACTAAACGACAAGACAGTGGAATCTCTTGTCGGTACTGGGAAAAGGGAAGGGTCTTGGACAAGGAACAAATTGCTTCAGAGGTTTGACAAGTTGAAGTCATCGGCCTCTGAAGTACACGCAGAAATACAAGTCATCTTGGCGGCTACAAAACACGACTGTAAGGGAGCGGCCATATTCAACTACGTGGGCTGCAGTAAGCGAAGCTGCTTCCTTTGTTCTAGGATTATTCAGAGCTATGGGTCTTACACGACAAGGGGATGCCATGGCAAGCTCTACAATCTCTGGACTGTGCCCGAACTTCCATGGCTTACTAAGGAAGAACGTTTAAGGCTCGTTCAAGCTCTCAAGAATGTCGAGAGAGCCATGAAGGAATTTCTACGTGATAAGAAGACCGACGGACTTATCCATGCTCATGAGTCCACAATCGGAGGCTCATCAGTTGCGACTAGAAGACAGCAATCTGGCCAAACCCCTTATATGATGTCCCTCGTATCAGAGTATCTTAGATCGCAGCGCCAAGGAATGAGGTCCAGTGCTGGCAAAGAAGAAGATTTTTCAAGCCTTGAGTAAGCCACCACTTTGGATCAAACGCATTGAAGTCCTGGCATGCTCTAACAGAGGATTAAGTCAGCCTTTACTAAACAGGGCTCAATACGAGGCCAATCTGGATACAGTTTTGCCTGGCCAAACTCAAGATCAATCTGCGACCACGGTACCGAAATCTAAACAACTCCGAGGCGAATGTAGCACTTGCGAAAGAGAAACTAATCGCCACTGTCAATTCTGTAACCTGGATTGGTTTTGTCGTAAAGAGTGTCAGGATCAAATGTCGTTTCGTCACCTCACCAAGTGTTCGGCTCGCTCGATAACAACTGCCGACATACTCTTTAGTGATGCTATTGGGGATCGGCTTCCGCAAGACCCAGAGACATGCGAGCATTTTGGGTTTACCCGATGCCGCGACGGGAGAGAAGAATCTCACCTCCTTGGCCTTTACCAAGGTCTCGTGTATTTGAATGTTTGGGCTATCCAGCTGAACGAATGGCGAGAGAAAAATATCCTTGTGAGCAAAATCATAGAGCATTTTCCAGGTTGTCTGAGCAGAACCGTGGGGGCTACTTCCCCTGGTTCCTTCGAAACCAGCACATCCTTGACAAGTCGACCCCACCTCTTCAGCTTGATGGAAAGGATGATCCCCTCCAACGAGCTATAAACGCTGCGAGGCCCTACCTCGATCTAGAAGACCGCGACAAGGACCTTCAACAGCTAGAGCCACCATCGAAACGGCATTGCTTCCTGTTTTATGCTATGGCCTTGGACAGCTCGTATCCAAACCCGTACTGGGCCGAATGTGATATATGGTACGATTTTGGTTTCTCAGTTTGTCGTAGCGAATACGATCAAAGCCAACTTGGGGGTCTCTATACTCGGCTTGTCGGTGGTAATAAATCAATGAGAGATTACGACCAAAGTCTAGGGGCTAAAGCAGAAGATTATCCTGATATGCCTACATGTTCATTCAACGAATTCTGGTTGGCCTATGAAAACGGTAGCCTTGTGAAGCTCTTCCACCAATATGATTTAGGGGGGGCACGTCTTCACCTGGGCTTGCATGAGTTTCTCTCCTTCCCGCTGAACCAACATGAACTGCGCCCATCAGTTTGGAGGTTGAAACACTTCCTAGCCCTCGATCCCAACGCTCCACTAGGCAACCTTCCCAAGGTTGAAGCAGCCGCCCAGGAATACGGGTTTACATCGCAGCTCAACGCGGGGACAAAACTGGCTTTGAGGCAATTTTATGAACAATTGTTCAAGGGGGTTAATCCACTCAGGGTCCATGACGCAAAGAATTGTGGCAAATTGCTTGAATATGCGGAAAGCAAACTTGATGTCATTGATGATGGCGTCCGGCATGTATTGCGACGGCTTGGTTGACGAAGAATGTACGGGCCTGGGCCCGTGTGAAAAGATACGCAGAAACTTTCTCTCACACTCTGGGGTAAATTCAAATTACCATTAACCGTATTGCTTAATCTTGCTCATTTCAAATTCCTTCTCAAATTGACAATACATCTATATGATCGTTTATATATAAATATTGTATTCCCTCGCGAAACTCCATGTCATATCTCTGCAGAATTCAACCCAGTTTTGATTGAATTAACCAATAGGGTAGCTTGTTTAGCCAGTGTTAATACTAAAACGATGGTAGAGAATGTAGTAGCTTATTTATTTTATGTTTCAAGTTATAATGCAAAGCATCGGAATGTAGGGGTACAGTATTTGCACATAAGGAACAGGACTTTATAATAGCATAGTTAATTTCCTACATATACGTAGCACATCTCTCGTTGAAGAAGGTTACAGTAGTTTTTTATCTACTACTTTCTGAAACTAAATATGTAGTACTTGGGAGTTTGATCTGATGAAATTAAAGGACGCCGATCGGAAGCTGTCATTTAACAAAGATGAAGAAGTTGCACCAAGTTGCATCACCTGTTTTCCAGATCCCCAGCATGGCCATATGGGGAGCAGTGCTGAGACATTGCTATTTGGGTTCATCGTGTTGAAAAAAGAGATGTAAAATTCTTGGGTAACGGCGGCAGCATAGCCTGGAAGCACCCCAAATGCAGCGATTTGTGAGGTTGTGTGGAAAGTTCCCAAAAAAGGCGTCCCGTATAAGTAAGACGCAAGAAAGGACCATGTTGGTACTGATGGGGCTATCTGGTCTACTATCTCAAGAAGACTGCGCCTTTGAAGCGTGAAAATAAAGTCACCAAGTATAGCGGCCAGTCGTTTGTATTCTGGATAGATGTTATTCAGCGGCCCTGTTCTGAAAGGCGAACCAGCCGAGGGATCGTCTGGATAGGTGGCCACCAGATCTTGGACTTGAGACGCAGTGGCTTGCTGGAAGTAGAGGCTGCCAAGATATTCTTCAAGGTCTTGTGTGCTAGTAAGATTCAATTGGTAAACCGAGAAAAGAGTTCCTTCATCTTCCTGGTCGCCTAGCAACAGGGGGACTTTGGCAAATTGGCCTCTTGAAGCCAAGATGTCTGGTGAATCGGGGAGGGTTGTTCCATCTGGCCGTGGTAGGTATGACAAAGCGATGGAATTGTAACTGCTTGAGATGGGAACAGATTCTGTCGCTAATAGGAAGGTGTTAAAGTCTAGAGACCTCAAACATGCGAGAGTATCGTTGGATGTCGAGCACCCGGCGCTGTCAACGACCTTGTCATAAACGATTTGAGCTTTTGTAGAATTGGCAGGCTCCGCAGGGAGGATGCTACCGCTCTCCATCAATGCTGCTCTAAAAAGGGGCTTTCCGTGATAAGAGTAGTTGCCTCCAAAGAGCGCCGTCTGATCAAAGACACTCATAGAGCCTGCAGAGAATCCCCAAAGTGTCACTTTATCGGGATCGCCACCAAATTGCTCAATATTATCAGCGACCCACTGCAAGGCCAGTCGCTGGTCCAATAGACCTAGGTTCGTGCTTCCATCGTCGAGGAGCTCTTTGCCAGCGAGGAAACCGAAACCCCCTAATCGATAATTTGCCGCCACGAAAATGATCGGTGTACCGGAAGCAATTGAGGCTTTGATCAGATTTGTGGAGTCAACTCCCTGTGTTGCTCCAGATTCAAAAGCTCCTCCATAAATGAAAAATACTACGGGAAGCTTGGAACCGCTTGGAGCATACGAGGGCCTCTGGACATTCAGTGTCAGGCAATCTTCGTCTTGGTTTTGTATCACATTCGTTATATTCGTGATGATGTTCAATATTGCTGACGGTAGGCCGCTGGGAGTGTACTGTGAAGAAAATTGGGGGCATGCTTTCGGAGTAGTAGTTGCTTGCACCTCGCCCAAAGTAGAAGTTATGGGTTGTGGTGGCTTCAACCGTAGCGATCCTACTGGCGGTTGCGCGAAAGGTATGCCTCTAAAGCTGTCGATTCCATTACTGCTGGAACCAACAACTGTAGAATAGCGCAAGGCCACGGATGGACTCTCTGCACCAGCCAACTGTGCAGCGGCAAGGAGGAGTCCCGTTAATGTTGTGAGTCTGAACATGGTGGAGACGGCTAATAGCATGAAGTTCCTCCTATGTGAATGGCAAGAACATGAACCAAATAGAGTCGATGCTCCCCAGAAAAGAAGTAGTGACTACTACGCAACTCCTCTACCTATTTAACAGAAGTTGACAACTCTGGAGTTGCTTATTCTCATGTGCCTCGGGTCATGGCAATCCGCAAATGCAGCAAGCTACATGTAGTCAGAAGCAACCGCGGTACAACGGCTCGGTGGAAGCAACATTGTCAATAATTCTACGCTCTTGCATCAGCTGGCTTGGTGTATTCATGGTTTGTTCCTTTTCACCGACTGTCTCGGACTGCTTCTCGGTCGCTTTCTCGGTCGGGGCGGCTAATATCGACTAAGGCCATTACGAAGCTAACACGCAGATGGTACAGGTAATCAATATTTCGTATTTCGTAGCCGAATTCCGTGGTCAGATTGTGGGGATAGCGCGACTCGACTCGGATCCCCCGCATTCCCCCAGGTTTGGATGCATAATCACGATCTCATCAGAGAACAGGCACGTCCAAACGCTAGCATACCCCAACATCCGTCTTCTGCCTGCTGGAAGGTTGTCATTCAACCATCGGTCATTATTGAATAGAAATGGAACAAAGCAAAAGCCCGGCTACGGCCACGACGACGAGCAAGGCAACAATGCCGAAGGCTTGTGACGCGTGCCGTCGGCGGAAACTCAAGGTAATACCACCCGCGTTATCCCACCCACCCTTTAGACACAGCCGTTGATGCAGCTGATAGTGTCCGAGACGGCAAGGGTCACCTTCCGAATCACCATCAGATATGAGGTGTCTTCGCTGCCAGCGGACAAATATCCGCTGTACATACAATGACGAATTCGGAAAAAAAGGACCCAGAACTGGAAGGTGTGTTATTTCGTGAATCTAGAAGGTTGAGTTTTCTTCTAACAGCTGTAGGCGGCTCGAGGCCATTCGGGCCAGCCAAGCGTTGGCAGCAAATTCCAGTGCCGTAAATGCTACTCCAGACAATGATGCCAGTCAACCACATGATTTGCTGCCAAACGATTCTTTTTCGGAGCAATCGCCTGTCCAATTTGATCTCTCCTCCTTTGGTGAAGATGATTCTGCATCGTCTATCGGTCACCTAGACGGTCGTGCTGGAACGGATTCCGCAGATCCCAACCTGGACACAATTCAACCGCCATGGGAGCGATTGGCTCTCGGGACATCTGCAGACATCCTCAATCGAGTATTGGAAGAACACAATGTGGTTCATTTCAGCCATGATCAGCTCTCTATTGCCGCTATCGAAAGCACCGATGGAGTTGCTTTTTCATGGGAAGATATTGTCGCCGAATTGGCATTGTTTTGCCTCAAGTGCTACCAACGTCATCCAATCATTAATTTGGAAACTGTGCTCAACAGGATTGAACGGGGGGACCACGTTTCGGATCCCGCCTTTCGCACGATGCTGCTCTCGATATTTCTCGTCAACGAGGCCAGTCAGTTTCGACACTATCCCGACCGTAGCCCAGCGCGGCTAGACCTTCTTTCAAGAGCGACAGAGAAATCACGGGCCAATTCACCCTACTATCATTTTGCGGATTCTCCGTCTCTAGATACCGTGATCTCTTCACTCTTCCTTTTCATAGCATACAGCGTTCGAGATAAGCACAATCGCGCTTTCCTTTACCTAACAGAGGCCATCGGACTCATGGATCTCGTCAAATACCCCTGTGACCGGATAGAGATAGCTCAATACCACCGTATTGAGTGTTTGCTATTCGTTACCGAAGCGGCATCTAACTCGATATATGGCACCCGGGGAAAGAGAAGACTTGCCAGGATCCCCTCTAGCCCTCCTTCGAAAGAAATGTTAGATGGATGGTATATCTCTGAGCACAAGCAAAAGCAGCTTCCCCCGCTGCTATCTACTCTGCCTTATGAATCGTTAGACAAACGAGCCGCTGAGCTTCTGTACGCTATGACTCGGCTTCATAGCGCTCTTGATACCGCTAGTGTCTCTAGTGTTGAGTTTCAAGACGATATCTTGGCCACCTTGAGTAACGGCGATGACCATAAGCCTTCATGTTTGATTCAAACTGCCGATGTGGCTGTCACCAGACAATGGCAACTGGCTACCCACTGGTGGCATGCATTATCGGAAAATGGATACTCTTCCGAAAGGAAAGAAAACGCGCGCTATATAATACAAATCATTGGCATGACTGCAGTCCAACGCACAAAGTTCCTCCACTCTGGAGCTTGCCGAATAGTAGGTCACGGCAAACTGGCTGCGCTTGCGGATACAATGTTTAAGATTTCATCCGCTCTCGACATATTACCATGCTGTTCTTCCCTGATACGCGACATGATTCACATTGTTTCTAAAGCAGATTGCGAGGGGTCATTTGCGGCTGGACTTAGCCTCATCCAAATCTGTATTGAAGAGGTTCCGCGGCCGGTCACATCTGGCCATGAATTAGAATACGATGGTCAAGCATTTGGAAATACTGATGTAGAATTATTTTCTAGTAACTAATATTGGCTCTGTTGTTCTCTCTAAATTGCCTTTAGTGCGTAGTCCAACGCACGAACTTGGTTTCTGAAGAATTGCCTTGCTGCTAGTGTTGTGGTTGGGAATGTGACCCCATGAGGAACCCCCGGGATAATCTCCAGTTGGGTATCTATACCTGCATTTCTCAGATGCAGGGCGTATGCGATACCCTCGTCTCGAAGTCCATCTCGGCCAGCCACCGTGATATGACATGACGGATGATTAGGTGGAACTTCGGTCTTAAGCACCGAGGCGTATCCGTGCGCGAATTCGGCACCTGCATAATTGTCTGTGGTCACATATTAGATACATTACCTAGTAAGAGGATATTTAGGTTGCTTGACTTACCCCATACTGCTCTGAGGACCGCCAATTGCCCAATGACGTCCTTGTCTATGCGGCCTGATGATCCTGGAGCTTTTAAAACCTCAGGATACAAATCAGGGTGGCATGTAACGGGAACAACCAAGTTAACATGCCGGATTCTAGGAAGATTGTGTTCCTTTGCATCCCGAAGTGCAACGGCTGCAGCAAGATTACCACCCGCCGAACAACCCCAAAGACCGATTCTATCCGGATTGATGTTATACGTCGCCGCATTATCGATTGCCCATTGCACCGCTTGATAGCAGTCGTTGAGAGGAATCGGAAATTTATTTTCAGGAGCGAGACGATAATCGACATTAATCACCACTGCACGCAACTCAGACGCGAAGAATTCCGCAGTTCCTGTGATTGATATTGATATTAGGTAGCCGTCCAAGATTGAGGGGTATTTTGATGTGTCGAACCTTCGTCCACTTCTGGGAATCCGTGAACCCAACCACCCCCATGATACATAATTAAAGCTGGCCGTGGGCTCGAGTCTTTGGTTACCGGATCGTAAACTCGAACTGCGAATTGATTTCCATCCTCATATGTGACCGGAACAGTCTGGGTGTGTATCTTGGAGATAGCGCGTGATCTTGCTTCAACAGGAGGAGTCTTGGGCCAAGTGATGTATTCTTCAACGAGCCACTTGCGCATCTCTACATGATCAGCTGGGTGTATCGTTGCGATTCTTGAAGGGGGCAACTTGAACAATTCCTTATGATTCGCGTCGGATTAGCGCATGCCAAAGGCACATCTGGGTAAATATGAACTTGTGACCCCACCTGCATATAGTTCATGTCCGCATCCGCAATGATGTTTTGGGAAACATCTGACTCGTTATTGGATGGCATTTTCGCACGTATGAATGATGAAATGCTGACAATTTACAATATGCTAATGATTTCGCTCAAGTATCGTGGGAAAATGATGGACAGCTGTGTTTGCACGGCCTGGAATCATATAGTACGCTGCTGAGCTGGGCCACTATTCCCCAGTTGGTCTAGAACGGCTGGTGGGCACATCTCGGTCGCTTGCTCGGTCGCTTGCTCGGTATTTTCAAGATCGTGGAGAAAGCCTGCATTTTTCTCAGAGCCCCCCTGTCTCGTTCGGAGACAAGGACGGCCTGTATTCGCATCACTGGCACTGGATAGATCCATTCCAGTATGTCCTAGTATCCCAGAGCAGCTTTGGATCAACCAATGCGAATTACATATAATACAGCTGGAACAAGCCGCCTGTTCCATAAACGAAATCTCTTCTTATCGTCTACCGATGCTCATCAATAGAAGAGAGTATCGCTACTCTTGTCAATTCTACTGACCATGGACGCAAAACAAACCGAGTCTTCTCACGAAGAGGTTATTCACCATAACCAAGTGTTTCACACGGACCAAAAATGGTGGAATTGGAGGGTTCTCATGAATTGTAAGAACCAAATTCCTCAGTGTTATCAACCAACTAACAAAACCATAGTGACTATAGTCGGCTTCGCTCTTGGCCTTTACGGATACGATAATGCCTTTACTTCGCCATTGGTCTCCTTACCACTCTTCGTGAATAAATATCAAGGTCCAGGATTTGATGGACTTCCTGTTTTCACGGTATCTATACCATTCACCGCCTCCATTTCCTACATGTCTTATAGCTACTGATATCTTGGTTGGAAAGGCACGCAACCTTGATTTGGTCATCACTGTTCCAATTGTAGGCGCCGCGCTTGGAGCCTTCTCCGCCATTCCCCTGCAACAATATCTGGGGAGGAAAGGTGGCTTCCTCGTGGCATATGCAACAATGTGTATACCGGGCTCAATTTTGCAACTCTTCGCCCCAAATCTAGGAGCTCTCGTTGTAGGCAGATTTTGGAACTGTAAGTCTCCTTTGTCAGCTTCTGAGCAGAATCTAACACGAGTATAGACTTTGGAATCAGTGTTCTTACAAATATCGCCCCCATCTATCTCTCTGAACTGGTACCAGCCAGTGTCCGAGCTCGAGCAGTAGGATTCGCTATTGCTGGGAGTGGTGCAGTCTCAGTCATCGCCACGGTGGTAGTGTGGGGATCAGCCAAGATTTTGGACAGAAGACAGTATATTATCCCACTTGCAATCCAGGCGGCGCTACCTGTTCTCCTGTTGGTCTTGTCGTTTTTCCTCACAGAATCACCCATTTGGCTTCTTAGCCAAGGTCGAATAGATGCAGCCAAAGAAAGTCTTACTGCTCTACGCGGCGGTAATTCGTTTCTTGCAGAAGCCGAATTATCGATTGCTACCGTCGCACTCCGATCGACAAGCGAAAAGAAAACAGCTTTCAAGTTCTGGGAGATTCTGAACCTAGCCAACTTGGAGCGAACATTATCCTCTGCTGCGCTGCTCTGCCTTTCACAGGTTGGTGGTCAGATCTTGGTTGGTACATACTCAACCGTCATTTTAGTCCAGAGTGGAGTCTCGGATCCGTTCAAGATAACCATAATCATCTTCTTGATGCAATTTGTCGGCACACTTCTTGGGCCTTTTCTACTTGATAGGTTTGGCAGACGAACCGTTGCACTCCCAGGCTACGTCCTCCTCTTTCTTCTGGATCTTGCAGCTGGCATCATGGCGTGTGTTGGGCTCAAAACCCGACCTGAGCAGCTGGCCCTTGCGGCTCTCTGCATCATCTTCTCCTTTGTTAATTCAATCAGTTTTCAATCGATGTAAGTTCTAATCTGCTGGACAGTATTCCCATTGCCATTGAACTAACTTCGACAACACAGAATATACGTTCTCCCAACCGAAATGCCCACCGCTCATCTCCGAGAGCCTTCTATGACATGGTGCTTATTCTGGTCATATGTGACTGCAATTATCACCACGTTTGCTATACCACAGTTGACTAGTGCAGATGCGTATGTTTTGCTATTCATTCCTCATGTTTTCGGGTGAAATGACTAATAGATGCATCTTTTATGTGCGGTGTAAAGCGCAAACTTAGGAGCCAAGGCTTTCTTAGTATTCGGGGGGTTTATGCTCATCACTATTGTGTGGAGCTATTTCTACTTGTACGTCCCCTTTGCTGTTTCTACAGTCGCATTTTGTGTTTCAGGAAAAGTAAAAGGAAAGCGACTGATTCATCTTTGTTGTTTAGGCCAGAGACTGCGAAGAGAACACTTGCTGAGATTGATGAACTATATGAAAGGAAAGTGCCCAAGCGCCATTGGGCAAGCTACAAAATAGATATGACTGAATCGGAAGCCAAGTCAGCTTCGCAAAACGCAGGCGTAACTGACTGACTTCAATGATTCGTAATAAGCGATTATTGTTAGATGTTGTGTCTTACACAAGATATCTAATATCATTATTTTAAACTCACAAAAAGGCTGTGAACAAGAATTCTCTGAATAATTTGCATTAATAAACATTGAATAGACGACCCATTCAAACAATCTTTCAAACCAGTAGTAAATGAAGTTTATTTGAAACACTCACGTTATAAATGTAAATTACAGCAACAGTTGCTCCGCCAGTAACTGTAATGCTGTAACCTGGACTCCAAGTCTAGAGCAGCTCTCCATGGTATAAACAAGAATATCTCATGTAGTGGAGGATAAGACGCACTAGTGACCAAAGTAATAATTTTTAATAACACAGAAATGATCTCTCAAAGCTACAATTGAAATTATGGTCTCGTGTTCCTTATCGGAAGTTTGTTTTTGCAGCTGAATAATATTTATTTGCGATAAACTAGTTAAAATAAATAATTCATCTTAAAGTTGCTATACTTAGCTACGGGGGTACCACTTAAGGTAAACATCCACAGCCTGGGCCACCGAATCATGAGGGGTTGTCCATCCATCTTGATTGCCCCATTTCTTCAAGAGAGCCAAAGCTGGGGTCTGGTCGGTAGTGATGCTCAACTTGACTTTGCCTGTGAAGTCACCAACCCACTCCTCCTTTGGATATATGTCTCTCAAAATGGCAAGAAAATCGTCCCAATTAACGTTGTTACCCCAAGCCTGGATGCGTTCCCCCTTGGTTTCGGGATCAAGTGCAGCAGCAACATGGAGCAGCGCAGTATCCTTGACATCTACTGCATAAGCTGAAGTCGATGAGTTAGCAATGCCAATTGGACACAAATGAAGGGAAAATACGATACTTACTCGCAGGCATGCCGATTATTTGCTCGAGAGAACCATCGTATAGGTATTTGAGCCAAGAAGATCCTTTGTCGGAATTGTATTTGTTAAGTGGCTCACCAAGGATGGCGGAGGGAGCTACAACATTAAGAGTAAAGTGAGGCTTTTTATCCTTGACAAAGTCCCACACTGCTTTCTCGGCAATAACTTTGCTTGCCATGTATACAACAGGACCTCGGCTAGGCTCGTAAGGAGGCGGAGCCCAGGCAAGCTCGACGGCCATATCATTCCAGGAGTCTCGAGTGACATTCACATTATTTCCAAGTGCTGGGGCGGTAGAGGCCACGAGGGAGCTGGTATAAACAAACTCTTTGACGGAAGGTTCTTTGATCGCGGCATCAAGAAGAGAAGTAACGCCCTTGACGGTCTGGGGAATGACGGTATTGGGGTCAGGAGAGAAGCTGACTACCGAGGCGACATGCTGGATGATCTGAACCCCTTTAACGGCCTCCTCAAAGGCGTTGTCTGCTTCAAGATCTGCAGCCAATACCTCGAAGTCGCCACTCTGCGCATAAGTCTTGAACAGGTCGTTGACGAGCCAGGGATACAGCGATACATCGCGGACCGTGCCTCGGACCTTATAGCCATGCTCTAGGAATTGCTTCGCGACATGAGTTCCGACGAAGCCGTTGACGCCAGTAACGAGGACCCAGGAGCCTTTAGCGACGGTGACGTTGGACGAAGACATGCTGGAGAGCAGAAATTCCTGGTAGTGAATTCGTATAAATGATCTTCAGAGTGTGAGAAGGGATGTATTGATGGTTTGCGAATGATTTCCTAAAATAAAGGGATGGGTTTCAAGCTGTCTTAAATATCTCTGAGGGAGACATCCTCTATCTAATTTTAACGAATGCTCGGAGACTAAAAACTCGTAACTCAGCCGTGGAAGACACAAGAGATACGGATACAGTAGTGGATGGCATATGATTACGCTTTCAACAACTATTTCCTGACAAATCCCAATTAATAATGTACATTGCGCGAGTATAATATTTACGGTAGTTGTATACGCTGGTCTAGAGTAGAAGTAGTAGACTTCTCTGTTATTGTTCAACGAAAAGCCGAAAAGCCTGTCAAGCTCAAGACCGATTGATGACTAAAAGATGATCCTTAAACTCTCTTACTGGTGAGTCGAGACGGAGTTAAGGCCACCTTACGGACCAATGATGTTATCACAACATACTCGGGTCGTTAATTACATTTTCCTAATTTGGATTCAAGAGCAGCCTCATGTTCACTTTAATGCGTATTGACAAGAAGTGATGTCCCACAATGTCAATTGGTATCCCCGTAGCCTGCCGGATTGGGAAAGAGCAAATCTTGGCTTTCTCCTAGCCTTCGACCCACACCATTCATGCTTAGCTGAGGCATCACAGGCAGCATATTGATACGAATACACAGCTTGCGGTGCTTAGAAATCAGCAAAAGACTTCAGATTGCGATACTTACTTTTCCTAGACACCTTATGTTCTATTTCTCTATGGTCGTAGAGATCGCAACTTATCGGACCTCCGAGCTGATAAATGTACCTATGGAAAACCAAAGGCTCCCTATGGGTATACAAAGCCCCGTGTATATAATTTATCTATAAGGAACACCTTGAAAAATCCCAGTAGGAACACTGTTTATGACTCTAATGGCTATCATCTTTAGGCTAAAAAGATCGTATCTGTCACGATGTTCGTTTCTTCTTTGGGTATGCCTTTCCAGGCTGTCAACGAACTCGATGCAATTATGCCAAATCCATATCTGCTTCATATCTCCTTGTGTTTCTTGTTTCGTTCCGATACGGTCACTGTGATATTTGGTCCTCTATTGGTAGGGTCTCGAAAGATGCCTTTCTCGTGCTTTTCGCGCCTCATTGTGTTGTAGTATCTAGGGTAAAATCTGCTCTTGTCAGGCATTTTGACTGCTTTGCAACTGTGGGAGGCCATTGCTAGCATGTTTTGATGGGCCGAAACGTATTAGTACAGAATCGTTGCCCTGTGATAGGGTTATTAGAACCATCGCAAAGTCTGTCATTCCTCTGCGACTCTGGATTAGAAGAGGCAACAGAACTGCGACTGCCAACAGAAGAGAAAGGAGAAGATTGGGGAGAGCTCACTTCATCTGATCAGCAAAGTCAATGGCTGAGCTTATGGTAGATGTTTCATCAACTGGTAGCGTAGCAATCATATCATTCGGATGGCCGACGCAAATATTTATTCCTTGTCAGGATGAGCAGAAAGATCTTGAGTATATCTCTCGGGCATGATTATTGCTGTTCGAGCTTTAATATGTCTCCTAGGGGCTATTCAACCCAATGTGAAGTGCTAGGATCCAACTCTTGAGCCATCTTTGAAGTGAGCGAATGTTTGAGCCTTATGTGAATGATTAAATGCCATACAAGGAAACAAAATGAACTACAGGTGATAGCAGACACAGATTATCAACCACCTCTGCCAGAATTGGATCTTCAGTAAGCGGCAATTGATATATAGGTTGCTCAAGTAAGGGGGTTGTCACGACCGACCCCCCCGTAACGGGCCAATGCCTTCTAAGCGACCGACTTTGTTATTATAATTGTTACATGATGTGTATTATTGGCATAATCTTATGGCCTGTTGACCTAATAGGTAGTATACGGGCTATGTTAGGGCTTGTCCGGCTGGGCTATTACATTAAGGGTTATATAGGTAAGGGACTAAGTATAATATAGGAAGAAGCTTGCTCTATCTATACCTTATAGGAAGGAAAACTAACCTATAGGTAGGTCCCTAGAGGTTATATAACCTTATATTCCCTTAGCTAAAAATAAATATAGTTTTTATATAATATTTATTTATACTTTAAATATAATAATATTTTTATAAATTTAGTAATACCTTAATTAATTATTTAATATATTAATACTAAAGTATTTATTTATTTTAGTATAAGAGTATATAATTTTTTATATAAAACCCTTAATTTTTTTAAAAATAATTTTTATTATTTTATAGTTTTTTATTATTTATATATAATTTTTTATAATAAGGTATTTATTATTTATTACCTAAGTATAATTTAAATAAATATTTTTAGTTTTTATTATAATAATTATAATAAAATTTAAAAAAGTATTAGTAAAATTACTTATAACTTTAATAATTAATATTTTTAATATTAATTTATTTTTAACTATAGTAAATATTAATAACTTAATTTTATAATTAATTATTATATTAAGGGTAGTTAATAATAGTTTAATTTTATAATTAATTAGTATTTAATAATCTAATATTAATATTTTAAATAAACTTTATAAAAATATTTTATTTATTTTAAAAATATTAAAAAATATTTTTATTAAAATAATTATTTTTAATATTTTTAAATATATATTTTTTATTTATATTTTAGTTTTTTTATATTTTTTTATTAATAATTCCTTATTTATTATTATTTTAACTTTAGTATTATTAATAATTTTAACTTTTATTATTTTTTTATTAATAATAATAGTTTTTTTTAGTAATTATTTTAGGTTTTTCTTAAGTAGTATTATATTTTAAAAATATAATAATATATTTTAGTTATTATTATTAATATAATAAAATATAATAAATTATTTTACTTTTTAATATATTTAATTAAACTTCTTAAAGTAATTTTTAATAATTATTTTCTTAAACTTCTTTTTAATAATATTAGTAAAGGCCTTAGGAGTTTTATTACTAAAAAGTACTTAAAGTACTAAGTATATTATTTATAAAATAATATAATTATTAAATATTTTTTTTTATATAATATAATATATATTATATAAACTTAATAAGTTATAAAAATTAATTATATTTATAAACTTTATATTTTTAATAATAATTATAAGCTATATATAATTTTTTTATTTAAATAAGTAGCCTATTTTTAATATATTTAAAAGATTTTAATAATATTTTTATAATCCTTAATACTTATAGTAAAGTTTATTATATTTAGTTTTATCTTAGGTAATTTAATATTTATAATTATTAAATACTTTAATATTAAGTTTAAAAACTTTTACTAAGTTATTATTTTAGGTTATTTATTATTATTATAAATAAGGGTTTTTTTATATATTATATATTATAAAAAGTTAAAAAAAAGTTAAAAAAAGGAAAAAAAAAAAAAAAAAAAAAAGAAAAAATAAATAATAAAAATAATAAAAAATAAAATATTTTTTATTATTATTTTAGTTTTTATTATTAATTAGTAAATAAAAAAAATTTTAGTTAATAACTAATTAGTAGTTATAAAGTTAAAAGTAATAAAGCTAATTTTTATTTAGTTTAGCCTTATTTACTTATTATAATTATAATTATTAAAATTAAAAATCTTATAATAATTATAATATATTAAGCCTTAATATTACTTTTAGTTCTTAAGTTATACTTAAATAACTTATTTATTTAACTTTATATTTTATTTTATTTTCTTTTTTATATTATAATATAATATCCTTAATAATAAATTTGGCAATTGATAGGGACGCATGACTGTTTTACTAGGGACGCATGACTTTAGGGATGCATAATAGTTTTCTTTTATATAAATAAATAAAATAATTTTATATAAATTTTTTTATTTAAAATTTAATTATATAGCTATTTATAACTTTAACCCTAATTTTTATAACTATTTTATTTAATTTTATATAAAATAATAAAGAAAAGTTGAAATTTTGCTTATGTAATTCCCTTAGTTTTTTCCCTTTTTTTCTTTTATATTTAATTAAAAATTAAGGATATAATATTATAAGGTAAAAAAATTATATATAAATAACTTAAAAAATAAGCTTTATAAATATATTATTTTTATTACGTAATAGTAAAAACTAACTTAGTTATTTAATCATGCGTCCGTAAGGTCATGCGTCCGTAGTAAAAACGTCATGCGTCCCTATCAATTGCCATAAATTTTTCTTTATTATTAATGTATAATAATTTTAGTAACTTTATTAATTAGCTAAAGCTAGAATATATTTTTAAATACTTAATATTAAATTTATTTTTTTATTATAAATAATTAAGTAGTTTTAGTTAATATCTTAGGTTACTAATTTACTTTATAACCTTAAATAATCTAGCTTATTAATATAAAAGTTTTATTTATTTATAAAAATAATAACTAATACCCCTTAGTTTAATAAGCCTTATATATATTAAGTTACTTTTTTTAATTTTTAAAAGTTTATTATACTTATAATTATAATATATTTTTATTTTAGCTATAGTAAGTTATATAATATTTTATATATTTAACTATATATTTTAATAATTTTTTATATAAGTATTAATAATATTAGCCTTTTTTTAAAGAAAAAGAAAATAAGTTACTTTTTTATTATATAATAGCTTAAATATTATATATATTATTATAAAATATATAAAAGTATTAAAGAAGTATATAATATATAGTAAAATTATTAACTAATAATATTAATTATATTTACTTTTTATTAAAGTTTATAATACTAAAATAATAGCTTAGATTATTTTCTTAATTTATTTATTTACTTATTAATAATATATAATATTAATATATATTTTAATATTTATTATATAATATAATAACTATTATAATTATAAAATAAATTTAAAATTTATATTATATATAAAAGTATATAAAAATCTTTAGTTTAAGTATATACTTTTAATATATATTATTACTTATTTTTTTATTATT